CTTATCCTAAACCGATTTAAGCTGACGTACTTGTAATAAATTTTCAAGATTTATTTCTTCAAAAATCTGCTTTTTGCCTCTCATTTTCTTTTTAATTTCTATTTAAATTTTATTTATTTTTTGAATAAAAAAAAAGATACGCCCATGCATCTCTAATGCGCATCTTTTCCGAGGACTAAGGTAAGCTACACTCCGCTTTGTTCGAGTATAGTATACATTATTACCTCAAGACTTCAATAAACATCCAAACATTTTTATAAACTCTTATCATGTCATTATTATAATATAAATAGAAAATCTTCAAACTGTTTTCTTTTGTTTCTTTCATTATTTTATCTTGCAATATTGAAACGCATATTTTAATTGAAATTACTAATAATAAATATAGTTATAAATAAAGCCATTTTTAGATTAGTTATTAGATACAAACAAATTAAAACAGTCAAAGCGCTTTTTTTCTTTTGAAATCAGTTGCTTATTTTTTTTTTTCAAGTAATTCGAAGAGGGGCGCATCAAAACAGACGGTCGATTCATCACACTTACATCCTGCAGGCTTGTATAACGTGATGAATCATCTTGTATCAGATTTTAGCTTCGTCTTTTTCATTCTTCGGGGCGATAGAAGGAACTGAGATCGTTTTGCCTACCACCGTGAGAGATTACATTGGGAGATTAAAGCGGATAGCCTAATTCCCTGGTTTTGTTCGAAGCGAAACGCTAGCCGAAAATGTCGCTACATTTTTTAAATAATCTTTGGGTCATAGAATTTATAGATATTATTATTACAAATACATTCGCAATCCTGTTACTTTATACGAACATTGTATAAAAACCACCTAAAAATAACAGACTAGAGAAAATTTATATATGCCATAAAAAATCATAACACAAATTTAATTGTTTATTCTTTGTTCTATTACAAATAAACTGGAGGAAAAGGGGGGATTGTTAGTAATGGGCTCTAACAACCCTATTGCTAGCAATATACCCTATCAGATCGACCTCCACACGATTCCCCTTGAAAACCATCGTGCTTAATTCTTGTGAATGTTGTCACGATGGGCTAACTGACCTCCTTTCGTCCTCACATATCATCTTTCACTGGTGCCCTGCCAATATATACCGATAGGGCAGATGGGGTTACCATTCCATTATCATTCATAAATCTACACACAACTCAGTCACACAAACACACACACAGGCAATACATTGTAAGTAATTTTATCTTAATTATATATGTAATAAGTTTTAATGTTGAATTTATTCTCGCAATTTACATCGTTTTATTGTTATTGTACCATTGTTTGGTTGCCTTATATTTGTGTTGTCCATGGAGATGGGCCACTGGTGACTTGTAATACAGGTCTTTCTAAAACCTACTGCAGGCACCAGTCTCTCACAAAACTGGTCTCACATATTTAATTGTCAATCTGTTGCTTTTTATTACCTTTTGTAAGGATAAACTTATACCATTCATTTATTAATTCATTAAAAAAATATATAACAAATAAACCCACAAACAGATTTGATTCAAGTTGCCAAAAAGATCGATCATAATCTAAATTAACACTATACACATGCTCTTTATTCCATTAATGAAATATCATGTTAATAATTTACATACAAACACTAAATGCTTGACGTTTTATGAATAAGGTGATAAATTCATGGCATAAATTCATTATAAATACTTAATCAGTATTCATAATATAAACAACTAATCATATAATTCGTCTTTGCTCGTGAAATATCAATATGATTTAAAAAAAATCAAACATTTAAGGGTGATTAAGCAACAAACCTAAACAATCAACCTTTATCAACTTTCACATTTTAATATTAGTAATGTTAGTTCCACCAAGAACTATTTCTTTCATATTTGCACACAGAGAAAAAAATAGTAAATAACAGGTATTCCAAGGCATGCTTATATTTAAAAAGACATTTCTTCCAGCAAACCCACAAATTACATAGTTAGGAGAGTATGTTCAGGTATGTTAGGTAATAGACATGTAAACATATACAAAAAATGTAGGATAATTTCTATCTTATAAAGTAAATATAGATGTTTACGCCACAGTCATACTTTGATTATATATAGTCTACTATATTTGATTATATATAGTTCTACTAAAGTCTCACCAAATTTGTATAACTAACACTAACGAAGTGCATATCTCAAATAACCTAATATCATTACGTTAAATCACAACAAACCTACATAAATCTCGCCGAGTCTCGAAGGTACGATAACATTATCTCTGATAATTAATTATATCGGCCTACATAAGGTAAACATTAAGTTTATTACACTATTGAGATGACTCTATCTTGCCTTAATGATTGTCAAGGTTCGATAGAAATCTTCCTAATGGAGATATTGGAGCCACATAGAACTATAATAAACAACAATAAGAATAAAAAAACGTTAGGTTACTGTAAGCAGATTACCTATATTAAAATAATAAGTTACGTTCATATTATTAAAAAACTACTATTCAGATAATTAAATTTTATGAACTTAATATTATTTAATAAATGAACGTGATAAAATCATAAAACACAACTTTTTTAGATAAAAACAATAAAAACAACAGATAAAAATTGAAAAATAAAATGTTTTTTCCAATTGACAAATACGCCATATTGAATTTTTACCAGCAAAATTTATACTCACTATTACTTGAACTGGTGTAAAGATAAAAAAAAAGTGTAAAGAGAAAGACTAACATACATTGAAATATATTTATGTACTTAGAAGTTAGAGTAGAATAAATTAACTCACATACATATATGTGCCCTAAAAATATTACAATGCCTTTTTTTTGGGCAGTCGTATAAAAATAAATAAAATTATTATTATTGATGAGACTTTTACCATCTGGGCACGATTCTCTTCCCGAGAGGGTGGAATATTACGAGTCCACGACGTCCAGTAGGCCTGGTATAGGGTTTTATTTCAAATTTTCCTTCCCTGACACTGATGTATTGTACTTTGTCCCCTCTTGCATCGTTTTGGAGATGAAAAGGAGTGGTGACAAATTGTATTCCACTTAGTTACTATACAGAACTTATTTTTGATAAAATTAAACATCAAAAAACTTTTTAGTACGTAGAGAATAATAATTTACGCTGTTGTGTTGTATGTGAATAATAATATTACTTCACTACATAAATTAAAAAATGTAATTCAAGACATTTCGAGTGTGGTCTCGTGTATATAATAATAAAAATATTTTAAATATAATATTAATATAAACGATCGAACTACGGGTGAATATATAACCGAATCAATTTCATTTACTAATACCTTTTACTGATCCGATAACTTTAATACAGTTCTCACTTTGCAATAATATGATTTTCACCCAAGCTTAGATTTTTAGATTATCCAAGCTCTACTCTTACATAAGCTTAATAACTTAATACGCATATAAACTTAATACTCCAAATATACTCGCTGTAATCTAATGTAGTACCATGATAATGAATTTAGTACCATTTGATTAAATCGTAACTTAGAGAATTTCTACAAAACACACAACTATAATGCCAATGCCACATACCTAAATACATACGTATAAATACTTATATTTATAGCAAAACTATTTTTGAACCATATTTAAAATTAATGTCTGATATTAGATGGGACCTTCAAGCAAGTAGAACAGATTGTACTCTGATGAATTGTTCAATATAATGCCCACGGCCACTTTCTATCATCGTACAACTCGCCATTGACAGGAAGTTCACCCTTATACCATAGAGCCTAGATGGTCGCGTACAACGCAGTTACAGAGATGTTTTCTCCCACAAACGTTCAGGTTATGGAAAGAGCTCCCTGCCTTTCCAAGAGACTACAGCATGAAGTTCTTCAAAAGGGAGGGTAAAGAGATAAAGAGAAGAATATCTTCAGGGTCGATGACGCACGCGTAATAGATACCCCTAATATTGCAGGCATTTGTAGGTTACGGTAACCGCTTACCATCAAGTGAACCATATGCTTGTTTGTCACCTCAATGATATAAAAAAAAATTCAAACATTTTATAAATGTTTATATTTACTTATAGGCACTTCATTCTTATTATTATTTGTAATTTTTCTCTCTCTCTCGCCTTGCCAATATTTCAACAATATTCGAATATGATATGAAAAAAATCATCACTCGATTGTCTATGATATATTTTCCTGAAATTAATTACTAATGTTTCCATCATCAATCTTCTTAAACCAGATTCTAAACCATTAAGTATAATATTATACTGCTGTATTATGTAAGCATGTGTTATATAAATATACTAGTAAAACCGTAATATTGTTAGAAATTCTAAAACAAAGTCAATGTAGTTAAATTTCCATTTATGAATATATAATTAATATACAATTTTTAAAGAGCGTATTAGAAGGAAAATAGAAGGTAATATAGGAAGGGAAAGACCGAGAAATGACTATATGTGACAGGTGTCATGTCGTATAGGGACATCAAAGATACGGCCTGGACTGGAACTGGTTGAAAGAGAATACATGAAAAAGTTGCCACGAAAATAGGAAACTCTTAAATAAAAAAAACTACAGTATAAAATAAAAAATGCAACATTTATAAATTGCGAAGCATGCGATATTTATATTGGTCGATCGAGTTAAGAATAAGTTGAAGTTACTTCGCGCAACTTCGTTTATTTTAAGAAACAAGTTTGCTACAAACAAGCTTGTTGTTACAGTATAAAGTATGAAGAAATTATTGATACTATTACGTTAAAGGATCACACTTTACGAGTCGCTACTTGAAGCATCGGCCGCCTACAGGGATATATTGATTGTACATATAAGCGGAGTAAAGATATAATGTTTACTTAAACACAGTTTAATAACAATTGATTGAGCCGTTATTTGCTAAAAGAAAACAAACTCACTTCTAATACTAAGTGTCTACTATGTAATGTATTCTTAGTATCTTATCCTTACATAATTTATAATAAAATTAGCAGTAGTCACTTACCATCAGGTGAGCCGCATGCTCGTTTACCTCCCTGTGTTGTAAAAAAAAATTATATACATTACATATATGCTATTAAGTTAATTCATACATTTCATACCTTTTTCTATGTTCGTGGAATGTGTGATAATTCACGTTACCATATCACAACATAATATATCTAAGAAAAATAATCAGTAGTTAGACCTACTGATGTTAGTTTAAAAAAAAATCAGGGCAGGGATGTCACAAATATGGCAACATTTGTTAGGTTTAGTTCCATAAAAACAACCGGCGAAAAGCTCATGGCGGAAGGTCGTTTTGTTTTTGCTCATTGATTCGGATCGGTCCATGTAATATGACTAGGCAAAGAGCCAACTTATTCTAAATGTAAACTTTTGCATTTATTAAAAAAAATAATGCCTTTATTTTGTTTCGATGTACTGTAATATGTGTAATGTAATAATTACCGATTTAACTTACGTGTAATTAGATCAAGAAAACGCGACTAGTTGTGGGACCACTTCGTGATCGTTAGTCATGAGCGGCTATTACGCTAGCGCGAGTCTGATTTCTTGATATACTTGACATACCTAATATAGATACGAAAATTCTACCACGCTTGAACGGCTGGATAGATTCGACTGAAATTTGATACACATGTAGGCTATATTTTTAACCCTCAACGCAAAACGACGAGGTGTTATAAGTTTGACGTGTCTGTTTGTCTCTGTGTGAGTATGTGTGTGTGTATATATGCGTGTGTGCGTGCGTGCGTGTGTGTGTGTATGTGTGTGTATGTATGTGTGTATGTGTGTGTGTGTGTGTATTGAAAATTAACGAAGCATATTAACTAATGAAATGAAAACTAAAAACTTAGATTTTTTTGTTGATTAATGCCCTAGCTAGATTAATGAAAAAAGTGGAGTGATGACTGGCACCTAAGACCTAAAGAATTATTTATTATGTATTGGGGTTTTTTTAAATTTTTTATTTTAACTCAATCTATCTAAATACGACACCTCATAGATCAAAGCGAGACTATATCCTTCAATTACTATATTATAACAACTTAACATGTTAAATTTATTTTAACATGTTAAAATAAAATTAACATGTTAAATTATTAAGTAGGTAATAATTTAACATGTTAAATTTATTTTCAAAAACCGTATGTGTTCGCGTGTTCGCGTGTATTCATCTCAATCATCTATTGTTCCTATCCTTACTAATATTATAAATATGAAAACACGTTTGTTTGTTTCCTTCTAGCACCTTGAAGGCCTAACCCATTGATGACCCATGAAATTGATATACACATACTATATGAAATATAAAAATTTTTATCTCGGTCAGTAAATATATTCCGGTCACGCGAACGAAGTCGCAGGTAAAAGCTTGTGTTATATAATAATACACATTTTATATAGGAAGTACCGAAGAATGTAAAAATACAATTTAAATTACAAAACACAATACCTACCGACAATACAATTTAAAGCATTTCTTCGAAATCCCGGAGGATTCCACGCGCTCTATGCCCAGCCTGTTACAATACAGCCTACGTAAATATCTATGAAACATTAAAAAGAGAATAATAATCCTCCACCACAATACAGTCCCGATAACGCTCCGTATTTTATTGTATGTCAGTATAAATCAAACCGAAAATATGCAAGCGGATCCACACTCCACCTTCGCTTTTCTTCCAAGCATTCGGATAAAGGGGAATGCCTAATAAAACACAATAAAATACAGTCAACCGCAGTGTTAAATCTTCACAAACGAGAATAATTCCTTTTCGCTACTTCTAGCAACACCGCGAATATTTCAAGGATGAAACGGAGTTTATTGTGCCTTCAGTCATTTAGTATTGAAATAAGTAGATATACGAGAAATAGCTACGAACGTATGTATATATAATCCTTAGTAATTTGCGTTTTAACCGCTCAACCAATTATTATGAAAGATATATACTTACTCCCTTATTCATAAAAACGTCAACCCCCTCATAAACCTATTTTAGCTATTGAACTGTTTGTCTCGTTCTTTTTGGCTATATAGTCAGTTTGAATGAAAGTGACAAAACAGTGTAATAAAATAGGGTTGTAGGAAGTTTTAGTTTTTATGAATAAGGGCAATAGTATTTGAGATAGAAAAAATATCAGTTTTTTTTATCCCAGTCAATCAATTTAATTCCAGTCCCGCAGACGAAGTCGTGTATGTTTTCTTATTTATCTATCTAATCCGTATGTATTTTATATACTTACTTTATGTTAATGAATGTATTTAAAATTATTCAAGTATATTTAGAATAACATGCTAATATTGGTATAGAGTTAAATCAACTGATAAGAGCTCTAGTTTTGGCAAAGCGTAGATGTGAAACCAAACTCTAATAATAAATAATACTTGTATAAAAATATAGTACCAAAGTAATAATCTGTAATGTATTTAACATATAATATACAAGCGAAATTCAAACCTCCTTTTGATATAATTATATAAGGTACTGTTCATTATACACTTGAATGATACTTAGAAACAAATCTCTGTAGAGAACTATATTCACACACATAGACATTATAGATCCCAATCCCACTGAGATTGCCTCCTGATCTCATTGGCCTTATTGTTAAAGATACTTCAGCTGACGCTACGCTAGTCATCTCATTACCTTTTATTTCCTAAGCTGCACTTACGAATTACGGATATACGTACCGAGAGGAAGGAATTCAAGGACCAATCCCATTGCTAACAATATACCTTATCAGATCGACCTCCTCGTGGTCCCCTGGAAACCATCGTGGTAAGTTCCAGGTGTAGTCATCACGATGGGCTAACTCACCTGCCCTTTCATTATCACTTATCATCGCTCACTGGGCCCTCCTAACGTATACCGTTAGCGCAGGCGACTTTACTTCAAAATCTTTAGTTTTGTTCTTGCGGGTTTTATGTGAACTTCAATAATTTTGAAATACTTAGAAGTAAAAATTAAAATCAAGATTTTTAAAAAACAGCCGCCGTTTCTATTTTTGTACGTGATAGAAATGGAAAACATAATAGAGAACCTGTTTTTCAATTATATTGTAGTTTCATACAAAAATTAAATAATCTAATAATCATTTATTTAACAAAACCTTTTTTTAATTTCTTTCTGCCTATAAACTAAAACTTTTCTATTAGATACGTATTTCAGAAATACATGCCACGATTTAGGTAAAAAAATATATAACCGGTTAAATAGGAAATAAACACACACAACGAAGATTGTGTGCATAAAATGATAAAGGTTTTAATTTAGACGAAAATTAGATAAGACATAAATAGAACTATGTATAAATGTATTTGTTTCTTAGTAATGAGACGCTCGCATAATTTTTATTACCTATATAGTAATTAAAGAAATTCCTAAATTCCTTCCTAATTTTTAATAGCGGTTTTACAATAGTCATCATCATCATATCAGAAATCATATTAGCCTATCTACTGCTAAACATAGGTCTCCCCTTATGGGCGGGTTTTGCCAGTAGTTGCCACGCTCAGCAGGCGGATTGGCAACCGTAGTAGGTTTTAATGATGTTTTAAAAAGGACGCTGCTGCCCATCCCTCAACCATAAGTTCCCTTAGTCGCCTCTTACGACACCCACAGGAAAGGAAGGGGTGGCTCATTGTATGCCGGAGCTTACACGGCGACAATAGCACCTCATTATAATTCTGTACAAAACGTATCAAATATGTTTTAATCTAAGGTTTTAATACTTTGTTATGTAGAATAAAGAATGATGAACGCTCGTTTTTCTTTTACAGTTTCAATAAAAAAAATACCCCTTATGTGTTCCTAGTCTGACCAAGGCCGCGTTATCGTACCCCTGGGCGCTATTTTGTGAAACAGAGCACGTGGCTTAGTCTCGAACATTTTTCACCCACTTCACTTGTGGTGTGTATTAATCGAAGAGAGAATCTACAAAAACAGAACAGTTGTACAATTTATAAGATTTTTTCAAATTAATATTCTACGAAACTAAATATTTTTTTAGTACCTCTTTTGGTGTAACATTAGTTGTATCATATATACTTGTAGGTCGGCTTAAGTGCTCAACACATGTTCACTATTTAGGTATTCACTTAGTAAAAACAAAATTAAAAAATAATAATTTTGCCAGTAAATAAAATTCTAATTTTAAGAATTCCAATAAGCTTTATATTCATTATTATGTTTTTAAGTAGTATAAATCGACTCTGTATTCAACCAAAATTCTGATTTCTCTTTTTAATTAACGTACAACTAGCTGAATAGGTCACCTACAGCATACAAATTTATATTTGGATATGATGAGATAAAATATAGATGAAATAAAATTACTAGTATCGAATAGAGGCAAAGGTTCACTCAATCAATGATTCAAGGTAAAACCGATAATCTTACCTTCCATTCCATTTATTTTCAGTAGCCACTGTTCCTTTGTTATCAGGTCTTAGCCCAAAACGTGTCTTCTTAGGTAGCATATTATAGTAGATCAATATTTCATGTAGACACATCTACAGTTCAGCACACTCATTTTAAACATTTATCGCTGTCCAATAATATTATATGTATATATACACCTTATTTTAATAGAATAGATATCTACCTACCTAAAAACATCACGGTAGTCACTATCTATACTATATAATTGCTCATGGTCGTGTCGTACCTTTGAATGAACTTAATCTAATCTTACTCAAGAAAAAAGCTATTTAAGAGAAACGTGATGATAATAAAAAAGCTTAATATTGTAGTTCTCTTTCATCACAGAATTGTAAAAACATAAGACAATAGAAAATCAGTATAAAAATATAAAAGAAAGAGTACGATGGCCAGTAATAAGCCACACTATTTATATAACCCTACCAAATTCAGGTATAATCTACTTGCATACTTTCTATATATACAGTGCGTCAAACTTATGTGTCCAAACTTATCTTTTTGTAAACTGTGTCGAATATATAATATAGTAATGTAAATGAACAAAAATTTGACAAACACATTTTCTATACACTAGCCTGCTATGAATTAAGAATAATAGCAATGATGGTGTATCTTTCGTCCTCTTTTTACTAATTATATTTGCTTAAGAAGAAAGTAGGCAACCGTATGATTTACAGTTTTTATTTTATCATTCCTTCTATATGCAATTCCTTGTTCTTATGTTGGAAACACAAACATAGAGTATAGATTTGAGAATAGACAATTATTTTGACTTTGACATTAGTTTAATAGTCTCGATGATCTATGCAATCTTTTTACAGAGACTGATAAATTTGATCTTATTCCTTATCAGCGAATTTTTTAATATTTACCCTAAATCTAAATTCAAAAGAATAAATCCATTTTATGTTATTTTAATACACATGATGTAAAAATTATTGATTTTACAACATGGAACGTGACATTTGTTTGAAACGTCTATCTCAGTGATTTTAATGAAATCGCAATTAAGTTTTTACATATTTTAGTTTTCATTGTGATACGTGTTACCTTAAATGTGCAAAGCGGTCTATTAAATGCATACGACAATGTTCTCATATTTTCTCATCTATACCTAAAATGTCTACAAGTAAGGGATCGGAAACGACCAGTGTTGACTTCGATCCTATTTTGCCTGATACAGGAGTTTTGTTTTACGAAGAATGTCCTACGGACTACGAGATTGAACGGCCTAAATTGTTACCATTGAAAACTACTACTCAAGTCCGTTTTGAGCAGCTGCAACACGAAGCGGCAAGAGTTTGGAGAGAAAAACAAAAAACTGCAAAGAAAAAATAAAATTTTGTACCATTGCTAGCCCACCACAATGATGTACACATTGTTTGTGATAGAATTAATATCGGCCTTTATTTTAGCGGCCACTTTATTGTACAGATATGGAGACTGTTACAGAAATCACATAATTGTGACTGTTTCTGTTTTAACAGCATGGTACTTCTCTTTTGTTATTATGTTCATTTTACCACTGGATATTACATTTGTAAGTGATTTTTTACTTACTATTTTCTGTTTTGCCTAAACCAGTTAAGATAAAAAATATCCCATATGTTTATCTAGGAAATCATTCATTGGTCTTCCATAACATTGACAAATAGTAAACGATTATTGTTAGTAACCTATAAATAAATAATATAAAATCTGGATAACAACCTCAATTGCTATTATTTGCTGTTTCCCATAGATTTGCCTGTATGCTTCAATATATAATGTATTCTACATATTAAATGAGGATTTAACCTACCCGTATAATAAATTTCATTCAAATCTATTCAGCTGTTTAAAAATGATTGAACAACAAATAACCTTTACTAACTCTTATATTCATAAAATTAGTAAAATTACTTGTAGATTAGTCTGTTATCTTATGCATCTATATCTTACACATAAATTTCAAACAAGAAAATCACTTTGTAAGAAAGCAAACATGGTAGTTTGTGGTTAAATTTTACTCAAAATTTGTCTTTTAAGCCAATTAAGGAAACAAAATTCAAATGTATATTTACTGTATTCAATAAACAAATAGTAGAATTATTTTATTCAAAAGAATGTGTATTTAAAAAATATATAAATATTTAAAATTTTTATTCATCATTAGATATTTTAAAGTAATATAACTTTGAAACATTAGGGTATTTCATAGTCATAATTACTATTATAAATGTTTATTAATTGCTAATTAATTGAACTTGGATTTATAGCTTAATTCAGTTAATATTCACACAATTAAACTTAAAAATGTAAAGTAATAATAAAATTATTTAAAAGAGCAACACGCAAGTTTCTTGCTCGTTCTTCTTGTGATGAGACAACTTTCCGAACGAGCGGTAGATTAAAAAAAAATGTAATGACTTTTCAAAAGTGCTTCAATGTAAGTTTATTTGAATTGATTTCTATTCTATTCTATTCTTAATTATTTGATAAATGTTAATGCATTAAATTATATGCATTATTATAAATTACAATTTAAATTATTTAAAAAATAAATATAAAGTTTTTTACTATTATTATTTTTTTTTTATTATACAGACTATCCAGCGTTCACAAGAGAACATAACAAACACACAGCCAGTACAGCTGAGCAACGAGACCACCACTGTTGCACCTCCTGTAAACCCTTGTGAGCAAACATGGAACTGTGTGTTTCCTAGCCTTTGGAGAGTAGTATATTGGACATCACAATGCTTGACATGGTATGTGGACACATAATATTTTTTTCCAACTTATTTTAATACTTTTATTTACACTTTTTTTTTCTTGATCTTACACTAGATTACCCGCTAATTATTTTCTCCCTCATTGCACTGGATTGGCTGGAAGAGGTATTTTCAGAGATAAGCCCACTCTGGCTAACAAGTTGTTGAATTAATCACTTTTTTTTTCAAATGCAATAAAGAACATATAATATCACTGTGAATGAATATGTCAGTTAATAATGCTGGCCATCACAGATGCACATAATTTTTATATTAAAAAGCCTATGTGGCTGTAGTGTTCAAAAATAGTATGCATCTTATTTTATATAATATAGTATGGATTAATTGAAAAAGTATATTTAGTTATGTATTTGCTGTTTCAATTTACAAAGGGTTTTGACAGTTACATTAACAAGTACCAATATCTATATATAAAGTTATTCCTGACGTCCCGTATCTGACTGACATAGTCTCCCAAACAATCTGAATCATCACAAAAATAAGAAAAAAAAACTTTTAATTACAATATTAACAAACATGAATACAAGTATCTTTCGTTGGTTTATTTGTTTGTAATCGATAAACTTAAAAAATACTTAACCAGTTTTAAAGTCTTTCACCTATATAATGTTACATTGTCAGCAAGTATAGACTATCAATTATTTCCGAAATTTCTATCTACCGTGTGAAGCCAGGTTGGATCAGTAATTTAATATATTGCCATTTGTTTCAGGCTTATAATGCCCATGATGCAATCTTACAGTAAAGCTGGAGATTTCACGGTCAAAGGAAAACTCAAATCAGCATTAGTGGACAATGCAATTTACTATGGTTCATACTTGTTGATATGTGGTATTCTCCTAATATATATTGCTTTAAAACCTGGGGTCTACTTAGATGGCCCCAAAATCAAAGCCATAGCATCCTCAGCAAGTAACACTTGGGGTCTATTCCTGTTGATTCTCCTACTTGGTTATGCATTAGTGGAAGTTCCAAGAAACTTGTGGAATAATTCCAAGAAAAATTACACTTTAACATACAGTTATTTCAAGATAGCTAAATTGAGTACTGACAAATGTGAAGCAGAAGAAACTGTAGATGACATTCTGGATGTAAGTTTGATGTTCCTTTATATTAATTTAGTCAGTCTTTAATATTATTATTATATTAATTTAATAAGTCTGTAATATTAGATGATGTTTTACACCATACTTCCAGTTGATGTTTGTTGTTAATGATTAAAATACCTAAATTAGGATTGTATCATCTTTATTTCTATCCTATATACCCACAGCAATGCTATTTTGTTATAGTCATATGTATTAAATTTACCGACTGTAATTCATAAAAGTGTTACAATGACATTCTTCATGTTGAGACAATACATATGGCATATTGAAGAATATGTTCCAGGAAGAGGGGCATCCCTTTTCACTTAGCTAATAGCTTTCACTGGTTTATGTGTTTGTTATGTAAAAAAAAAGCTTTGTAATAATTGTTGGAAATGGCAATGATACTATCAATATTTTTAATATGGCAACTCGGTTCTGTCTTCTCTTCTAGTTGACATGACTTCTTTTTGTCTGCTAATAAAATATTTATAAAATTAAGAAAACTGTGTTTTTATCTCGCACAAGTAATACATTTTATACTATTTTTAATTAAAATGTATAATAATCTGCATGATATTTTTTACATTTTAATATTTTTGACAAATTTATAATTTTTGATTTAATCTGTTTTTAGAGTTTAAACTCGGTGACAGCAGCCGTAGGGTCTGGACATCCTCTCCATCGACATGTGGAGACTATAATACAAAAGTTACCGATACAGTTGCGCGATCGATTGGACTCGCGCGCACCACCCGAAAGATCCCAGCCACCATCTCTGAAGTCTCTTGTCAACTTGCATAAAAAGGTATTACTATTATATTATATTATTCTAATTATGTCGGTTTTACTAATGTGTTAAGTTCGGAAATGTCTGACTAGTTTCGAACTGGATAGGAGCTCTGATTCATGAGCGCGTTCCACGGCTGTGTCGTATGTCATTCCCATAAATAATTACAATACACATATAATACAATATTGTGAGTTATAACTCACAATAGTCATTAATCAGCAGGGTACAATTATATTTATATTAAATTAATTGCTTTTTATAAAAAAAATCATCACACTATAGAACTTCCTTCACAATACTACAATGTGACGACCCATTGCAAGAACAAATATCCCTCGTTCTGACGTCGTATAAAGTGACTTTTATTAACGTGCACCATATATAATATGGTATAATATATATATGTAATATAATATATACTACATATATAATATGCACACACTCCTATTTTATGGATAACAATGTAAATCCTTTCTTAAATTAATAGCACATTGTGGCATTATAGATTTGCACTTTATAACATTGCATTCATGAAATTTCCATGATATGGTATATTATATCACTGATTTATACATTTTGTCATCGTATAGTAGTTTTAAGAGAGTCCTAAGTTTTAAAAAAATATTACATAATCCATCCACCTATCAAATAAATGTTTTTTGTAGATTTTAATTTTATATGTTATGATTAACAGACGATTAAAGCATTGCACGTGCTACAACGCACAGAGACGCAGTGGGGACTTATGCTGGAACGTATCTTTCACTTGGAAGACATCGCGTCCAACCTGCGCTCACCAGACAGACGCTTCCAGCACACGTTTCACACGCCGCGTCCGAGGATTCAGCGAATTTTTTACCCGCCCATTATTGGTGAGATGAGAACATTTATAACATTATACGCTGGATTGCGCACATACTGGATTTATTTATACTACTGTGGTACTACCACAACAAACAAACATATTGCTTACCTGATAGTTAGTAGTTAATCTAGACAACACGAAATACTTATTAAATAGAAAACTTTATTTTATATTTTTCTTTATTATTTTCCTACCCTTCTCCTAATTATTATTTGTGATCGGTATAATTTGTTCTATCCACATTACAAAAAGATTTGGCTTATGATTTTACGAACCGCTTGCCTACCGTCAACCCTCTTGAGAACACATTTGTTGGTTGTTTCCGCCATCTGCAGTTATTTTTACTAATTTTTTAATAAATAAAATTTGTGAGACATGATGTTTATTCACTTTAGTCTCTGAAATCATCGATCAATTGATTTTAATGAAATTTTGTAAATATCTCCTATCTACAAAACATAAATAGGATATTTTTTATCATAAGAAAATATAGACCTGGTAAAAAGATGGCGATCGACCTGATAGGGTTTATTGCTAAAAATAAGGTTGCTATTAACTATTCTTTCTCCCACAGTGTAACACACTACATCATCGATAGATCGATAGAGATATCATTTATTATAATTATTTTATTCTAGAATGGTACTGGGAGTGTTTCGTGAAACAATACTTCCTGAAGACTATGGCGGTGATAACGTGCATACTCTCCGTGGCGGTCGTCTGGTCGGAAATGACATTCTTCTGCAAGAAACCTGTACTATCCATATTCGCGAACATTGTTATAGCAGCTAAAGATAACTACAACTATGCTGCAATTGTAGTAAGTTCTAAATATATCTCTGTCTCAATTCATTTTCATAATTATTGATTGAGTCATTAAAACATCAAAAAAATAACAATTTTTCGTTTTGTGATAATAATAACTAGTCAAGTCAATATCTTATTTATACAAGAAGATATTTAAGAAAAAAATATATGAAAGCAATAGAAGACAATGATTTTTAGACATCTTGTCTGTCTGTATATTTGTTCCAACATCGCATCGCATGGGGGGTATCATGGGCGAAACAGTATGCTCTGTTATGTCCATGGTACTGCTCATGTCTATCGGTAACGATTACCACTTTTTATCAGGTGGGCCGTCAACTTGTTGGCCATTCTAAGTTGTATAAAAAAAATCGCGCAAAAACTACTGCACAAAATTGAATGTGATTTGTCTTCCTGAGGGCCTAACTTGAAAACTAGTGTATTTTTTATTTTGAGAAGCCATTTAGAATTTGACTAGTCTTTGATGTAAAAACTAATCAGAATAATATTTCATTACTTATTTTCAGTCACATTAATTTTTTTTTGTTTAATTATTTACAGACAATATCAACAATGATAATAGCCTACATGTTCTATTGTGCGTACTCCACGGTGCTCAAGATTCGTCTCCTGAACCTCTACTACCTGGCCCCACATCACCAGACCAACGAGTACAGCCTGATCTTCTCCGGTATGATGGTGTGTCGCCTCACGCCGGCCATGTGTCTGAACTTCCTCAGTTTGGTGCATATGGACTCGCATGTTATCAAGGAGAGAATCATGGAGACATATTACACGCAGGTACTGTTTGTTTTCGTTCTCAAATATACATTATTCTTAATTTATTTTTTATACAACTTAGAATGGCAAACAAGCTGACAGCCCACCTGATGGAAAGTGGTAACCGTCGCCTATAGACATGAGCAGTACCATGGACATAACAGAGTATACTGTTTCGCTCATGATACCCCCCATGCATTGCCATTCCTGAGGACTCAAGTGTTATTCCTCCGTATCCCACCCTTCAAACCGAAACAGCCATGCAAACACAACTGCTACACGGTTGAAACACGAATGGGACAGAGGTACCCAAGCAAACGACTTTTGTACAAAGTCTCCCTCTACCTATTATAACGTACAAAAATGTACGCTAAGGTTTAATTATCCCTTATCACCGCGGGCATTCATACTTCAGACATTCAATAATTATTTTTATTTCTAATAGCATAGGGTTCCTTTTTAGATAATGGGTCACATGGATGTATTGGGCATCATCGCTGAGGGCTTCAACATCTACTTCCCGATGCTAGTGGTACTGCTGTGCCTAGCCACGTACCTCTCGCTCGGTAGCCGCCTGCTCTCATTTTGCGGCTTCCAGCAGTTCGTTGGAGATGATGAACTCACCACCGACTTAGTGGACGAGGGACGGGAGATCATCAAAAGGGGTATGAAGATTTACTTACATATGTTCTATACAAACAAATTTTACCTACACTATATTTGTATAGTTATTGAAGTTTGTAAAGATATTGGAACATTTGTTACTTAAATTTTCTGAAATTACTAAGATAATGTCCCATCGAGTTCCAATACCAATTTCCTTGATTTTACTAGTTTCAAAATTGAAAACTGTATATTTTTAGAAAAACGCAAACGGCAGCGCGCTGAGGAGACGTTAACCCGTCGCCGAGACTACAGCGAAAGGTTCTCGAACTATCGGAACGCGCGCGATCGGCAGGACGGAGGTAATACGGCTCAGCTTAATGTTTTTGTAGTATTATAATCTATTTCAATAGAACTTAAAAAAAAAAAAAACAATAATTGGCTCCACCATAGAACAGCCTACTGATGTCAAATAGTGGTACAAATCAAATACCGATCAATTGATTAAATGTTTCGATCTGTTACAAGTTTCATTTAGAGACTGTTTCTGTGATAATTTCAACTAAACTTGACTATTTCATTGAGTTATATTGAAATAGACTATAATAGTGTATAATTATCATATACGGCAATTCATTTTTATTGATAACCAGGGCGATGGGTGGGGTTTCAAAGAGATTCTTTATAAAAATTGTAAAAACTTTTATAAAAAATCTCTAAAAAACTGCTTTTACTTTTACGTGTTTTTTTTTATTTTTTCTTATCGGGATATATAATATCTTATCTCTTAACTTGAAATAAATAATACATATATGTATTGTTATTACTATATCAAATTTCATTAAAATCGGTTGAGTGATCTAGGAGATTAGCATGAACGAACATCATGATATTGTATTTTTGAATATTAAAGATATAAAGATTTTTTTCTAAAAACTAAACTATTGAACCGATTTTGATAAAATCTCTAATCGGTTTAGAACTGACGGAATTGTGAGATAACAAATATAAAAAAATAGATGTATTATGCTATTATATTGATTATATTGTAACGATAAAATCTAACTAACAATTAAGTGGATGACTTACATTTTCGAATAAATCATATTTCAATTTTTATCATTTCCAAGTACTTTATCATACTCTGTTAATTAATCTGTACCTATGTGTGTAATAATAATAAACGATTCCATTACTGCATATATAATTACCAATATTTTGAACAAATTAAACGCTAAAGCGTATTTTTATATAAAGTGAGATAGGGCGTCCGGCGTCTTTTGAAGAGGTCCAACGTATTTCGTAAACCGCGAACATAATATAGTTTTAGTTGATTTGCATATGTATGTGTACAAAATATACAGCGTGCCAGATACTCGTCGTACGTCCGTTCGTCCAAATACAGTTCAAGGTCACGTCTGCGACTGACGGCACGGTCGTTCATTATCCGCGGCTGAAGGACGCGTTCGATTGTGTATATCTGGAAATAAATACCAGTAACCTAAAGACATTGCCTTCCTTAGGCAGAATACAGATTATTTTATATTACTGCGTTACTGCAATGTAGAAATGGAATCGTTTGCAACTGTTGTGTTCTTGTTCTATCTATGTTCCTTGTTCACCCCACTTGTTACTACTTCGGTGATGGGCTTATACACTTAAGCGCCACTCATCGAGCACTATTCGCTCACCATTAATTTCACCGGTTATTGTGCATGTCGGTCACTTTTCAGCCCACACCGGGCTATTGAACGACGTGGACTCAGACTACTACGTGACTCCCAGCCCTGAACGCTCACAGAATGTCACCGGTTACCAAAGAGCCGAGCTACCATACAACCGCACCGATTTGACTCTCGAAGATGAATTAGATCATCGTTTTGGAGAGAGCACTCAGACTACAATTAGGTCTGATAGAAGAGATAAAATGACTATGCCCCCGAGAGGGCTTTTCGATGATGTATAAATGTGCAATATAGCTTTAAGTGAAGTTAGAACAAATTATAGAAGTGTTGGAAGCTGTTAACTCGATAGAAGTAGAGGCAAAAGCCATATTGTATGAAAATCTGTTTGTAACGTTATTAGATGTAATAGGATTGAGTAGTAAAGTAAAGGCTTATTCCACATAACCACTCTACAAGTTTACAGTTTATAAATACATTTTTTTTTTCTGACAGGATTAAAGTGAATAACAAATCTTTTAATAAATTCTCTGTGACTGACGAATTCTTGCCCCGATTATGTATTTCATTACGCCGATATGCTGTTCCCTTCCTTTCGCGTGGGTGTAAAACATCTCCAATACCTAATTGCGGTTGCCAACCCGCCTGCCAAGCGTGGCAACTACTAGTAAAATTAGAGAGATCTATGTCCAGCAGTTGACAATTAACGGTTGATATGGTATGGTATGGATATCCTGTTAGATATTAATTGAAAGAGTAAATTAAAATATATACATACATACTTCTATTAATAGTCTTTTATTACCTAATATTTTTTTATAATAATTCTAATAAAATTATATATTCAAAATATAGATTTAATTCAGCGATAACATATAATGGTATTCTGTGGAATAAACCAAAACATACGAGTCTTAAGTCAATTGCAAAGTGCCATTTAAACACTGCAATATTGATTTTAAATCGAAGTGTACAGTTGTTTAAATTGCATAGTAGTTCTGTGGAATACGACCCAGATATTTGTAAATGATTGTAAATTTACGCACAGGATAATGCAATGTTTTTTTATTTTTATTTTTTTTAACACAAGAGGCCTTTACTCAGCACCTGTTAGTTCTTCATTTTTGTATATAGTCTTCGCAAACTATGTTATTAATAATTTTTATTACAATCAATAAATCTATATAATAATGTGTAGTCATAATAGATTATTAAATAAAATTATATTATTATTTTGTGCTGTCGTGAGTGTGTACGTTTGTGTGTTTGTGAGTGCAAGGGACGCATATTATAAATGTTATGTACAATTTGCTTCGTCCATATTTTGTAATTTAGTATTTATTGCTTTTAAATTATTCCTAATTAAATAATTTATATACATTATATATATACATAAATATTTTAATTTTATGACATCAAATAACGTATAGTCTGAATTAATGAAACTTAATAAAAATATAACCAAACATTGTCGAAATTATCACAGAAACATTGTCTGAAATTTTTTGGTAACAAATGGAATCATTGATTCAGTTAATTGATTTTTTATTTGTACTAACATCGGACATCGACTGTCTGTATTCGAGTCAATTATTCGTTTGTTTAAATGTTCATTAAGTTTTATTAAAACGGACTATGTAAGTAAATAATAAAATTGTAATAGTTGATTTTAAGTTTTCGCGTTGTTTACCTATAATATATTAAATACACAATCAGCGCTTAACGCGATGAAAAACTTTTGCAGGTAAATAGTAGCTTGATACCTGCTTCTTCATTGCTAACGTTTCAATGTAGATTGCTATCTTGACGAGGTTTTTTCATCACGCAAGTCCCGATAGTGTATTTAAAATGAATAAAATTGTAATTACTATATTCTTCAAACAATCGATATTTATATTTTTAACAAAAATATAAAGAAAATAATTACTCAATCAAAGGTCAATTTTTCAAATATTATTTATGCTTCACCATTTTTATATCACATGGAAAAGATTATATACTCGTAGGTCTATGCTTTGAAAGATAATCTATAAGGTTATATTTGTTGATTGTATTTAGGGGATAATCTAAGGAGCTACTGAACTCATTTGAAATTCAACACGAGATAACGAGTAAAGACATGGTCTTATATAAGTATAATTATTATTAAAAATCACTAAATACTACTACTTACTGACTTTTCTACTTTGCCATAATAAACTTTCACTCATAATTAAATAAAATGTCAATAATATCACTATTGCCAATTAATTTTGTATAAAATGTAACTTTAATAATTTTTCGCGCTAATGGTCTCGTCTTTTGAATAAACGAGAAATTTCTTAGTATATTGTAGTGAGTACAATACACAATGTAATTTTCTGTATTTCGAGTCTGAGTAAGATTCACATAACTAATAACACTAATAGAATAAAATCTTTCTTGAGGTAAACTTTAAATTCTGACAGCATTGTCAACGAAATTATCTATACATATAATAAAACTGCAGCTAAACAATGAGGGTCGATTCTGAGGTGTCGTCTCTCTAAACCTACCTAAAATTTAAATTTCAATTTGATATCACAGCAAAATCTTTATTATAAAGATCAAAATTAAATTTCTGATTATAATTCAATAGTATTTATAAGTTTAGTTTAATGACGATTCATACAATTATAATTTTGCAAAATTTACAGATTCTTAAATTAATAGATAGGTTTAGAGTTATGACCTAATTGACCTCATTGTCATCTTATATAAAAATTTTCAGCCAGTATAAACAAAAATCGAATTTCTAACAGCAGCTTTTTGCATGTAAATTACTTATTGATTGCCTAAGCAATTTAGTCACGCCTTATTTGTGTCAATTTTATTTTTATATATTTTTCTAAATAATTTTAAGGCACATCAGGGTAACAAAGCTTTGCAAACAATCATAATAATTCTATATGTTAAATTTCAAAGACAATAAAAACACAGGACATAACATGTGATAATATTGTTAAACCCAATATTCACCGGTAAATATTTTCATCATCTCATGTTTTTAAACAGGTGGCTTTTTATTCAATATGTACTTTTAATATTTTTGCATTACTATAAATAAGTTCGAGTGCATCGACTTATTGTATCGTTTAGTTTACAAAAAAATTGTTTGCCATCCGATTTGAGAATTTTTTAGAATATCCTGTACACAAGGCGCCTGATAATATTACTATGGATTGTAACTGTTGCTTATTATTATACCTTGTTTCATTCCATAAAATTAAAACGAATTGCAAGCGTATTATACTATTGTGATATATTTATGTGTTTCATTGCATTTACCTTTTCTTTATGGAAATCCTTAATAAATTATAAATATACGAGTTTGTTTGACCTGTCTTAACGATTAAACCATCATGAACATTTCGCATATTACATGTATGCGAAATTTTCATGATTGGTATTTTCGATGAAGAAGTGAACTACGTCTTATTTCTATTTATTTATGCAACTTACAATTTCAAACAAGCTGACGGCCCACCTCCTGGAAAGTGGTAACCGTCGCCTGAACAGTATACATGAACAGTACCATGAACATAACACGAGTATACTGTTTCGCCCATGATACCCTCCATACGTTGACCTTCCTGAGGAAGAACAATATATCCCGCTCATGTAATAAATTGGCGGTTAAAAATTTTAGTCTTATTTTTATGTAAAGTGGGTTGCCTGCCAGTTTTCCCACATCAAAAAGTCCACCCCTGACGACGGCGATCGATAGAATGACGATGATTAACGAGTTACGAAAACTCGTAAATACTAGTCTTCATTTATGGGAGCTAATTTTAACAGCTTGTGAATCGCCATACATTGGATTATTTGACTTGACAATAATGTTATTTCAGTTATGTAAAAAAAATTAAAATCTGAAAGTTTCTGACCACTTCTAGTAGAAAGAAAAGAAAATGCACGTTTGCAACTATTTGGTAAACAACTAAATATATAATAAAGAAATATTCAAAACAAATTCTTTATAAATTCATTTTATTATTACGATTCCACTGTGAATAAATAAAAATTACACATTTTCTACTTAAAATGAACTTTGATACTATCAACTTTGGTTCTAATTTCATGTGATGAATCCTTTGATAGATCTTGAGCGTAACACTGGTATATTTCTTTTAATTTATTTAATTCTACTGTTCTGTTCAAATCTGTAAAAAAAGGTACAATTTTATTGACGTAATAATTAACGTTTTATTATATCAACACAAAGGGTAAAATTGTATGCTGTGTTCAGGTTTGGAAGGTAATAGGTAATAACAGGTAAAAATAGCAGTCAATTTATTGAGTACTATGATGCCGAAAAACTGCTAAAAACCGACAAGATGATTTGTGTCAAACGATCGAAATCATACTGAATAGACACCAAACGTATTACTGATGTCAATTAATAAAAATTGTGTACCACAAAAATCGACATTTATTGTAGCTAAACCAGTTATTTTTCACTTAAAAATTAAAATACTGAACTGATTTTGGTAAAATTTCTATGGAACCAATCTGTGGGTATATCCTACCAAATAAAAAAAGAATTTTCCACATAGGTTTAGAACCAACGCGAGTTATAAACTTACAAACATATAAAAAATACAACCGAAAACCTTTTTTCTTATAGTCTGTTGAAAAGTACAGTATTTTTTTTTTTTCAAATATTTATGCCCTATTTAATATAGAAGATTATTTAACCCTTTTAGTGCCATTGATTTTTACTCATATCTACTTAAAAATGCCAAAGAAATCTTTGTCGTGTTGATGTCATTTACCCTTGCCTCTGAAAAAAACTGTATCTCCTCCAAAAATTATTCAATTTTAATATTTTTTTACAGCAAGCTAAACAGCGACTGATTTCACGAGCGCTATGACGCTCGTGGCACTTTTAGTTGCAATGCGCACGAGCGCGATGGCACTCGTCGGCACTCAAAGGGTTAATATACATTCCTATTTTCACATCAGTTTCCTTATAGAATAAGCAGAGTAAACAAAACAATAATGTCTTATTGAGATTTATTGTTCATAAATCTTTTATCTTTCCATACAACCCACTTCATTATTACGCGACTTAAATATCAAACTTGCATACAGTTTATTACCTTTTAATTGTTTTATAAGTATTTCCATTATATTCAGGGCGTCTCTCCGGTGCCTTACTTGATTGCTGTTTTCTATAATAAAACATAATGTTAATTAGAATTTATTATAAGCAGTAAGCAGATACAATAACGAAATCCATAACACCGGTACAGAAGACCCATACAAACATTTTAATATTACTTTTATTAGTCTTAGAACTTAGTCTCAAAATAATACATGCAAAACATTTTTTTTTTTTTTTGGATGCACAATAAAATTTCTTAATATGAACTTTTTACAATATAAAAGTCTCTTAACATCCTTGTTATTATAAAGTTGTGATTAGTAGAGTTTTGACCATTTGTTTATATCATCATCATCGTTACATTTCAATTTAATCAGTGCATTAAATACAAATTCTTTTAACACTTACTCAACGTGTAATCGACGATGAATGAAATATGCTCCGTGACATTAGCTATAGACTTATCCCTGTTGTTTGTGGACACGTTGTCCGTCTCCATGGGCTCGTCAGTGCTCAATATGGTGAGCCTCTCTAATACGCGCGTGATGGACGTCAAGATGGCCAGTTGCGTCGACCTTGAACTCGACGAGTACGACTGTGCGCAATGTTCAAAGAACACGTCTTGATATTTATCTGTTGACACACAATATTAGAAGAATTAGATCAAACATTTCCCAATTTGTTTCAATTTAAAAAAAAAAGGAGATAGAGAAGGCAATATTGATTATAATTATATTATTTAAAATACTTTTATTGCTATATTATTTATTGTTGTATCGTAAAATTTTTAATAAGGCGTATATAAAAAAATATTAAACAAAATCATTTTGTAATAAATATAGTAGAAAAAGCACTAAATAATATCACTGATACAAATATAATCAAGTTCCATCATAATGTCACAAATAGTGAATTCTAGATTATTGATATGAGGTGAATAAAGATGTATTTATATATATAAAAATATATAAAATACATCTACTTGCATAGTGTTATTCAGAAATAATATTATTACCTTGTGTCTCTTGGTCTTTTGGCCAAGCTTTGCCTAAGAGTTCATAAGCCGCTTCTTTTAATGCAGTCAATTGTTCTCTCCTCTGTCGAGCACCTTCATTGTCCTCCTCATCTGATTCCTTGCCAACTGATGATTCGTCCTAAGGACAAAAGTATATATCTATAGAAACATGTCATGTACGAGGTCTGTCCGGAAAGTTCGTATAAAAGTGTTCTGGAATGCGAGAAAGAGGAGTGGGGAGGCCAGGTAAGCGCAGGACCTCTTCCTTATGTCCCTAACAATGCTTCAGTTCTGGTCTGACCGCCGTGCGGTGCGAACTGGCTTGTCACGCCATCTGTGAAGTTACCTCTTAACGAAACCCCGTCGGCATGGAGCCCGCTTCCGTTGAAGAGCAGCGCGTCGTAATCAAGTTTCTCTCGAAACTCGGCAAGAATGGCCGTGAAAGCAAAGAGTGGAAGACATCCGGGGAACCACGAACAAAAAAATCAAGAAAATCCCGCTCAAATGTCAAGACAATGTTGATTGTTTTTTTCGATGTTCGGGGGATTGTCCATCAAGAATTCGTCCCTCCAGGCCAGACAGTTGATGGAAAATTCTACGTCGATGTGCTCAGACGCCTCAAAGCTCGTGTGGCACGAGTTCGTCCAGAATTGGCGCGAGAGGGGCGTTGGATTCTTCACCACGACAATGCCCCTGCCCACACCTCTCTTGTTGTCCGTGAGTTTTTGAGTAAAAATTCCATTACGGTGACCGAACACCCCCCCCCCTATTCGCCGGATTTGGCCCCGTGTGACTTCTTCTTGTTCCCAAAAACCAAATTGGTACTTCGGGGGCGGCATTTGGGGGACATAAATGAGATAAAAAAAGCTACGACGGGGCAGCTGAGAAACCTACAACCAGAGGACTTTCAAGGAGCCTTCTCACAGTGGAAACGGCGTTGGCACAAGTGCATTATGTCACAGGGGGAGTACTTTGAAGGGGATAAAATTGATTTACCTGAATAATTGTAAAATAAAATTTTTAAAAAACTTTTATACGTACTTTCCGGACAAACCTCGTATCTATGAATATTAATTACGATTATATTTCATAATTTTATTATACATATATGATACATATTTGATATATACTATAGATATTTGAAATCAAAAGATGGGAGGACGATTTACCTAAAGGATGGAGGAAGTCAGCTAGGGATAGAGGAAAGTGGAATCAATTGGGGGAGGCCTATGTCGACAGACAACCTGACCAACATAATGGTTGCTAGTAAGCTAGTTTAGTAATAAGTAACATGTAAGTTAAAGTAAAATTGTGGTCAGAGAATAAAGGCTTTATTATTATATTATTATTATTATACATATTTGAAACCATTTTTGTTAACCTTGCATCTCAAAATAGAAGATAAAACATTGGCGTATAACAAATTTAGTACTCGAGTTTAATATGCGAAAGAATAAGTAATTAATATCATAGACTTGGTATAACATACTAACTACTACACTTTATAATGTAAGAAATTATACAATCTCGTTGTATAAATTCTGTTGTTTTTGTAAAACCTTTACGACGCGCACATAAATAAATTCTGCAGCGTTTAACTTGAGCAATGCGACTGACCTTGGACAATATGACCTTCACGATCTCGTAGACTTGGTTAAAGCGGTCGCAGCCGGTCGCCGCGAGCGCATCCCCCAGCGCCGAGATAGCGTGCCGCTTGTACACCATCTCTTGTTTGCGACACTCCACTACCAGCGCGTTGAGGCAGTCCGACACTAGCGACGCGGGAATAGGAGCCTCGCCTTCTTTTACTCTAGTTTATAAAAACAAAACATTCTGTTTAAGAATCACTTCGCAGAACTAATTATTAATTTGATGATGGGATAAAAATATAACTTGTCACTACTCTGTCATCGTCAAGTTCTTGTAAGAGACAAAACATATAAACACCAGAGCAAGAATAAGAATATTTGACATAATTTTTTTTTTATACAACTTAGAATGGCAAATAAACTGACGGCCCATGTGATGGAAAGTGGTAACCATCAGTACCATGGACATAACAGAGTATACTATTTCTTTCGCCCATGATACCCCATCATGCGTTGCCATTCCTGAGGACTCGGATGTTATTCCTCTGTACCTAGTAAACTTACGCCATATCCCACCCTTCAAACTGAAACACAGCCATGCAAACACAACTGCTTCACGGTTGAAACACGAATGGGACAGAGGTACCCAAGCAATAGACTTTTGTACAAAGTCTCCCTCTCCCTCAAATAATTAACTGTATAGTCAATGTAATAGTAAGTTATATCCCCTTTTATGAAAAAATTCGCGCTTAAAAGTAGGAGTTACTGACTATTTAAAAGGACGGCAATTATTATAATTATTACTTTACTAGAACAGCTAAATTGCTGAGTCAAGAAATGCGATTACCCAGAATAGCAAAAAGAGTTTATTATAAGGTAATACATTCATTATTTTGTTAAAATTGTTTGTGCCGGGAACGACAAAATTAATTTTGTCCGAACCGCCAAAATATCTAGATCTGGGCTTGCTTACTATATAGTGGATATACTGACTGGCAGAGTTGTGCAAGGGCCTGCAGGAGGTGTTCCTTGCCGGCGAAGGTCTTCCCGTGCGCGGCGGCCAGCAGCGCCCGCAGTAGAGGAGGCCGCTGGTCGCCCACGCCCGCCGAGCACTCCTTGCTCACTGTTATTATCGCGTACGCGCCCTGCTCGCGATGACAATAACCAAATAAATACATAGCGCCGAGAAATGATGGAGGCCGCTACACCCCATTACAAGCAATATACTGAATTAAGTAATTCTCGATGCCCTGGGTTAATACCTGATGAATTCATCACAATAGACCAACTGTCCCAACTTTATTATTTTTAAACCTTATGTTAATTTTTAAACGATGTCTATACATATGTATATGGCAATACCGTATGGACAAACGCAGTGTAGGACGACCCCGCACTAGATGGAATGACAACTTCAAATGCATTGCTGTGATTGAATACAGGCAGCTCAAGACCATTCCTCATGAGTCATGACAGATAACGGCTGATATGATGATAATATATATGTAAAACAGAAACGCCGTACGCCACCTAAAGAAGACTTCCACTTTAAGTTGATACGATTGTCGGAAACGACAAACACAGTAAGTTCATAAAATTTACCATTTTTTTATATACATATATAGATATACACCGGTCTTATTTATCTAGGATCACAGACAATTGTTCTATTTATTTTAAATTTCAATAAAAAGAGTTTGAGGTCTAAATGTACTATTACTTAAAAGTGAATACAACATGCACAATTTTTTTCGTCCTCACTTTTCATCCCTAAACATAAAACGATTCACATTGCCAGGGATACCTATTTCCATAAAAAAATTGGATAAAACAAAAGTTGAGAAAAGATAGCCTTTAGTACTCTGCCTAGTCCATAATGCTAAATAACGTCTACTCTAATACTTGACTATAAAAAGAGTATTTCAAAGTGTAGATAATCGTGTATATATATATATATATATATATATATATATATATATATATATATATATATATATATATATATATATATATATATATATATATATATATATATATATATATATATATATTTATATAACAATTTACAAAAATTGCTAACTGTTTAAATAAATATGTAACGTACCTGAATCTTCTTCGTCCAACTACTAGAGTTGAGAGATTTCTCTATCTCTTCTCGTATCGCCGGAAGATGTTGTCGAATGCCGCTCTCCCGCGCTGGACTTATGTCTGTCCATATCTCCTCATACATCTCCACGGTTGATGAATCTAATGATACATTAACAATAAATAATTCTCATAATACATAGTTCTATATAATTTTCCATAAATTAAAGTCAGTTTTCTAATTTTCTTATGCACCTTATAATGATCATGCCTTTGACAGGTAAATTAAAAGTTTGAAATGCTTTAAATTTAGAATTTAAATCTCCACCACCTGGTCAATACTCTCTAACTTACTTTACAATCTTTTTTAATATAGTGTTTCTTGGAGTGTTCATCTCTGAATATTTTTCATTACATATATTTAAACAAATATAATTAAATGTTATAAAATTAAAGCGCCAACACTAACCATCATCCTTAGGCCCATGCATAGCCAAAAAGACCATAGGCGCCAATACTTCTTCGTTGTCTTTGATGTGTTCTATCTTGGCTTTGGCCACTGACTTTAGGGTGAGAGCGATTGCCGACCGCGATATATCGTCCTCTTTTGTTTCGTACAAATTCACTAATTTCTTCATCAACTTCTCAGCTGATTGAGGCTACAAAATAAATTATAAAGTAAATTAATGTCATTTTACAATCACTTCACGAGCTTAAAATTAGAATCAATTATACTACAAGATTCGATATATCTTCTTCACACAGTAAATATATTGTACTAAGGAGATATATATTGAAACTTTCAAAAACTAAAAGCAAAAGAAAATTGAACATTAATGAAATTATGTCAGATGTTTCAAAAACCCAAAACTTACCTTCGCATATGCAGCCACTTGACCAAGTGCTTCGGCATAATTTTTCCTAACCGTGGCGTTTCTATCGAAGGTGCCGTTCAGTAGATTGGACATGATCTTCCCGGCCACAGGTTCCAACTCCGCCCTGAGGTAGTGTGCCGCCAGCACTACGAAGTGGCAACACGCCACCTTGGTACCCAGTTGTGGAGACTTCATCAGCTCTAACATCTTCGGTAGCATCTCTTTAATTACATCGATGTCGACGTAGGGCATGCACTGTGAAATAAAATTATATTTACACTAGCCGTTACTAATTAGTTCTTGCATTACTTTCATTTTTATTTCAGAATAAACAAACCATTCAAATATCACATAAAATGAAAGTTTCAGAAATAATTAGGAGCAATAACATTGTCATAACAATAAGCTTGTCTGGAAGAGATTTCTTATCGATAAGGCCACCTTTTGTATCACTTTTCGTTAATATTTACTATATTTATTATTTTTTTTTTTACTTGATGCAATAAAGTATAAAATAAATATCAAACAACAACACAAAAAAAATATACTCGTACCTATGTTTATAGTTTAATTGGCAATGGAGTCGATTCTGAGTTGCCATTTCTCTAAATCTCTAAAATCAAAATTTCAATTTGATATATTAACATTAGAGAAACAGCGCCTTATAACAGGGATATACTAATATGTTAACAAATATGATAGCAGACTTAAAAAAAATATAATTAACGTCGATTCCGTATCGAAATTTAATTTTAATATTGTCGATTAATATTGTATATTAATAAATCAGAAGATAACACAAAAAGGATGCTACTCAGACAACCAGGTAACCCAGTTCTAAAGATAATTATTATTCATAATAAGATAGAAGTTCTGGAAAGCCTAAAGCCAGAGTCAATTAAATCCCGTGACCTGTGAAAACAAGGGTAGCGGTCTCCAAAGATTTACCACTTGTTGTAGTTTGTTGTATCATTGCTAATTTTCAAATTACAGTTTACTACGACCGTCATATATATATAGACAAACATTAAATACGCACTTTTAAACATATTTTAGGCTAACGTGGGCTGACACTTTTTTAGTGCCACTACTATAAATATCTACCACAAGCTGCTGTCGGCCAGTGCGGTGGTAAAGTCGAATGACTTAATCCACTGCAGATAAGACAGGTGTAATAGGAAGTACATACCTTAACGACGGTGTCGGTGGTGTAGTGATGGCGTGCGGCGGTAGCGCGCATGTCGTCCAGTAACTCGCGCGAGCCGCTGTCGGCGAGCGCAGTACTCAAGTAGGAAAGCTTGGCCGATTCCAGCTCGCCTGCCGCACCCACCAGCGCAGGTATCAGCTTGGATAAGAAGGGTTTGAGGCTATCGCCCGCTGCCGTCACTAGTTTTGAAACTGTCTGTAAGCTGCAAGTGTTCAATCGGTATTAAATTCTGATTGATTAAAGAAAATACGAACATCACGATGTTTGTTGGAATAATTTTTATATATTTTTTTTTCTTAAAATTTAAAATGACAAGCTGATGGCCCACTTGATAGAAAAACGGCCATCTACAGCCATGAACGGCACTACGGACATTAAAATAATGCACTGTATTGCAATAAGTTGGCAAACCTCCCTCTCCCCCTATAGGGAAGGCTTATATTCAGCAGTAGATATTTAACGGCAGATATGATGATGATGACCCACCCTTGAAACTGTAAATTGCTTAACAACAAACACGAGCAACCACTTTTATGCAATCATCTGATAAAATATCACTTCATATTATTTTCTCGTACTACAAGGTATTTCGTTATAGCTATACGCTGTTGGCGTACCAGAAAGAGATGACTGAAGCCAGATCAGCCAAAAAAGTCAAAATTTAAAAAAAAAAATATGGAACCACTAAAATGTACTATATGTATTATTAATAAGTAAATATGTTGCCACTGTAAATATATGACATTCGATTTATATGATCATAATATAAAGAAATGAATTTTGTATGCCAGATTCTGGTGAAGTGTGAACAATATTTATATATTATGTATTCAAATAAAATAAAGTTATTTGAATTTGTAAACCATTACTAACAACTTCCTCCCCTAGCCCCTCCCGCTACTCGAGGAGCAAATAATGTAATCTCTCCTAGTTGCTATATCAACAGGGTCCATAATTGAACCTGTTTCAATATTTACCAACTATAATATGAAATGCAATAAATAAATTAATAAATAAATGTGTGCGACCACCTCACCTGACGCTGCGGACCTCCCTGACGAGATTCGTAATGCCAGTGTCGAGCAACACAGGCAGGATCACTGACACCACCTGCTTTCCGTCCTTGCCCTGACTCACGTCCGACGCGCGGATACATAGCTGTAGAATGTATTGTACCATCAATAACTTATATATTTATAAAAAATACATATTGTAGCCGACTCTGGACCGGGAAGTCGACTGTTATAATATTTATTATGTGAAAGATGGCAAACAAGCTGCATGGACCACCTGATAGTAAGTGATTACGGTAACCCATAGACATTAACTATACCAGAGGTTTTGCCATTATTTTCTTTTGCAAGACCTCGGATTTTATAGAATGTTCTTATGGTTCCTGCGTATCGCATGTGCATAGCAACAAAAATGGTTACTTGTAGTAAACAAGTGACTTTTTTATAGCACTGAGGTGACAAACAAGCATAAGGCTCGCCTGATGATAAGCGGTTATTGTAGCCTATGAACGCCTGCAATACCAGGGGTATTACGCGCGCGTTGCCGACACTTTAATACCTTTTTTGCTGTAGTTTCTTGGAATAACCTCTACAGGGAGTTCATTCCATATATTAAACGTGTTACATATACTAAAAAATAAATTATAAAATTATTCTATAAAAAGATGCTTGTGTTAATCAGTGGACATTAAGTGTGGGAATGATGATAATTATGGTACTATGTACAAGGTAGAGAGGTTAGTACCTTGGAGAGTACGTTGGCTGTGGAGGTGGCAGCGTTGCGAGTACCCTCGTGTACATCATCCATGACGCGGAACAGCTGCGCCCACACTGTCGGCAGCTGGTCTAGTGAACTCTGCAGGCTCGCCGCACCTCTACAGATTAATAACAACTATTAGCCCCCTAGCGGATTGATGTTTTATCGGAATAAAAAATATCCTATCTCTCAAATCGAAGCAAACAATACACATTTACAAAATTTCATTCGGCCATTAGTGTGAACGAACACCGTGATCCGAGATTTTTATATATTAAAAAGATGGTGCTACATGTCCCTATGTATGTAGGTTCAAATAATAGTTGAAAGATTTATAGCACGACCGAACTTTTTGTTTCGGTTACTTTCGGTCGGATTTTTGAGTCTCTTTTATCGTGGAAAATCAGTCAAAACTACAGCAAAAACCGAAAATACATTCGAGAGAACTTATTTTCTGTGTCACTTCTATAAGTACTTTACATAATGGTGTTTTGCGATCTCTTCTACTTTAGATCTGACCTGACCCTCTAGTCATGTGGCAAACGAATTCATCGATGGAATCGATATCGCTAGCAAGTCTGTGAGATAGAATGAAATAACAATGTTGGATGTCTCATTCCAACTCAAGCCACTTGTCTAAAGAGCCGGGAGACTGATGGTAATACAGACTTCATATAATAACTTTAATATTTCCGTTGTGACCCTTTTATTCATGACAATTAAAACTCCCTACAGACTTATTTTCCCCAAATTTCCTTGATCGAAATATAAAAACAATTTTTGATATTTTATATAACCTGCTAGTCACATATTTGCATGTGACAGTTAAGAAAAGAAAAAAATGTTGGAACACGTGATACGACACGATTGACTTATGAACGTTATAATAGAAGGAAGAAAGGGAAGGGTGGGGCGACCATGGCATAGTTACATAAGACAAATCAAGAAAAAAGTTGATGTCATGTCATATCAAGAGGTGAAGAGACTCGATGAAAATTGTAGTGAGTGGCAACAGCTCTATCGACAAAAGCGCAGCTCTTATAAATATAAATAAAGTGACAGATATTAATATCAACTTACCTCAACAAATCAGCGAGAGCGTTACAGCAAGACATTCTTACACGCCACTGGTTGCTAGTCAAGTTCGCTACCAAGTCGTCCAATATCTCTTTATGATATTTTTGTACCTTTAACAAATTAAAGTCTCATTCAATACCAAATCCCCAAAAACAACTAAAAATGTAAATTATCAATAGTATTTATACTTAAATATAGAATAACACAGCAATCCATTAACACCACATTACTGGTATTATCATGCCAGTTTCTTTTTTACTGTTAACTTGATGGTATCATAACATTGTATTGTAACTGAACTTACATTAGTATGCTAAATTTCAACACTATCAGACACCAACTAGTAGTTATTTTTGAATGGATGATAATGAAATGGTAACCCCGCCTGCGCTATCGGTATACACCGGCAGATCACCCGTAAGGGAGGATAGGTGAGGATAAAATCAAGTCATTAAGCCTATCGCGAAAATTTTACAATAATTAATCACGATGGTTTTCAGAGGTAACCACGTGGAGGTTGACCTGACAAACTATTTTTTGCTAGCAATGGAGATTAAAATCCTCATTATTAAGAATCTTTTTCCCCCACTAACTAGTGATTATTAAATGCAAATTCTGATCGGAAAGATACGCATATGAAAGCATGTTAAATAAAAGCTTGTAAAAAGCCTTTACAGTGAAATTACTACTTTAAATACGAACCGTGGCATGCGTGTTGGGCACGAGGGCGTGCCAGATGGCGGCCATGGAGTTCTGTATGCGCGGCGTGGGGTCGAACCGGTAGCGGAACAGGCGCGGCACGATGCGGCCCAGCTGCGGCGCCAGCGCCGCGCCCGCGCTGCGAGCGATCGACTGGAACCCGAACGCGGCGCCTGCCGCCAGCGGCACATCTCGTGTTCACAACACTCGCATACATGCCATCAGAGATTTTGTACAAGTCGTCTATTTAGGTATCTCTGTCTGACCTGTATTTCTGCCATGAAGCAGCTGTGCTCACATGGCTGGGTTTCGGTTTGAAACATGTAATATGGCAGTAAAATTACTAGGTACATAGCATGACACCGTCGTCCTCAAGAATGGTAATATATGTAGTATCATTGTCATCACATCACTGTTATGATGTACATGGTAATGCTCATGTCTATCAGCAACAGTTACCGTTTTCCATCGAGTAGGCTGTCAGCTTGTTTGCCATTTTAAATAATCTAAAAAGAGAATATAGCCTACCCGTGTGCCAAATTTCATTCAAATCCGTTAGGCTCTTTGAGCGCGATTAAATAACAAACATAACAATAATTTACCAGAGGGAGATTTTGTAAAAAAAAGTCGTTTGCTTGGGTACCTCTGTCCCATTCGTGTTTCAACCGTAAAACAGTTGTATTTGCATGACTGTGTTTCGGTTCGAAGGGTGGGATATGACGTGAATTTACAGGGTACAAAGGAATAACATCCGAGTCCTCAGGAATGGCAACGCATGGGGGGTATCATAAGCGAAACAGTATACTCTGTTACGTCCCTGGTACTGTTTATGTCTATAGGTGACGGTTACCACTTTCCATCAGGTGGGCCGTTAGCTTGTTTGCCATTCTAAGTTGCATAAAAAAAACTTTTACATTTATAATATTAGTAGGAGACATTTTGAAAAAAAACTTACCTTTTTTAGAATTCCAAACAGAATTATGATGCGCTAAATGCATGAACTTGTATAACAGATCCGGTTGATTTAAATCTGAAGCTAGCGAACATAACTCCTTGTATGTGGAAAGATTCCCTCTGCAAAAATCAACATTAAAAATAAATGTTATTTAAAAAAACAATTGCTACTTAGAAAGACAAGAAACCGCCACCGCTGGTAAACTATTTCATACGTAATTCTATATACTAGCTTCCTACTAGTATTACTAGGCGTACAGCTAGTAGTACTAGGCGCTACCTTCACATAACTAGTAGTAAACCTTACTTATGTTTAATATGCAGAAACATTTCGGTTTGAAGAGTGGGATATGGCGTGAATTTACTGGGTACAGAGGAATAACATCTGAGTCCTCAGGAATGGCAACGCATGGGGGGTATCATGGACGAAACAGTATACTCTGTTATGTCCATGGTACTGCTCATGTCTATAGGCGACGGATACCACTTCCCATCAGGTGGGCCGTCAGCTAGTTTGACATTCTAAGTTCAATAAAAAAAAATTGTCTGTCGGTGTGTTACAATTTTATGGGCAAACTATTAAATCAATTTAAATGAAAAATTTGCTGAACTTGTGTGACAATTGTCAATTAACTAGATAAAGGATGTATTTATCGTAGTGTCCTACATTTGTCAATGTATAAATAAATACTAAAATTTATCTTTAAGTACAATTGTTAATTTATAAGAATAATTTAAAAAGATGGAAAAATTTAACAATAGCTCTAAACCAAATGTTGAATATAAGGATTATAATGTTATAATAAAAAACAGGTAACAGACAAAGTTACGTCACAAGTATGGGTGATCTATAAAAATAAAAGAGGGGGGAAAGGGATTGTTAGTAATGGAGACTGAGAATCCCATTGCTAGCAATATACCCAACCAGGTCGACCTCCTCATGGTTTTTCTTGGAAACTATCATGGTTAATTCCTGATGAATTCATTATGATGGGCTAACTGGCCTGTTTTCATTCTCATCTATCACCCTTCACTGGTGCTCCGCCAGCGTATACCGTTAGCACAGGCGGGGTTACCATACTATTTTCACCCATCAAATAAAAAAAATATATAAAATAAAAAAGAAGAATTACCCAGTAGGTGCTTTCCCCAGTTGGCCCTCTTCAAATATCTTGGTGTCTTCCGTGACTTGTGTGACAGACCGCTTGCCGCTTGTCAACTGATCTATAATCTGGGACACCAGAGCTTGTTTCTGACTCTCGTCGGAGTTCTGATATACAAGACTCAGACCTTTGCTGGCTACATCTTGCACTATCTCTGTGAAATGAATTATTAACGTGTAAACAAGCGCTTAATAAAATGTAATTCGGATTGTGTTCTTAATAATAAAAATATCAAACATATTTAAGCTACTGTTTAGTAGGTTTTGTATTCTTTTGCGCTATAATAGTAATGTAATATTATAATAGTAAATATAATAATGTAATATTCAAACCTTCAATATTTAGATACATGAAATTTCAACCAATAAATTAAAGATCTTTAAAAATAAAAACATAATAAGTATACAAAACTTAATAAAAAAAAGCATTTAAATATTACAGATTTCTCATGAATCTTAGGATGTTTTAAAATAATTTTTAATTCAATAAAAAGATAATAATATGTTATTATCATAATACGATTATTGATTATTTTACTGAAACAGGTGGACAATATCAAATATGCATATGTATATAATATGCATATATGTGTAATATGGAAAGGTGTAGAACTTCTAGTACTAATGATGATGGTCAATCTTTGAGTGTTTCTAATTAATATTTTTATTAAAGAAAGCTCACATACTTCCTGTCTATCTCACCCTCTCTCTGACCACCCCTCTATCTCCCTCACCTCTCCCCCCTGCCAGTCTCAGTAATAATTGATAAAATATATCTTTAAATAAATCTAATATCTATTCAAAAATATAATATAACCAATATTTATACATTTAGCTTACCACTATTCTCAGAAAGGAAGTCCATAAAGACATCCTGCAGTACTTGCAGCTTGTTCTTTATAGGGACACGTTCCGGGCAGTTTTTGAGCAGTGCCAGTAGCCATATACTTGTCGCCTGTAATTTATTTTTTATTATTAATTCATTTTAGCTTAATATTTTTTACATAATGGTGTTAACCAACCTTACAATCCGCCTTTTGTTAAACGAACACCACAATAAAGATCTTGGTTTACAGTATCCAGTAACATAGCGGCCATATATTTCAAACAACTCACAGAAACACAAGCAATAAACTGTTTTGTGATTGAAATAGGTGAAACAGAGGTTGTCACGTCAACTATTTTGTACGAAATCTCCGTTTGATTTATTAATTTTATAATTACTGTTTGCCTTCTCATGTATATTATTTATAATTAGTATAAATTTAGATATATAGTAATGTTAGTAATTAGTAATTTTAATGATATTAAAGAAAAGAAAAACGAATCGTTAACATGATAAGTCACACACTTGTCTGGAATGGGGATGGGGATGTTTCCCGATTTTGAATAGCTCCTGCAGCAACCACTCAAGTAGCTCATCATTTTCTTTCAACGCCTCCTGATTTGTTATTTTATCGGGTCCCTAGAAAAAATAAACATTTATGTATATTCATATGTTTGGAGTTCAATATTCATAAAGATAGATAGAAAAAGATCCTAAGCCTTAGATATGTTAGAGTAATATGTAATTTTAAATAAATATCACATCACTATTATCTAAATCGATATTTTCATATAGTGATGTGGTAATTATTTTAAATTTAACATTATATAACTTTACGTTCGGAAATTCTAATGATAATATATATGCATATAAAATACATAGTTACATAAGAAAAACATTCTACCTCTTTAGGTAATTCTGTCCATAGATCTCTATTCTCGTTGGAGTTAACTCCTTCTACGCACAGGACTAAAGATTCACCAATCTGCAAGTGAATCTCAAACTCTTTGCTCTGAAAATAAGGAACAATAATGTAAAAAACTAATAGACATCAAACTCCTGCGGGGATAAAATGAGGGGCAAAAATAACCCCTTTACACGAATCATAATATGTTTCATTCTATATGATCTGCTGATGTAACTGTACTAGTAGCCAGATTTTCAAAATATTTATACAACATTCAAGACATAAGTTGTTGAACAAATTTAGCTAATTTTATCGATTTTAGCAAATCCTGTTGGGCGATATGTATACAACTATATTTAGGAGTTACGGAAATCTAGACGGAATAAACTTTTGTTGCTGACTGTACGTAAGCGCGTTCCGCTTACTTAGAGAAGAAACAAGTCGGCAATACAGAAACAGTTGTTAATTTTAATGTCTCTAGTATACTCATGCTACAAATGAAATAGTCAACCAAACATACTTACATCTTTAGCCATCTGCAAGAAACCTTTAACAATTTGCTTCGGGAACGGAAACCTCTCGCCGCAACATAACAAACCGAGCGTGTAAAGCGCTTTCTCTTTTACTTTCGACGGCAATTTCGCATTGCCCACTATTTTAAACAACTTGTCTGCTACTGCGAATTTAGTGATGACGTCATCGTTCACTATTTCCGTCTCACTTTTGTTGATGTTGAACGGGTTGTCGGTTTCCATGAGTGCGTCCTGTTTCGCAGTGGAGTTAGGTAGCGGCAAGCCAGTGCAGCGAGCGAGTAACGATATTGCAGAACATGTTGTGCTGACCAGTAGCGTTTGCGGGTTAATTAAATAATTAGCTGAAATAATTTGCTATTATCACAATTAAGGAAAACGATGATAAAACAATTAATATGCCTGACTATAGCTAGGTGATTCAGATATCGAATGTCAGCATGAACCTCATAAAGTTTTCAAATACATATTTTAGTTAAAAATATTTTATTACCAATAATATTTACAAAAATACGTAAATATATTATCCGGAAAATCCGTCAATTCAATTAACCACTTCCAAGTAAACTTTTTTATGGAACTTAAAATGGGAAACAAGTTTATAGCTAACCTGATGGCAAACGGTAACTGTCGCCAAGGACAATAAAATCCGATGCCTACAGTAACTATCGTATCCATCATTACTAGCCACTTCTAATGACTAAATATTACTATAATAAAAATATATACCTACTTACCTAAACATATTACACCCTGTTTAAATGGTTCCCAATTCGCGGCATTAAAACCTTTACCACCAAACTTTCCTTTTTTCACCATCACGACACACCTCTCAGAAATGTGCGCAAACGCACACAGATATCCACATTGGCTTTCCAAATTCTTATTCCCTTGTCCCTGTACCACGAACTCTGTAATCTCTTTTTCAATCGCCGTTTTATCGCTTGTATTCACTGTGATAATCGCGTAAATCACCGCGGCAGTATCTCTGATCTCCTCCTTGGTGCTAGTCGTAAATAGAGTCTTCAGGAATGGCAGTAAATTGGCATATTTGCTGGCCATTTTCTCTGGCACACAGCCGACAATATCGAGGAAACAAGTTAAGGGCATTATTTCTGAAATTAGAATTAGGATACATTTTTAAAATCTATATAATTAAAATTCGTTTCTCTATTTTATAAAAGTGATAAGAATCACAAAAAGGTTCGACTAGTTTCAGAATCAATTCGCGATCCTTGGTCATAAGCGACTGTGAAACGAGCACGAACGTCACTGCGTGCCTTGGTCCGCTGAGCGCGAACTGTAGGCGCTTGCGGGATCGTCACAGATAAGAAAGATGGTGTTCGGAACTCTTCGGGTATGAACGGCTGGGCTCCGTAGTCTCCTCAATCAGACTCGTGCTCGTGTCATAGTTGCTCATGACTAAGGATCAAGAATTAATTCCGAAATCTAATTACACGTAGGTTAAACCAGTAGTTATTACATTAAAATATAATATGTGCTTAGGAAACTTTTAACATTAAAAATAATCACAAAGTTTGTGATTGACTATTTGTAACATTAGTTTATAGACTTATATAAATGAATACTGTATTATGTTTAATTCTTAGTTCGATATTAAAACAACTAGTATTTTTTTGTTTGTGATTGACTATTTGCAACATTAGTTTATAAAGTTATATAAATGGATACTGTATGTGTACTTCTCAGTTCCATATTAAAACAACTAGTACTTTTTTTGTTAATAAAACTTGTGTATAATGTCAATTAAGCGATAACGAAACTTCACATATAATTTAATTATTGAAAATACAATTAATAAATATATATATATATATATATATATATATAATTTCTTTCTCAGAACATTCACCAGCTAACCATCAATCTGTTGCAAATAATAAATTATCCTATAATATTGACTATTCATAGTGTGAAGCACATTACTAAAAGTAAATGAAGTTGCAAGTTTAATTCTCAGTTGAGCAAATTTAGGAAACTAACTTCTCTAAAGCTGCTTCAGTCTGAATGTTTTAGAATATATCTCGTGATGTTCGCTGGTTGCTTTCTCATGGCACAGGGTAGCCTAGTTTGAGGACCTAGCTACTGATATAGTTATACGTCAATTAATATAATATGTGTGCGTCTAAGTATACGTACCGGGACTGGCTGTCAGTATAGTGGTGATCATGGATAAGTATCTCTCCAGTACTTCGGTATCGAGCAGGTTGTCATAGAAGTATTTGGTGAGGAGCGGCGAGGTCCCATTTGGATGATTCGAGCAGTCCTGCAGGTCTGCATCTCTGTTCAAGCACATGCGCATGTACCTCAGAATCTGGGGACATTTAGCACCTATTTGAGATTAACATGAATAACCATATCTTTTTAAATGTTAATTTTATTAAATCGATTCTGAACTGTCATCAAAATAAAAAATAATATCCCAAAAATATATACATAAAAAATAGACAAAATAAATCTTCTGAAAGAGCTACTATAAAGTTTACTTTTAATTATTGACAAATTCATAAATTGGAATTTATGACCTCACCTCCTGGTATGTCAGCGGATGAAACTGCAACACTTGATTTCCGATCACGAATCTATGTTTAGAATTGGAGCCCGTCTTCCTTTTCTGCATTTGCTCCCATATGTAATTAACAACGTCTCTAAATTTCGGCACTTTAAATTCCACCACTTCCTGTGTTCTGTCCCTTTCTTTCTTAGAGGTATCCTCATCTATATTAACAACAGCTGTCTCCTTCCTTGACACGTTGTTGACCACATCCTCAATTTCATTTGGACGAGATGTTCCATATAAACATTTAAGAGCTTCAGTCGATATTTCATCTTGACTAAAATTATAATTCATTATATTAAAATAAATAATTTAAAATAGAGAATACAATAACCAAATAAAGAACTAGAAAATACTATACTTGTGTTTAAAAATCTTTCAAATTAAATTTCACATATTTTGTAACTTAAATAATTTTGCTTGTACATTCCCACGCCGTATATGCAGGCTAATTGGCCATTACTAGTGCACTTCGAATAGCGTATACGATAATACAAATATAAATAAATGATCACCTGTCACCGCTGGCTAGCAGAAGTAAGTATCTGGAGGGCACATAGTCCTGCGGGAACACAGTCGCCGAATATCTCATAGCGACGTAGCGTATCATGGACTCGTCGCTGTGCATGTAGCTGTAATGAAATAATAATAAGTACGCACCACACAATTACCGCTATTTTGGTTATATAACAGCTACTTTATCTGTTTGTATATCATGGAGTGAATAGAATACCAAATGCAAAAAGCCAATTTCAATCACATAATAATGTGAGGTGATGTTAAAAATTCAGACGCCCCTCTTGCGCTGGTAAGATTTCTCACTAAACTTATAGCGGTACGCTCCTGTTCCCCGATCCCCTAAATAATACATAATAAAATTAGGAAAATAAAAATAATTATTTATGTTATATTCCTTTTAAATATAAAATAAATACTTAATTTTATTTTTAATAGACGTAAGATTTTCTTAGGCCCTCTCCGTGTAAGTAAAATTTGAAGATATTTATATGCAAGATTCCTCCCCCCCCCCCTTCCCTCCTGCCCCAATTCCATTATCATGACCCCATTCAAATAATGAATGAATGAATGTTCGTAATTTTCAGCATGTTCAGAGCGGATAGAAAGCATATTTACTGGTCAAGTAAAGCAAAAAGCGCCAAGGCTTGTGGTTCATCAAATGGGCTCGCTGGTTTGTTCACTTCCATTTTACTGCTCTGCGATGTACTCGGACCTTCGGCTGTAGATGATGCTGCAGGCTTCTCTAATAACAAATTTGAACATCATATAATCGAATTCATTAAAAAAAACATAACTGAAACTTGTTCATCAGTTATGACAAGCTTACATACATTTAAGCAAATTACTGGCTGAAATCAGTAATTACATTACTATATTATTACTCCATTTAGTATAAAATCACATTGTACCTTACGAGTTTAAATAGACTCCATACTATTGCCAAAAATAAAGCTGGCGATAGTATTGTGACTAAAAATATTTAAAATCTCCTTTTATTTATTAAACAAACTAAAAAAACTTGTAATAAAAAGTATTTTGTTGTATAAGTACTTAAAAGAATATTATTTGTTTTTTAACTTTATTACCTTCAGGTGAGATTTTATAAGCGACTGCCATCTCCAGAAGCGCGTCTCTGAGTGCAGTTTTCATCTCAGGAACCGCCTCCGGAATCTTCTTCACGAGCTCCTCCAGTAAAGCAAACTGATTGTTGATACTCTCAGGACACTTCATTGCCAGTCTGCCTGTTAGAAACATAATAATTTAAACTTTATTAATTAGTATTATGAAGGTACAAAAAACGGCAAATCATTCGCTACCAGTCAATCTTTGGAAAGAGGAAGAGATATTTGCAGCTAACATAAACAAAAGACGTAACAATACAAATAAAACTACCAAGTTAATGTTAAATGAATACAGTCACCTATAAACATAAAGCTACAGACATCACAGAATATTTTGTGGTGCCCATAATATTCTTCATACATATGTTGTCATTTTTAATTACTATTCTCCACCCACACCAAATTATACTAAAAACTGCATGGCTTATTCATGATACATACAAAAAAAGATTACTCCTTCAAAGTAGATATACGTAATATGATGATTTATTCACTTTAAAAGTCTACCTAGTCCATAAAACTTCTGAGATGGCGGTAAATGAAAAAATATAAATCTTAAGGTAATTTTTAATGGAGTCAGCTAGAGAATGTTTTAATAAATATTTAAAATACACCAATAACAAACCTAAGCACATGTAAGCCTTGGGCTGGTGTTCGGCATGTTCTTCAGATCGAATTAACTTGAGCAAACCCTGTAGAAACACTGTCGCTACTTTCTTCAGTTGGGCCTCGTCACCACTAAAACATAATATTGTGGTTGATTGTTAATACAATATATGAGATATAAACGATGAGATTAAAATTTTAAACGCATTGTAAATACTTATGTATATATATAAGCTTTAAGGGAAATCACTGTAAACCTCTGACAATGTACTTTACTATGAAATATTAAAAGAAAAAATATTTCTTTAAATGTTCGTTAAATATAAAATATTAAGTCGATTCGTTATTTACAGTACAAAATTAGAACCTTATAATAACCACAAAAATGCTTATTTTAAGTAGGGTCACACTCACCTACATGCGTACTATCTATATATCAGTACCCATTTTCTAAATATAAACATTTAAAATGTCTAAATATAAACATAAAATAAGGAATAATGTGAGCATTTTATTATCATATGTGGGCATGCGGCCATATGGACGCGTGAAGGTTGGATGCATGTATTCCATATGCGAGTGTGTGTACGTGAGCGTGTATGCGCGAACGAGTAAATGCGTGTGTGTACGTGCGATTGTATACATACATGGACTCGTGCGTGCGTGTGCGGATTAGTGTAGAGTACGTTATATGAATGTAAATGCAGGTAAATAAATATATTACGTGCGTTAGTATGTATTATTTATAAGATTTATAAGATTTATAATCAGGTAAATACGTTTTACGCATGTAAACAAATATATGATTATTTTTAACGCATGTATCGTATTTTTTTTAATGTGATCCTATAAATAAATAAATGTGTACGATGTCAATACGTATGGTTTAGATTTAGAGCGTAAGTTATAGTCACATAACGATAACTTTTTTGTAATTATTTTTAAACCTGAATGTTCTGAACCCTTTCATTAGTTTAGTGCCCAATGATTTCCCTGAAGCCCTAATATTATTAGGACATCCTCTCACCCATTGATGACGTTGAGCAGAAACATGAGTGCACTGTTTCGTAGACGTGAATTCGTATTCGGATCAAATAATGATGAAAATACAACCTGCAAAAAAATATACACTTTAATTAAGGTGAATTTGTTGAAGATTTATGAATGTTTGATCTAGTTCATCTATTCATATGATACTAGATACTAAAAGGTACTCTTTAGGCGACGGCCATATTGAAAATATTACAATATTGAGTATTACATATTGCATTGGCACCAGAACTAAAACTAGAGAAGAAATTTTAGCAAAATCACATATGATTTTGCTGGAACTGGCTCTAATTTAGTTTGCAAGATATGACCTAAACAAACAAATTGCAAGTGAAATAAAACCTTGTAAAAATTGTTTTTGTAAAGTAACACCTTAGTAAGTTAGAGTACAATGAAGTTTAGATTAGCAATACAAAACCTAGATTAAGAAAAAATAACCTGAACACAATGCGGGAACATAATAGCAGGGCCGGTTGCTTTGTTCAAATACTGTATCAGTTTTAGACGCAGTCTTGTACATGCTGGAACCTGCAATATAATATTAATTTAAACAACATGTGAAACTAAGTTAAGTACATACTTTGTATCATTTCTTACAAAATCCTTGATTAATTCCTGTCCAGATCGAATATATTTTTATATAATGGTATCATGCAGCTTTGCCCGCGTGAATTAAGATAGAAAGATGTTAATGTATGAACCAAACTTTTCAGATATGAATCAGCTATTTAGATTAAATAAATATTCAAACATCATTCCAACCTCAGATATTTATAATATTACAAGGAAATAATTTTATCTGAATTTACATTATATAATAATAATCATTATGTCTATACTTATTTCCCCCAAATAAATTAACAACTATGTTTATAAGACAAATCAATGTAAATAATTGTAAAATATATATAAAAAAAATACATAAGAACCGACCTTGCGATCATCTGGTGGCACTTTCAATCCTCCCCAAGTACCCAAATATAACGAATAAAGTGGCGCCACCACGGCCGGCTGCGACCAATCCACGGAACTGTACATTCAACACAACATTATGCATATGTATAAAAAAAAATCTAACTGTAAATAAAATATATTTTAGCTATTGAAATTAAAATCTCTTACTTTCGAGCTCACTTCTCATCCTAATTTAACATTTAACTCGTAGTATATGCTTAACGATTTTTACGAATCTTTATTTCATATTTATTTAACTCTCTATTGCACCAAAACCATAATACATAAACATAATATACAATGACAATTAAAAAATTCACATGAAACTTAGTAGCATAATTTTTTTTTATCACATAATGGACCTTCAATTAATTATAAGCTGTACCTGTGACTATATATATGTCCAAAATTAATTTGTTTCTTCTACTCCAATACTACATATATACCAAATTTTAAGACTTTTAGTTAAAGCATCAAAAGGTAAAAAAATAGCACCATCTATGTAAATACTATTGACATACATTGTTAAAAAATGTACAAGTACCTGTTAACCCTTATCAAAGGGCTGTTGGCATGATTAGCCACACTGAACCGCGAGTCAGCAGCAGACACGATCAAAGTCAGCAGAATGTCGTTATTGTTGAATATATCCTTGCTTATGAAGTTCACTATCGAAAGTTTCATCTGCACACACAATTTTATAAAGTATAATAAAAACCATCTATTATAATATCATCTATGAAAAAATAAATTTAGAGTTACATTTAAATCGAAGCTTACTAAAATATGACAACAACAGAAATATCAGAAAATCTTCAAAAACAATTTTTGGTATTTCTGATTGATTTTTTATACAGTATTTTGAATAAAGGCTCTTATCGAGTCTGAGTCTAATTAAACAACTACTAATATAAGATGTAAGTTTGCTAAGTTTGCTTGATGTAAGAATACACCAATATAAATACTTATAATACAGTATGACTATTATTCAACTATGGTCTTCTTTTGTCTATAGCAAAAAAAACTTTATGATACTTGGAATAGCATACAAGCTGTAGGCCCAACCAATATAAAGTAGCAACTGTATCCCATCTGACCAAGATATTCCTCTTATATTGTCATTTCTGAAGACTACTCACTATTCACTTAAAATAATACCTCTTCCAACTGATTAGGATTCAGTTGATTTTTATCCACAATCCTCTTATAGGTCCTCATGCTCATTCCTGGTGGTACCTGAAAGTCACTTTCGCCAGCATTTGGTAGGGCCCTAGAAAAAATTTCAATTTAGAATAAATCTTTTTACCAGTTCAATCACCTATTGTTATATTTTGTACAATTTTGAAAAGTGATAATTTATGAGAGAAGAGTTTATACCTCTTTCAACCTTAAAAATAAAAATATACATTTTAAATTGAATAGTCAGTGTTACTACAGATGGGTAAAGATTTATTTTCTGTTCATCAAGTATATTTATTGAGATTTAAATATATGTATATATAATGTTTACCTGTATGGCAACAAAAGAACATCCGTTGCAAACTTCAGTATCAATGAAGCAACCTTCGGTTTCTCTTTTAAATTTAAATTAGCCTCCTTGATATCACCCAAAAGTGGCATAACAAGCATTAATAACCTGTAAATGAAATTAAATGAAGCAGACTCCATAACAACAGTAAATAAAAAAAAATAGAAGTTATTGACTTACGAATCTTGATGTCCCTGAGGTTTGTTTTCTAATGCTTCCAGTAAAGAAGGTGCTAAACTTAACTGCTGATCACGAGGCAATCTTGGAAAGCCCATTGTTATATAAATAATTGAGAAATTCTGTAAAAAAAGAAAATGTTTTTTAATAAATGTTATAAAAAAAATTATCACACTTAATAGGTATAAAATATACAAGACTAACTCTAGAAATTTAGAACTAAAACACGTACAGTAAATAAAAAATTGAAATTACATCACTTTGGGTATTTAAAATACATTCTTAGTTCTTTAATATTTCTTTACAGTAGCTGGAATAATATGAGTCTCTTAAATGTCTTGCTTCAAAATACAAGTAAGAAACTTTATTTTGATTGAAAAGTGGTATAAAGAATGGTACATAATATTTGAATATAGTTCACACTTTTCACCAGAATCTGACATACAAAATTTGTTTAATTGTGCTATTATGCTATGCTTTGAACACAAAACAAAACTTCTTTATTATACTACTATAAAACTTCTTTGTTGTATATAATTTAACTTGGAATTATTAATATGTATAAAAATCCACATTTGAAAAAAAAGAATAAATAAAATTATTGTTAACTAACAAAACAAAATTAATATATTTATACTCACAATAATAAAACTATTGGCTGTAGGATCCCGATACAACTGTAGAAGGGTTTGCACAGGCAACTGTACATCTGCACGACACTTCACACGCTTGTTTACATGGACCAGTAACTCCATCACTTTGGTTCGAACCTTCAATATTAAATATCAATATTATTTTTAAAACTTATGTTCATGTTTTTGTAGGTACCATGCTCACACTGAAGAAGACTTGAGTATAAAGACAAAATAATTATTCACACACATAATATTGATTTTCTATAAATATAAAGATGTATATGTATAAATAGGCATAGTTTGTTTAGAACTTAATTAAAATTTAGACAAACAAATAATTGATGCAACATCTACTAATTTATTAAATGTTTAAATTTTTTTGCTAATTTCATTTAGAGGTGTTTGTGTAATAATTTTAACACAACTTGGTTGTTATCAGACTAGCAAAAAATCTATTTCTTTATATTATATTATAATTAATAATAACTGTTTGCTGTTACTTAAAAACACTATTGTTGTTTTGTAGATTATTTAAAATAAATAACAATGTAACAGCTTCAAAAACAAAGTTCTCAATCTAGTTGTATGTGTTGTTTATGTACTGTATGAAATTATTGTATCTACTATGACATTCAAATACAAATTTTTGTTTATGAATAAATAAAATAAAAAAAAATATTATATTTATATTATTTTAAAGCTATTTTAAACTTTTAGAATTTGTTATTTATAGCTGAATACTACTTGTATTATTCTACCATCAATGTACACTCTTATAGTATGTACATTGTAGGTAGAGTCAAAATTGTATGTTTACTAAAGCATAGTATACATGTTTTCCTCTTATCTATATTAGCCATTATGCTGAGACTTTTTTTTTGTTATTTCAAAAGATCAGTAACATTTGTACTATTCCTCCACATCCAATGGCCATTTAAAAATTATTGTGATCAAGTAAATTTGAATAAAAAATATTGTTCTATTCTAATTACAGAATTTTGTGGACATTATTTGCCTTATTTTAGTGATTATATAGGTGGCTCTGTGCCAGCCACAGCTTAAATTTTTTAAATACAAACCTGTTCATGAGGCGACGATAGTTTCAAAATAACTGGAGGCAAAAACCTCGTGAGACAGCTCTCCAGTTGATCATCAGTGTCAGCATTGCCAAGTCGGAGAAAAACGCGGTCTAAAAGCACTGAAATAAACACACATGACGTAGAAATAAACAAAAAGTAGCCGGTTAAAAACAATAGGTTAACATCTGTTATGATAACATTTTAATAATTTATAATGAAATGGTCTAGAAACCGATACACACTTAAATCATTGGAACAATCGTTACTGCCTTCCGTGACTTCCATCTCGGACATCGCGGAAGACTTCCTGGCGATTTTATTTTAGAATACAATAGCACTTCGATCTTCCAAATAGAAAGTAAAGCAGAAATCTGGAGAATGATATACAAATTTTTGAGTAACAATCATATTATGTCACTGTCATTATGACAATCAGTAACACTTAATCGTTGGTCCAACGGGTATGGCAAAGATATAAAAGCCATAAAGTTTAATTTTCAATATTCGATAACGATGTCGTTTCTAGGAGCACTGAACTTATCTCGATATTTATTGCAATCGATAGTTTACTGTCGACTTAATAATTTATTTACATATGATTATAATTACATTTTTGTACATATTGATGTACAAAAATGCAATAATGTTATGGCAATTTGTTAATCAGAGTTTCGATTTTTTGCATACGAAATAGCAAAAATAAAAACTAAGTAAATAAATAAAACAAAATATTTTAGAAAAATTATTCAATATTTATTTAAGATTGAGCCAATAAATTAAAATTCTTGTCATTAAAAAACAAACAAAACATGTAAAACCAAACTAATTTATTATTTTATTATTAAGTAAGTCTCATTATTGCAGAGGAATAAATTTTGGAATTGTCTAATAAGGCAGTAAATTTATAAAAATATACTAACATAACACAGCACTCAATCACTGATCATAACATTGTAAAATATTTTATCATGAAGAACATTTTACTGGCATTTAATATCTATTTCATTTTTAACACTACATTTTTTAAAATAGTTGCGGAATGTTTAGCACTCCAATTTGAATACAAAATAATACTATAAACAAATATGTTTCACACTTAAAAATACTTTATCAACACTTGTATCAAACAATCATAAACAATTATACAAAATCATTGGTCTTTATGATCAGAGAAGACATTCTTCATGGAAATATAACACTTAACTGATGCTCAGCGACATTAATTCGTTAGTTGCTAGTTTTAAAAGACGCGACTGGCACAATTTCATTTCTAAATGTTCCACAGTGTGTTGTTGTGATCATATGTGCTATTCAATGCCGTGCGCGAAGATCATCACCAGTCCGGGCTCTACCATCATGTGTTCATCTACATGTGTGTTATCACACTGTAGTACGAGAACGGCTTGTTTGCCTGGCACTCTCTTGCAAACATACTTTTCATATAACCTGTGAATAATTTCAATTATTAATATTTCTGTTTCTAAAAACATCTCCAGTGACTCATGTTTCTGATACATTTTATATTTTTAAGCAATGTTTCCCATTGTCTACTTGTTTGCCATTCCAATAAATGTAAAAAATATAATAATTGTTTAACATAAGATACTTATAATACATCGCAGCGCAATACAATTTAGTATCACGATGTCGAACATCTTCCTGACGTCATACAAACTTACGTTGTGCTGACCTCAGAAATACATATAACGCTACTCGGTCAATTAGACTTTGCAAAAATTGTTTTATCTTGTAACTAAGCCAACAATACATGTTTATAAAATTGTATTAAATTGTGACACCGTATTTTTATATATTAAGATATGAAATTAGATAAATATTAACTAAAAATTAAACCTTCTATTGTTTTGTCTAGTTTCAAGTGATGACAGTCCAGGCGGCCACCTCCGTTCGTGGCAGTTTTCCATGAGGTCGTCTATAATGTGTGGTGGACAGCCTGATTCTGATAAGCTTCGCTTGATCATCATCTGCTGAACAAAAACATCAGTTGTGTAAACATTCACAACTTTGTTTTTACAAAATTTAATTATTTATTAAATTATATTGTAAATGATATGATTTTTATATAAATATATATATACATTTTTTGTACAAACTCAATACAAACTTAGAATGACAAACAAACTGATGGCCCATCTAATGGAAATTGGTAACCGTCGCCTATAGACATGAGCAATACCATGGACATAACAGAGTATATTGTTTCGCCCATAATATCACTATGCATTGCCATTCCTGAGGACTCAGGTGTTATTCCTCTGTACCCAGTAAATTCACTGCCATACTTCACTGCCCACTTTTCAAACCGAAATTGAGTCATATATTAGTGCAATAAACCTAAATGCAAAAACATCATAAAAAATAAAAAAAATTATTTGAACATATTATCCAAAAGTCAGTCTTTTTTGTAGGTGTAAAATAATTAATCTAAATTGATTAAATTTTATATATGCTCATATCATATTATTAAGTAAAGACAATATATTAAGTCCTCTAGTCAACAAAAAAACAGTTCACCTAATATACTATTCCCTTGCATTCTATTTAATATACAGTAAGGAATAAGGAAATGAGTAAAAATAAATGAGTGCATACATATAAATATAGCGGAATATTATAACATAAAGAGTGCACAAGGCGTTATTACCACCTGCAGGACGTCGTCGGGAGTGGAGATCATGCCGCCCCATCGCGTGACCCTCGCCCGCGCTAGCGAGTTCGCCCAACGCACTACCTCCTCACGTTCCATTTGGTCGGCCAGCGCTCGCATCGTCGGGTTTGATAAGCGCATCGCTCGCATGAATTCCTGCAGCGGAAGTTATACGATAATTGGTCATTATGCAAAAATGATTACATATGTTGCGTGGATATTTATAATTGGTAATACAAGTTACTTGGAAATTAACGTGAATCCTAGTAATAACACAAATGTGAAAGTTTGTAAAGATTTAGTTAATTTCTTAGGATTTTGATGTTTATTACTATCAAGTTTATATGGGTGAACATATTTGAATGAAATTTGCTACACAAATAGACTATGTTGTATAATAAAATGTAGATGGTTAAATCAGCAGGACAAAACTAATTTTAATAATATTATAAATGCAATAGTTTGTAGGGATAAGTAGATGGATGTTTGTTATTCTTTCATGCAAAAACTACTGAACAGATTTTAATGAATTTGATACACAGATGGGTTACAGACTAATTTAAAACATAATGTAACTTTATACACCCGCGGGGAAAACCGCGAGGTTCGGGTATTAGCTATATTAAAATAAATGTGTAAAAAATTCATAAGTTTATATAACTTCTAAATACTTTTTTGTTCAGATATTGGAAAATATAATTTTCTCTTAATAATTTGAAACATGATCTTATTTAACTTACTTTTAATAATGCTAATTCTCTTTTGTGTTCATTGATGACAAGCCTCTGTTCAGCTAATTCCTGTTGGTACTCTGTGAGCTTCCCCTGCTGGGTAGCTATCAAAGCTCGCAGTTCACGGACACAGTTATGTTCTGCAAGCTCATCTTTAGGTATTACGAGGCCGCAACCAGCTTCACAGGGCATGGGCCTCTTTGGATTATATTCGCCTATAATATAATTATTGGCATATGTTAAATAATTGTTTAATCAATAAATAAATAAAAGTAGCATATCACAACATCATAATTTTACTAACATAAGAGATTAATGATGATAATTGATGATAAAATGTGTGTCCTCCTCTATTAGTAACATTTTTCGTTAGTGGAATTCCACCATGTTAACCATTAAATAAAATATAAAAGGGGGCATTACTGATATAATTTTTTTTTGTACAATCATTACAAAAAAAATAGTAAATTTTTTTATGTTATATATAAAACAAATACATATTTTAAATACAATAAACCTCAATTTGATAATGTAAACACTATACATCTACATAGTGTACAGTTTTGTATAGAATATATAAATTTTCATGAGTCAGTATAGTTTATGTATGATTTATAGATTTTATTTAAAACATGCATTTTAAATTATTATAATCAAATTCTCAAATAATATTATTTAAAAAAAATCTTCTCTACTTTTTATCTTTTCTACACTGCATCTGCAATTTGTCTACTTAATTAAACTTAAACACAAACTAACTGGCTGGCAATGCACAATCTAAACCTGTGTGTGCATTCTGAATGATTATTTTAAATCAGAAATTGTTTAAATATTTTTTTTTTTTAATTTAATAGATGAAAATTGAATAGTAACCCAGCCTATGCTATTAGTTCATGCTGATGGGTCACCAGTGAGGAATGATGGGTGACAATGACCAGATCAGTTAGTCCAACATGATGAATTCATCAAAAATTCATCATGGTGAATTTTCATTAACCTATTAGAATATATTGCTAGTAATGGGCCTGTAAAATCTCATTACTAACAATTCTTTTCTCCTCAAATCCCTCCCTCAAATAAGTTCTCCCTCCTTAAATAAGTTACCACCAATAAGAAATTGAAATAAATTCCTATAAGAACAGTTAAAGAGACCATTTGACTGAAGATACAACAGATAGTCTTATTATAAATGCAGTCAGTATGTAAAGTAATTGCAAAAGTAACTGCTTTTTTTATTGCATATAATAATGTACAGCATGCACTTCAATTAAATTTAATTAAATTAACTTTAAACTAAATGGACAATAAAGTAATAGGTAATTGATTAATAAAAATTACTGTTTAATTTACTATATTTCATTTATTTTACTTTATACTAGAGGCCTACTGTAGTTTTGCACAGGTTTAAATTAAGTTATACTGTGCCTTCTGTAAAAAAAAATTAAATGACAGTAACAGTCATACCAAAATTTGATAAAAAGTTAAAAAATAGTAAAAAGACCCTGACAGCAACTTTATTTTATATTACAACATATAGATGATATACTATTATTTTGATAGAAAAAAAGGTTTGTTTACTAATTGTACCAAGCATATAATATAAAAACAGATAATAAAATAAATAAATCAATAAAAACAAATAAATAAAATACATAAAAAAATTGTTATATACACTAAAGAAATTAGGGCTACATACATTCTACTAAATGGGAGGGCAGAGAGTCCAATTTCAAGACAGCATTGCAACCATGTGGAGCATTATCACAACTTGTGCACAGTCTGGAATGTAAACATAACAAATAAAAATATAATATTAATTAACATTATGTGTATCAAACATATTCAGCAAATAATATATGTATGAAATTCTAATTTAGTTATAGAATTATTTTTACAAAAGGATCTTGATTTAAATTAGTAGATTTGCCCTTTACATTACAACATGATATCTATGTATAAAATTTAGGAACATAATATATTGTTTATCTTATATTATTAACACAGATATAAGCACATGTTTTTATAAAAAAAATAAAGCACAAATCTAAAATGATAATTTAATGTTGTGAATATAAATTAAAAAATAGCATTCACCTGGAAAGGAGATTGCGAAGTATTCTCGGGACTGGCCTTAGTTGGCTCGATGTGACGGCCTGACGATCCACGGGGCAAGTAGGCTGTCGACTTATCCATTCAGTGATACAGGCTCGACAGAAAGCGTGCTCGCAAGCTGGAGCCTACAGGAACATATCATACATTTAAATTGTAAAAATTAATAACAGTTAAACTAAACCAAAAAAAAAAAAATCACGTACTTGTAATGGATCCTCAAGAACTCCTGAACAAATAGGGCAAATGAGTTCTTCGTCAACGTCACCTTGAAACCTTTTTATTTCAAAGCCCATGTTTTTCTTGCTACGTTTTCGATATAACAAACATGAGTTATTCTTTTATAAAACTTAGATATCTACAACAAATTAAGATAATACAAAATATTCTAATTTATCAAGAATAAAAATAAGAAACACTGCGACTGCGAACTCTGTTTTTCTTTTTCATTCTTATTAGCACCACAGATTAGTGAAAACTGTATCTAAAAGACTAAGAACATAAAAAACAACACCGAAAGCACAGATCATACAAAAAGCCACAGAATAAATGATTATCATAGATTAGAAAGACTAGTAGTAGTAGATTTTTTATTATTATTTTTTTCATTTATTGCGACTTTGGCAAACTCCATCACCCAAAAAGTAACAATTACAAGGTAACATAGTAGTAGATATATTGAAAAAAATATTGTCATTTAATTTATGGTCAGTACAGCGTTATTTATAAGTTACCACAGTCGTTTTATTATCTGATCTGGAAAATGAATCTATGCAACCACAAAGAAGTTTCAACATAATGAAATACAATTCATAGAGTGACATAACTATACATATTATGTAACCTTTGTCTATAATATCAACATTACTACATATCATAATGGATCTGCTATTGTATTAAAAATTAAGTTAATTCTATGGCACTATTTCTTTCAATTGATCTTTTAGACCATTATTTTAATTTAATAATTTCACGAAATTACCTATAATAAACTAAATTGATAATAATTTAGTTGGAATAAAATTATTGGAAATATTAGTCCTTACAATAAAAATTTTGCCATGTATCTCAAGTTGAATTTTTAATTTTAAAAATTGGCTTAGAAAAATGGCGTGTTGATACAAAACGATATAAACCATAGGGAAATATTGGTTTAATTCAACTAAAAATAATAATACATTGTTATTATGATAGACAATAGTAGTTAAAAAAGGAATGTCACAATCTTAAGTCAATGATAGAAAAAGAAACAAGTATTTGTAAAGAGTTTCATATACTACACGCGTCAGAATTAATCCCATTATTAGTAGAAAAATAAAAATCAATGACGTAGTTGCATAAAATCTTTTGAATATTTTTTACCTAAAGTAACACAGCCCTGACAAAACCCATAGAGAACAGCCCGCAGATACAACCCTTAATATAGGGAATCGTAGTAATTAACACTAAATGCTCCATAAATAAAGTGTATTCTGGGTTTAGAAGATAGAAAGCCTTGAGTTAAGTTGTAGCCAGAATACACCAGCAAGTACTATCGTTAGTCTATGACTTGAGTACTTATATTCTACATTTATAAGAACAAGCGATTGAGACAAACGCAAATAAAAATTGCATACGTGCTTTTCTGGTCATACACTGTAATCGTGTACGGTATATATAAATTATAATTATTTATATTTAATCTACTCTATGTTAAGTTGCCAAATTGCCAAACAATTCTGCCAGGCAAAATACCCTAATATCGGGGTGAACGCCACAAAAAAAGAAGAAAAAAAAAAAAAAAACAATTCTGCCAACCAATCAGCTATTGAGTCAATTGACAGCGAGTCAGCGACAGCCATTGTAAAATGGACCCAACTAGAGGGTGCTGATTAAAATTAAGTTATTATTTTCTTTATTCATTGTATTTAAACCACAAAATAATCATTCAAAATGAGCGTATTTAAATCGGCCATGGGCTACTTCAGTTCTGGAGGAGCCAATGGTGGTAGTGATAATGATTTCGTCGGTCAATTCGTTGAAATCGGAAACATGAAACTGAGAGTGAAAAAAGTAATTGCAGAAGGTAAGTTGAATAGATCAAAATTATGATCATGAATTGTTATACTAAGATAGCGTACTAATGTATACTTTTTTGATTCTGATTATTTATAATTGGATCTAGATGTAACTAAGGTCGTCGCACTTTACTAACGTCATGGCACGTATTTAAGGGGGCGGATGATAAATTTCTTAATAGATTTCTATTGACAGACTGTATATGATGCAGGTCCATTTCTTATGGTAATCTATGAAAGAGGTCTATCTTCAGCAGTGGACAGATAATGACTGAGATGATGATGATATGATACCGAAGGTGCATCACGTCTTCATGTCGGTGTTTTATTTTGCACATATATTTAAATTGTCTAAGATACAGCTGCCAACATTTACATACTTCCATGAGTTTTGTCACATTTATTATGTAAAAAAAAATTTACAACTGCTCAACATTTAACTTGGTGTCTCATGTTTATTTTTCATAATTTTTTTACCTTATGATTTTGAGGAATGCATATGACAATATATTTTTGTTTACATATGAGTGTCATTCGCACACAGTGATTACTGTGGTGATTTAGATAAATAAAAATAATACTTTTATATTTAGTAGGACCTGAGAGGTGAAAAGCTTACAATAATAACATTAAAATACATTACATGCACTTGTACAAATATAAAACAATCTTATTGAACTAATCTTCATATTGTAATTAACATGAAAATCATACTTTTGTCTGTTTTTTAATATTTTTTTTATACAACAATGGCTTTTATGAATGCAATTTGACAAATTGTAATCTGCATAGGTATTTCTTTATATTTATTACTAGTTAGTACATTTCAGATACTATATAAAGTGCCTCCCTACCTTCGGGATATAATCGGGGCCTATCTCGAAGACCGGGAAATTTTCTGTGTCGGGCGAAACGGTATGATAGTACAGAGGGACGTACAACGCGGCGTTCCGCAGGGTGCGGTTTTGGGACCGGCCTTGTGGAACGTCGGCTATGATTGGATTCTGCGGGGCGCACTCCTCGCGGGCACAAGTGTCGTCTGCTATGCTGACGACACATTGGCTACTGCCCGGGGACGGGACTTCATGCAGGCTGTCCGTCGTGCCACAGCGAGCGTGGCACTAGTTGTCGGTCGTATACGTCGGTTAGGGCTCAAGGTGGCGCTCGAAAAGTCGGAGGCAATCTGTTTTCATGGCCCCCGGCGAGCGCCACCCCCAGGAGTCTACATGATGGTCAGTGGACACAGAATCGAGGTCAAGTCTCACATGCGTTACCTGGGGCTTGACCTCGACAGCAGGTGGAACTTCCGAACTCATTTCAGGAATCTGGCCCCCGCCTTATGGCGGCGGCTGGTGCACTCAGCTGGCTGCTGCCTAATCTGGGGGGCCCAGGAGATAGCTGTCGCCGCCTATACATGGGGGTAGTGCAATCCATGGCCCTATATGGGGCTCCCATCTGGGCGGGAGCCTTAAATAGGATGAATGTGACCTGCCTCAACAGGCCACAGAGGGCCATGGCCATTCGAGTCATTAGGGGATATCGTACCATCTCCCGCGAGGCGGCATGTGTGCTGGCAGGGTCCCCGCCCTGGGACCTAGAGGCAGAAGCTCGCGCGTCGATCTACAAATGGCGCGCGGAGCGACGTTCCCGGGGCGAGTGCCCCACCGAGAGGGAAATGAGTTTACGGAAGTCCTGCGCTCGGCGGATCCTTCTGGAGAAGTGGGATGAGAGGCTGGCCGACCCAGGGGCCGGCCTGAGGACCGTCGAGGCTGTCCGCCCAGTGCTGAAACACTGGTTGAGCGGGCGGCGCAAAGGTCCACTGACCTTTCGGCTGACACAGATACTGACCGGTCACGGTTGTTTCGGTCAGTACCTGTGTCAGATTGCGAGAAGAGAGCCGACAACTGAGTGCCATGAGTGTGGTTGCGACCGGGACACGGCACAACATGTTCTAGAAGAATGCCCAGCGTTCAGTGCAGAGCGCCGCGTCCTGGTTGCGGAAGTGGGGGGTGACCTCTCGCTGCCGAATATAGTTCGGAGGATGGTCAGTAGCGAGAGGTCGTGGAATGTAATACTCACCTTCTGTGAAGCGGTAATGTCGCAGAAGGAGGCGGCCGAGCGGGAGCGGGAGAGTGCCCCCACCGCTCCCGTCATGCGCCGCCGCCGAGCCAGACGAAGGAGAAGGGGCGCGCCCAACTCTGCCTCTTCCGTCCCCCCCATTAGGGTCGGGGTGTTGCCTTGAGGGAGGCACACCCTTCATATGACCCTAGGAGGTGCGCGCACGTATCCGTGCCCTCCTGTGATGGTAGGGTGGGAGGGACATTCCCCACCCTAACTAAGAGAGGAGGCCTGCCCTACACCACCTACAGGGCGGGCCGTCGCGTTGGATACTCGGTAGTCGTACAAACGGGAACCCGGGATCCAACATAAGCGCCTCGAGGTACGTCGTGTGGTTTTTAGTGGGTACGAATCCCACACACCCCAGCTGCCCTCCCTTCGGCAGATGGGACGGTCTTTCCGAAGATTTTCCACACGGAAAAAAAAAAAAAAAAAAAAAAAAAAAAAAAGGGTAGTAAGAGTTGCAAGTATTTATGAGCTACTGTGGTTGCTAACCGAATTTTGTTCTATATTCTCTTTTTCAAATATTACATTATTTATTTCCCCTTAGAAGACCCAGAGAGAGTATGAAATAAATTATTGATTGTGATACAAATGTAATAGATTTGAATGTAATATAATAAACCAGAAGAGTTTGTTTCTTAATAGCTTTTTTTTAAGAAGGTTAAACACGATACGACCAAGGCCAAAGCTGCGGTATATAACTAGTGTAATATAATCTAAGTATAAGATAATCTCTAGGATGATATATATAATATATTATAGTTCGACTACTAGGCATAGATATCATCACATGACGGGGATATAAGGTCATATTGATATGGTAACCCCGTAAGTGAAGTGAGGAATGATGATAGGTGAATATGAAAGCACGTCACTTAGTCCATCGTGTCGAATTCGTCAATGATTAACGATGTGGAGGTTGGTCTGACAGAGTATATTGCTAGCAATTGGGGCCGCTTGTCTTCGTTACAAATAATCCCTTCTCCCCCTGATGAGGATATTAACCTTTTTTTTTTATACAACTTAGAGTGGCAAACAAGCTGACGGCCCACCTGATGTAAAGTGGTAACCGTCGCCTATAGACATGAGCAGTACCATGGACATAACAGAGTACACTGTTTCTCCCTTGATACCCCCCATGCGTTGCCATTCCTGAGGACTCAGGTGTTATTCCTCTGTACCCAGTAAATTCACACCATATCCCACCCTTCAAACCGAAATACAGCAATGCAAACAAAACTGCTTCACGGTTGAAACACGAATAGGACAGAGGTACCCAAGCAATCGACTTTTGTACAAAGTCTTCCTCTGGTAACCGGTCAACCTCATGTTGGCCAGACTGATTGCTATACAATTTCGAGTTTACCTTTTCTTATACTGATATATTGTGCTTTGTTCTCTTAGCCACTTACTTTTTCCGGCACCCTGGGGTTATATTCTTATCCTTTATATATCTTACTAGCTTTTTTTTTTCTCAACACGTCGTACGTGTGGATTTTAGAAGTAGAAAAATCAATGAAAAGATCATTTTAGATGTCTTATCAAAATAAAATAGACTTCCAGAAACACGACAGTGAAAACAGCATCCAATTTGGCGTAGTAGCTTTTGCGTTATGACAGAATAAAAATACAGACAGACAGATAAAATTTTAAAAAAAGTATTGGCTTCTTTTGCTCATATTAAGACCTCTCTTGTCAGTTTTTCTTAAATATATTCCATGTGCAGGCATCGTTTGGTTAATATATTAGTAAAATTAGTGTTTAATCATGCTGTTGGCTTTCAGGTGGATTTGCATTTGTTTTCGTTGCTCAAGATGTATCATCAGGTACAGAGTACGCTCTAAAGAGGCTAATGGCAGCTGATGAACAAGCAAACAAGAATATTATCCAAGAGATTAGTATATTAAAAAAATTATCCGGACACACTAATGTAATTAAGTATATAGCAGCTTCCTTTATTGATAAGTCAAAGACGAGCCATGGGATGAGCGAGTATTTATTGTTGACTGACTTATGTACGGGGGGCAGTTTGATGGAGGCTCTACAAAGTAAGGGGCAAGCGTTCCCCTTGCCAACGATCCTACGAGTATTCTACCAGATGTGCCGAGCGGTTCAGCACATGCACGCCCAAGTTCCTCCTATAGCTCATCGTGATCTCAAATTAGAAAATTTCTTAATATCCAATGAAGGTAAGGGAAAAGAATATGTTTAATTATTATTAAATAAAAACACTATTATAAAAAAACATGTTCAGATTTAATAATGACGAAATATAATTTGGCTTTTTCTGTCTGTTCCGCAAAGAACTTGCAATGACGATTAGAGATATAACCATGAATATTATTTAAGAAAAATGTTAGATTTTTAATATTCTATTCTATTACATATATATACATATAATAGGTATAATATGTATATAATATATACGTATATAATATATACGTATAATATATATACCTGTACTTGTACCAACATTATTGACTTTGATAAGTTTATATTTCGTAATAGATGTAAATATCAACTATATACTTAACATGGTAATGAACTACAGACATGTGGTACAATATTTCTAATAATTGTATATTGATTTTATATAAGTTTGTCTTTTTTAGGTACAATTAAACTATGTGATTTCGGATCCGCAACTACAGATGTTTACACTCCAAACCCATCATGGAGCGCTAATCAAAGAAACATGTTAGAGGAAAACGTAAGTAACGTAATTAATGCTAATTCATGAAACGTAAAATTTTGTTTTTTTTTTTTAGACAATAAATGTACACAATTTATTTATTTTTCTTTGCATCTTCAAGTTTTTTTTATCTATAGATTAAATGGCAACCCCGTTTACGCTTTCGGTATACGCTGGCAGTCAATTAGCCCAGTTTGACAAATTCATTATTAATTATCGATGATGTCCAGCGTCGATTGCATGGAAGTCTTTCTAGATATATTGTTAGCACTGAAGCTGCTAGTTCACATTATTAACATGCTCCTAAGTGGTATTGCGATATCACGAAATCACCACGCGCGAATTCATCGCGTGACTGGGATAAAAAGTAGCTACTGTCCTTCTCCAGCCCAAAATGCCCCAAGTACTGCATGTGTACCAAATTTCATGATGATTAGTAGACCAAATGTCGTCAATATGTAACAAACAGACAAACAATTTTCATTTATTGAAATATCAATAATAAGTAAGGATTTATTTATGACGTCTACCGAAGACTACAGTGTTATGTTTCTTGTATTAAAAAATAGTATTACACTGTGTCAGCCTGAAACAAAATACATTTCTACAAATTAACGCATGATTTTTATGTATTGCGATAAAAAATATCCTATAATATAAAATTATATCATATGGTTATTATATTTGTATATCAAACTTTATTTAGTTTATTAAGTTCGTTTAATTGGTGAGATTATAACGAATTATGGCAACTTCGCACATAACTGTAAATTTTCAATAATTATTAAACTTTTAAAATCTTTCTTATTAATTATTTAAAAAGTGCTCTAACTAGTGAACTAAAACGTTAATCATGCAATAATATTCTTATTAAACTGTCACCGAAAATTTGGATTTTGATGGCAAAAATGTATTTGCAAAATTCCAAAGCAAAATATAAAGTACCTGCAATGTTTTTAATGGTAGATTAATATTCAACGTGTTGTATGATTAAAGTTTTAGCTCTAACTTTTTAAATAGTCAACTACTAACTTCACTTTTTAAATAGTCAGAAACATTAAAAAATTTTCATTGTTTTTAAAAATTGATACATAATTGCGATGTTCCCGTACTTCGTTAAGCAAATGTTATAAATACTCTCAAGTTTGAGTAACAAACACCTCGAATTTTTATATTTATGATTAAGTACTAGTTAGGTCCTACGGTTTTGCCTTTGTAAATATAAATATTTAAGCATAGCTCTGCGAAGGTGATATTATTATGTTCTCAAAATTACTCATGTAGCTTAAACTAACTCAAGGAACCGACAATCGATGGGGTAGCAATGTATTCTAATGGCGACCTCGTATAGTCAAAAATAATGTCCTACATTATTTTTTACTATACGCCCTACCGTTAATATACAGAGCAACGAGTGACGACCTCAAAATTGTTGCTGTAGGGCATCAGTGGAATCAGAGGGTGTAGTCCTGTTTCCTATTGCAATTTATGAGGGAGATCTAAATTCAGCAGTGTTCATTCAACGGTCTAAATGATGATCATCATCATTATATCAGCCGTTAACTGTCCACTGATGAACACAGACTTCTTCCTATTAGGTTTTAAGGCCAGTGATTGCCACGTTTGGCAGGCTGGTTGGCAACTGCAGTTAGGCTTTGGTGATATTTTACTCCTGATGCCCATCCCTCGACAATTAAGTTCCGTTAGTCGCCTCTTACGACACACATGGGAATTATTAATGTTTACTATCAATTATTTTGTCGAATTAAGCATTTTTAATAGTATTTTTTCACTTTTTACTTAATATCATTGTACATTGTCAGTTTAATTGTTGTAAGCATATTGTTGGTGTCTTTTATAAATAAATAAATATCAGTAAGTAATAATGAGTGTAGCTAACTTTTATTAAAACTTCTTTAATAATTTTCAGCTGGCCCAATTCACAACACCTATGTACCGAGCACCAGAACTTTTAGACACGTGGGATAATAGAAAAATAGATCATTCAGTAGATATATGGGCGTTGGGATGTATATTATACACTCTATGCTTTATGCAGCATCCGTTTGAGGACTCCGCAAAATTAGCCATTTTGAATGGAAATTACAATCTTAATCCCAACGATCAACGTTATAAATGCTTTCACGAGATCATAAGTAAGTACCTTCATATAACATCATTTTTAAGATGTACCTCGATTTTGTTTATAGAAATGGCAAAAATTAATTTTGATTCGATTAATAATCTTACTAAATATATGAAACACACCGATGAAAGGTCATTCAGCTGTGTGTTTGTGGATAGTTTAGGTTTAAAATATTTAAATTTTAGAATCTAAAATCATGTGTTTATAAAAAACAATGGCTTGAATCGTCTCAAAATTAACATGGGACCAACACGATAGAAAACCCCTTTTGATTGCTAAAAACTTCAAAATAGGTTAATAATTGGTGGCATACATATAGACAATGTTTTTTTTTTAAATTAATGTTCACTTAATACAAACCTATCAACCAAATTTGTATGTATTTAGGTGTTCTTTATGTTTTCGACTTATCTATTTTAGATTAGTCAATGAGCGGTATTAAGATTTTATATTATGTATTAGATAGATAAGTTTTTTCTTTTTCCAGTCTGCTAATTGATAAGTAACTATATAATAAGGTTAATCCCTCAGTATATTGATGATTCATTGAGTTAAATACTGTTTATGATATTGCGGCAGTCTCTTATATATTATGATTCTATTACCAAATTTCTAAAACCCCAAAATTATAGTTCTGTGTCTAGACTTTTTGACTGTATGTCATAGTACTTCGATGATATATGGATAAATGTAGATACAGAATAGTCAACTTTGTAAATAGGCAAGGATTTAATTCATTAAAGAGGTTTATGAATCTTTTTTTGAAAAGTTGTACTCTCTGATTTGGATTTTGAATTAGTTGTATAGTATAACCACAGCCCAAAGATACCAGTCATCCAACTAACATGTTTAGAAAAACCAATGTGTTTTTAGGATGTGCCAAAGGTATAGAACTACTAATTGTCCTTTATACTGTGATACTACTCAGTATAGTATGGTTACTAGCCCTTCTTTCGAGTAACCTCTCTCTGTGACCGTTCGAAAAAAAGATCAGAACATGTTAGGATCAGAACATACACACTTTATTAAAAAAAAAATGTGATTAACGGAATTGCTCAACTTATGGTCCATATATGGGCCGAGTCGGTGTTAGGGGAATCTATTAAATTACATATACTTTTAAAGTATTTTCCAATATAGTTACATTTCAGTTTGTGTGTATACATAGTAGTAAATCAAGCCATTTTTGATATCTACGGATATTTCATTTGCTTTCATCTTAGTTGATTTCAACTGTGATTTAAAGATTCTTATGAGTTACATATCTATGTTTGTCCTCAGGTGGTTGCCTAACAGTGAATCCTGCTGAGCGACTGACAATAAACAGTGTGCTGGAACGACTGGCGGCGATTGCTGAGTCCAACAATGTCAATCTCAAGCAACCACTCAAATTTGAGCGTAAAAAAGTTGAACAATCTGTGGCCACTAGCTCGCCAGGTAATAAGAAGTCAAGTAAATATTACACTACCATATCTTAAGAGAAGCCGCGGCGCGCCTCCTTCCACATGTTGTGATAGCGATGACACATGACTCGTGTGAAGCGTACGTCGATTTACGATCGCGAGTATCGATTATCCATTCATCTCGTTGGTCCATCGTTTTGTTATGTTGCATTTAAAACTCGAGCTAAAAATGGTCAAGTATTTTTTGACTTTTTACACTCAAATTTTTATTTTCTCCGCATACTATTTGTTTGAGTTCTTTAGAAAGGTTATTTTCGTAATGTGAGATTTCTTTACATTCCAATGTTGATAATCACCAAAAATGACGTCACCAAAGGTAAGGCAATTTGAATAACTTGTCCATGGAATGAAATAAGGTAGTATAGCATTTATTTGACTTTCATATATTTTATTCTATTATATCAATACCCGATATATATAATTTGCAATAAAAGTGGACTAGCTAAGTGATTTTAAAAATATTCTAGTTGGAAGAAGTTCGTCTACTTATTTATTTTGTCCCATGCTGTATATGACTTTTTTCTGAACAGTGGAAAAAAAAAGCTTTAATTTAATGTTTAAGTCTGAGAAAAGACATTTGTAATCCCAATAGTATAAATGTTTCTAATGTGACAAATAATGATACCTTGATTATTGAGCAACATTACGTAGATAGATTATATTAGACATCTTTAAAATGTTCGTATCAAAATTTAAAAGACTATATTAATTATGTATAATACCAAAAAATCAAGTGTGTATTTTTAAAGTACACACTTGAAACCTTTAGCTTTTATAGATATAGGGTACCTGTCGCTAGTTAGTGTACAGATATTTTAAGCGACACATCCACATTCCTGTATATTTAAGGGTTATCTGCAACCTACATACCAGGTCGCAAAACCCCATTTACAACATTATTTTTCTATTTAATAAAATGTATCTTTTGAATTAGGTGTTTATTAAGACATATAAAAAAAATATTTGTGGTACTACAATAATACTAGGGAAATTTCGTATTGTTTCTTACACTATATTAGCTTATATTAACGCCATTAAGAATATCATATTGTTAATCATACATAACTAACACTGGGTTACAGCAATCTGTATAGTTTTAAATAAATATTCACACTAACACTATGGGAGCTTGGTAAATCAGCACATGGATATCATCACAATATTATTAGGCCTTTGATTCGTATTATGTGTTTATGACTAGTCGATTTGAAATGGTGTTATTAAAACACTGGCTGTTATTATTATAATTATAGATATTGATAAAATCAATTTTATTAGTGGAACATTCCAAAACTTGACAATATGTTGAACTGAGGTACAATTTATAATTAAAACTGAACTAGATCCGTTATGGAATATAATAAGAAGTAATTGTATAAACCTATTTGTTCACGATAGTCTGTGAGCAATTCATTTGTCGTGGGTGATTGAATTGAAACCATAACTACCGAGGGCCTTCGTACATTGTGCTAACTTTTCAACCAATGGTCAACGTGGATAGTTTTAACCGTTGCCTTTAATCATTAATAATACAAACAATATTGTACACAAATATTATAATATTTGTCTACACTTAATATAGGGGCGTATATGAACAAAGTGTGGAGAGTACAGCTGCCTGCTGTGTATTTCGCATTCCGCGCCTCTCTTTTCCTCTTACTCTTTCTTTATTTCTCACTCTCTCGCACCGTCTGTCGCCATGATGTTATCCCAGTTGATCACAAAGACGTATTGGTTTTAGTTAATCAAATTGTCAGAAAAAGTATTCCTCCATATAATTGTCAGATTATCTTTGAGGACGACCAGGACAATCAAGTTAAATCATCTGTATATAAATCTGATGGGCTCGAGTATTTCAAGGTCACATTTTTTTTTTTACTTTTTTAAAAATCCGTCATGACTTTTAGTTGCGTTCAAATCGTCAGTAATTTAAATAGGACACTTTTTTCAGTTTACTTTCCTTTGAATATCTAACACACTCGAATAACTTTTTTTCTTTTTTTCTACCCCTTTTTACAGCCACCCCCCACTAATTAATCGTCACATTAATATCTCTTGATTATCAAAAAAGCATATACTATAAATTTCCATGTAACAGATTTTTATTTTCTTTACATTTTTGAAAATTTGTATGCGCTGAAACGCGCGTTAAAGAACCCCGTACATACTAAGTTAAACTTAAAAACACAGATTATTTTTAACCGACTTCATAATAGAGGCGGTTCTAATTTAGTTGTATTTTTTTTAAACAACCTTTCCAGATTAACCATTGGTTGAAGTGTCCACTCTGTACGTAGGGTACCTATGCCAGTACCGTGCGTCCACTGTAATGTATAATAATAAATTTTGTATGTATAGGTATAGTGTCAACGTGATTGCATAGATGTACCTACTTATTAAAAGAGAATATCGGAAAACTATCTATATTTCTTTAGAATACAATCATATTTATACTCGAGTGTTTTTGTTGAAACACTGCATTATTAGAAATAATGTCGTCACATCACTGTTCTTTTGTGCATAATGATTAGTCTTGTGACTATGTCTAAAGCCTACATTAGTAAAATAAATGAGTATATTCTTCAGTCATAGTTTGTTTTTTTTTTTTATTTCAAACGCATTTCAAATACAGAACTAGCCATATGTGAGGAGTAATCGAGAAATACAAAATTAAGAAAGTAACACGATGTCATCGGTTTGTATAAAGGAGGAAGGAAATTCACTTGGGTAAAATGTTGAGCTATTTCAATGTAAAGCATATTAACACAGTATGGTATGATTTTTCTTTTTACGCTAAAACTAACATGTACTCTTGCACTTGCACTCTATAACGCTATTTTATGACTAACAAGCAGTTTAAGCATATTGACTAGTGTGCGGCGTTGGCGTCAACTGCATTTACGAGTATCATAGTTTTAAACCATGATAATTAGAATGAAAACCGAAGCTCGCAGTAGTTATTAATCCCCCTAAATACTTGAGCTATTTAGCCGATAGTATTAATCAGAAATAATAGTTAATAACTTGTTAATAGTATAACTTGTGTGAACTTAGTGTCTTTAACAGATGGTAATTATTGAATATACTTCCATAGATAGTTGAATATCAATCTTAACCAATTCAAGTTCAAAACAGTACAGACATGATAAAGTGTCATTGACTTGCTACACAGCATTTTCCTGTACTATTATTATTATTTTATTTGAATTAAATAAGGGTAATATTTAACTGTTGGTAGCAATATGGTTGCATTCAAGTCGTATACTCAGCACTTATATCTATGTAAACATTTAAAAAAAAAATTAACAAATTGGGGACCAAAGTCTTAAATGCGATTAATCTAAAGTGAATGTCTATGGTTTTGTTTCACATTTTCCCCCAAAAGAACATGGTCGATAAATGTCAAAAAATGCTGAACCTCTATACTGATACCTAATAAGTTAGTAAGAAGGCTCAAAATTTGTTGTCGTTTCTGTGATTTTACATTTTTAATTCAATTGAAAATTAGATTATTTTTTTATAGTCTTAGATTTATGTGCTGCTACAGACTTCCATTTTACTCTGTAGAGGTAACATTTTATAAATAGGTTAACCAAAAATTATTGACTAAATATGAAACAAGCGTAAATGTGAAGGACATTACATTTTATTATTTAGTAAATTTACTACTACGTGCTAATCTTGATTAAAGTTAATCAGCAACTAGCACTTCTCTAACTTTCAATCAACGATTAACGTAACCAATAATTTTAATCAATTTTGGGTCTTATCCTAATGGTTTAAGTTTTATGATCATCATTTTTCGTTCGTGTCATATTCATTAAGAACTAGTAAGTATTATATATATTATAGTGTACCAATTCACTGACCCTAGCTTTTTGGGACGCTAATGAGTTTGCGTTATTGTCACATTGTGGTTAAGGAAACCATAATATATAGGTTTAGTTGGAAATGGTATGTACTAACTCGAAACCCAGCACAGCTTTTCTCAAGATATATAATCTAAATCCATTGCGTGATTTCTATAGAGGGATAAAAGTATTACTAGGATGTAATCCAAATATGTACCAACATAATCCTAAAATGTCTTCAGTTGTTTGAGAGTAGTTGAGTAACAAATGTCCAAATATATTAATATTTATAATATTAGTATAATACATGTATATTATTTCAAGCACGTTTTACAGTGGTATAAAAATAATTACTGGTTTTGAAATTAGAATACCATTTCCATTTGCCTATTTCTATCTACCTGTCTAAGTCGTGCTAATCCTAACGGACTAATCTATTTGACTATTATTCTATTGTAGATACAACTTTAATCAACATATCTTTGTAGATATTTTACGTGGCAAAATTAATCTTAATGTAGTTTTGAATAATAAACTAAAAAAAGCGTTTATAAGATAATGAAATTATTACCTAAATAAACAACATAAAGGGTTGTTTATTTATTTAGGTAATAATTGCTTATAATAATAAAATATAAATATATATAAAAATAAAAATAATCTAAGAGCCAACCATTATTTTTATTTAGTTTCATTCATATCCAATAAAGACTAGTAACCAATAAGGACTATTAATATTACGTAATGTATAAATCTTTTGCAATCTTTAAACTAGATATATAAATCGTGATAAAATTCTTTGTTATTCCTGGTTTCTAGAAATTACTCCTTGGAATAGTCACTTATACACTTTCGTTTTTCTGTTGCACTAAACTACAATTTAATCAATAATATCGATATGATCCTGTGAATAATATATTGAAAAAAGTTTAACAATAAACATATATATTGCAATACGTTAATTTATTAGCTTCATAAATTGTAAAAAAAAAATAAAAGTATACGTGAAATACTCTTTTGTTCACTATTTTTTTTTTGTAATGACGGCCTAAATTATCTACCATTACTTATATACGCTGTCCCTTGTCGAAACGCAATCTACATTTGAGGGCTACTAGATAGTATTGAGCGATATAAACTGTTAATCTATGATTATTGCAGTAGTATAGCTTAGCCCTGAGGACTGATATCGGAGGCTAGATAGCGACTTTAACGAATACCATTAGATTGTTTGCATGCATCTATTTACAATAGAATCAACGCTTTATTATGTTTTGTTTGAATGAACTTGCAACATACTCCTTGCATGTAAGTGTGCGTAGATCGTATAAAGTTCCACGCCTTTATTCTGATGTATAATTATTGTACATCTCTGTAATAAAAAAACAATTAACACCTTTTATTTTTTTTTATTAAAAACCTCCAATTTTGACTTTTTTTTATTAGGTTTTATACTATTTTTTATACCAAATATAAAAATCAACCATACCGATACTAAATATATAATTAATTTTGTAATAAAAACGGTCCTTATTAGTATTGTATATACACAAGTAAAGGCGTCGTACTTTATACAGAATTATTATACTCTTTGATTGCATTACATATCACATTTTCTTTTTCATTTTAGGTGTTTTCAACTTTTTCGGATGTCCAATCGTTTTCTCATTTAAATGACCCGCGGCGCTAGCATGAGCCTACGGACGTCACTCACACTGACCGCTTGCTAGAACATTGGATATGCTCTCAATGATGAGTATTTATTTTTATTTATTAATTGTATTATAAACTATTTCGTTATCGTCTTTATGGCAACTTACGTTAGGGCTATCCAAAACTGTTTATGTGTCTTATCACTCATTTGTTATATTATTATTTTTGTTATATATATTTTTTAATATTAAACTAATGTATTTTATTAATGTTAAATTTTTAACATTAATTATAAAGAAAACATTAGTAATCAGGGTAAAATTGATAATGTTTATATGTCCTTGATAATTTATGCTTAGGTTAGTGACGTTACAGTACTGATTTTAATACACATCAGTTTCTCGGATTTTTTTTTATATAAATATGTTGTCAAAAAAAACTTTAATAAATATATGGGAACTTGATTGGCACCTCTGGTGGCAATATCTTTTTTTTTTATTGTTATAAATATATATAATTCACTTATTTGACACTATAACTGCTCTAATAAAAAACTTGTATGCAGTGTTATGTTAATTGATAAATAATTCTTTTTTTTTTGAGTTTTTCGAATGTTTTTAAGTCTATTTTGTTGTTGCATGTATGTAATATATTTAAATGTATATATACGACATAAATGTCAATATTTTCTATAATTAAGAAACAAGAAAAAATGTCAAATATATCCCACTATGTAAAATATAACACTATTGACAAGTTACTTAGTTTTTTTTTTTTTACTTTTATAATATTTTTTTTTATAAATATAAAAAGACAATAACTATGTAATTAAATATATACTTTATATTTTAAATAGTTATACATAGTCGCATGAAAGTCCTTTTTACACATTCCTTAATAAGTAAAATACTAAATTAATATTTGATTAGAAACATACAAACAATGTAGCTTATAAATATGCATAAATATTTTTTGAGACGTGAAAGCAATATTTAAAAATTGTCTTACGTTTTATGTAGTTTTCTGAATTTTAGCGAGAACATGATACAGAAAGTATTATACTAAAGTTAATTAACTTACAAATCCAATGTGATAGTTGTCGCCAATATTTCGCGAAGCTGTCTCTAATTTATTCCAATATTATTGCATTTAAAGTGAGTTTAGTGCAAATTCTTCAAAGGATTCTAATACAATATATACTGCCTACTGCTAAATTATGATGTAACATTTTTTTATGTTCATTAGAACACAGAAAAAAAAAACTAAAGTGTGGCATAATGAATGCTGCTAATTAATTTCTTTTTTACATATACGATACATTTTATAATTTTGGTTAGTAATGAATATTAGGAATACTATTTCAACTACGAAAGCTATTTTTTTTACCAATGTCTTAAATATTATTTTTCTGATTTACATACAAATTATTTTCTCTGTATAAATAATAGTATAAATAGTAAAAAAAAAGTGTCTAGATGTCCATTATATGAAATCGTTATTTCTAGTTAAAATACAAAATTGTTATTATTCTAAACAAATTATTAAATATTAAGTCACAAATATAAATTTTATAAGTGTAAACAACGTGAAGTCTGAAATTAACAAAATTCTACGACTTATAAATATTGATATTTGTATAACACCTTATCAGATTTGAGTAGACATCGCAAGTGCCTATTTTGCTATTACTAAATCTACTAAAGGCTTAATCGGATTCTGCCTATATAGATTCAGATTCCGAAAATCGAAAAAGCTTTCATCACAATTAGCGTTTTTTAATTCGCTGAGCGAAGAAAGGAGTTTGCCATGAATAAATATTTAATTTCAACCAACTTCTAAAAAGTTCATTATATTATATTTTTTTGGAATAAGCAGAAGTTAATCCCGTTTTACGTCTCTACTTATTTTGTCGTAATTCATTCTAGTTTTTGATAGAACAAAATCTTAAATTATGGTAAAAAAAAATATAGGTAGGTTACTTATGTTTGATTTTCGTCGAGATACGTACATTATCAATTATTTATTGAAATTACATCTTAATCCTAGTAATAATTACCCGACTATAGATTTAGAGAAACAATGAGTATTTAAAACAACAATTATAATAATACCAGCTGCGTGTAGTCTCACATCTAGATGTGAAGTAGACACAGACTGTAGCTGTATGTTTAGGAATATTGTGATGAGCCAACCAAGTGGTCATTTTCCAAGCTTTTATTTAAAACTTTTATATTTAAAGATTGTGATTTTATATAAATATAAACCGGTTTTATATCATCCGAGGTTTAGAAGCTCCAACATTTATTTCCACCGTCAAGTCAAAAGTCGCATTCATCGTTGCTTTATCTCGTAGATCGAAATTTGTGAGCATTCCGAATTTATTCTATAGCCCTTTTTAATATTTGCATAGGTACAAACATGGCGTGACATTAGCACGCGTCGTAGTATTAATTTGTTACCATATTCACATTATTTAATAATTTAAGTTATTTAGTATCAAATAAGCACTGTGGGAAGGAGATAAACATATTATAATATCCATTGTAGTTTTTAGATTGTAAAAGGTTGAGTACACCAAATGCTTGTGTGTAGCACTGGCGTGTGTGCAAATAAATTGTTAAAACAGTCTAAAAATTTTAGAAGTTCCATACTAACTTCAGAGCGTTTAAAACTTGCTTACCGAAATGTGGCAACGTCGCAATTCATCATCATCATCATCATCTCAGTCATTATCTATCCACTGCTGAACAACGTCGCAATTACATGTCAATTTTCAAAAAGTAATTCAACAATGTTCAATTTTTCTAATTGATTATTTAAAAAGTTCTCTGCTAGCGAACTAAAACGTTAAACGTGCAATAATCTTATTTAGCTATTAATGAAAATTTAAATTTTGATAGCAAATATAGAAACAATGTTAAATTTGTATATAATGTATTCTATAAGTAAAGTTTTTTAGTTCGCTATCAGAGCATTTTTTAAATAATCAATCGGAAATTCTTAATAATTTTAAATTGATTTTGAAACGTGACAGATAATTGCGTCGATGCCATACTGGTAAAAAAAAGTGATGACATTCGTAACAGTTAAAAATTTTAGTGGCTTTAAACCTGTATTTCTTTGGAAAAAATGTGCAACTTTATTGGTAAAATACTTCTTTAAAAATATGATTATTGATTTTCGTTCCTACACTTTCACACGTCATGAGTTATTCCGTACGCATTTGATGTATCACCCATTTGCCTGCAAAGGAAACCTGTTTTAATTAATGTAACAAATTCCAACTATAGATAAATACTCCCGTCTTACCATATGAATAGAGGATCTATGCTCAATTTAACATTTCCACAAAATTAATAATAAATAATTAAATTATTAATTTAATTTACTACCAACGGTAAGAATAGTTGCAATTTTTTACGTATCTATTTATAAATTACCTTTCATACGGTGCTTTTTTTTATTAGAATAGTTATATTTAAACTTTTTTATTTATTTGTTTCGTAATATGCCGCCCTCTCAAAGGGCCTAATAGGAATTATATTCGAATTTCTAGAACGTGTTGCTTTTTTAAATATTATAAAATTATATTTTGTAAGTTAAATGTTGTACACATCTAATCAGTATTCAAACAATGTATGTTTGAATTTATTGCGTTAGTATAAATGTATTTAAGTGATAAATATATTTAAAAACTTAATATCATTTAAAAACAAATGTGTTGTGATATTGATTTTCTCTATTGATTTCTCGTGTAAATTATTCCATTTTAAATAACATTTGTTCTCATTCCGTCATATTCCCAAAAATGTTTATTGCTATAAAAAATAATTAATGTTTTGTTATATAATTTATAGATGAGCAATATTCTTGTTACTATTAGCGACCTAAGAGATTGATATGTAAGATATTTAATTTTAATAATAAATAGTATATAAATCATCACATTGTTTTTCTTTTATAAATACAAAATATACCTATTTTATTATAACAATATATTAATACGAATGTAAATATAGACATGCATTAAACTTAGGATGTTAATTAACATGTTCAAACATAACAGATATTTCTTAACTTTACTATTTTAAATAAATAATATGAAATCCGAAAGTAATATACACTGTCATGGTCAGTACTATTCATAGATATTGTTTTATATATTGCGTGAAATGACAGTGCGCCAAATATATATAATTTTTATTTCAGCGAGCAAAGACCAACCAACGTCAAACAGCCAGGAGGTGCCAAACTCTCGGCCGCCGGAGCCGAGCCGGCCTCCGCCGCCCAGTCGGCCCCCAGCTGCGCCCCACTACAATGCTCCCCCACCCCAAGTACCGGGTAATTCTGGAGGATTATTCTCATCTATAAAGGGAGGTGCTGGCAGCTTCTTGAAAAATTTAAAAGACACTTCCTCAAAAGTTATGCAAACAGTACAGCAGTAAGTAGAATTGTCAACTTAGTTCTTTAAATTGTAATCAAGTTCATTTAAATAAAGATGGTTTCCATTTTTTTTTTAAATCTGATGTAATAATATTGAATCATTAACGTCCTTTTAAAAATGTATTCCGTTGGTATATATGAATATATATCCCCTATAATGCTCACGTTAACCTCATGGAAACTCATGCTAGTATCTGGATTTTTCAGTTATACGCTACAAATGCGTCTTTTATAAAAGATCAGGTGGTCTACCATGAAATGAAATTCCGAAATTTCGGGCTCAATTTCGTGTTTTTGTTCGTATCAAAATCAACCCAGTAAATGGAGCTTAACATTTCGTTCATCATAAATCCTATTTTAATAGTCCAAAGGAACGATATTTTAACATTTTTAATAATTTTAAACAGCATGTATTATGTAATTTTAACATCAAATTTATGTTTCGTTCGTCCCCGAAATTTCGAAAGTACTTCATGGTATGCCCTCAGGCCCCATCTGGAAAATAATCTTAAATAAACTAATAGTTCTGCACTAGAAATTAAATGTTTTTTATAAAGAAGCCACGGATAAAAAATGACAGAATATTTTATATTACTATTTTAAATGTTCATACTCTACGTTGGTTGAATAAGGAATGAAAGAGTGTAGACGAAAGTAGGCTGCCAATTGGGTATCTCATCTGGTACGTTCTAATAATAAATTTAAAGTAACAATACTATGATGTTGATAATTGTTTGTTTCAGGTCGATAGCTAGGACGGATTTAGATATCAGCTATATAACTAGTCGAATAATCGTGATGCCGTACCCCTCAGAGGGATTAGAGAGTGCGTACAAGACTAACCACATAGATGACGTCAGGGTAAGTAACTTAATCACTCTTAAAGGAATACTTAATTAAAGCCTATAAGCGTTTCTAATTATGTATAAAGCAAACGTATTTAATTTAATTTATTATCTTTTTATAATTTTAAAGGTAACGCAACTTGGAAGAGATTGCTTAGCGATAAGATCGCCTTTTGTATCATTTCTTATTACAGTTAAATGTATTTACTATTTTATAAATGGTGCAATAAAGTGTAAATAAATAAATAACGTAACTTCTTTATAAATTGGTGAAGCCATCTATTATTTCTTTCAATTGAACTGAATTAATATGTAATTGATGATATGTAATTCATGATGATAATCATGTCTTGCCTTTATAGCCTCCCTACACGATTACTAATAAATACTTTTTTCATCATTCATGCCTATATTTTGCCTAACCTGCTAAAATTATAGCCGTACTTAAGTATAAAATGTAAAACAGGCGTTCCTGGAGAGCCGTCACCCTGGCGGCAAGTACTGCGTGTACAACGTGTGCCGCGGGTCGCGGTCGCAGTTCTCGCGGCACGGCGTGGAGGCCTGGCGTGCTCTGTGGCCCACGCCGGCACACAAGGCGCCCCTGCTCGCGCCCTTCTACTCCCTCCTGCAAGACATGTACCAGTACCTCGGGAAGGATGATCGGAACGCTCTAATCATTACATGCCAGGTGGGCACTGATTCATAATCATCAGCTACTGCTGACCATAGGTCTCCCCCTTGGGACGTTTTGCCAGTAGATGCCACGTTTGGCAAGCGGGTTGGCAATTGCTACCCATCTATCGACTAAGTTTCAAATAGCCTCTCGATAGGTACTCTTGCCGTTTTCCCGTGCCAATTTCTTTTTTACTTTAAATAGTAAGTAGTAATAGTTTATTGGTATAATTAAATAGATTTTTTTTCTATAGGACGGCAAAATGATGTCGTGTGTGGTGCTTTGTGGGTTGCTACTGTACTCTAAACTGGTGACGGTGCCGGAGGACGCGCTCCAGATATTCGCGGTCAAGCGCTGTCCCATCAACATTCCGCCCGGCCAATTGAGATATCTCTATTACCTTAGCAATATTATAAGGTTTGTTACATCATTTGATCTTTAGCACGTTCTTTGTTTCTTTTTTTTTTCGATCGAGTACAAATCAGAACAATAGTCCAGTTTTTTTTTTTTTTTTAAATTTCATAGAGATCATTTTCAGAGACATATATTGAAAATGGATGGAATGGATATTAGTTATTCACTAACTACTAGTTATTAACTATTATTAATATTTTACTTATTTTAATTACAATACCTTGGAGGTAATTTAAGAAATGAAACCTAATTAAAATTATATGTTTATTACATTTATAACTATGTATATACTACACATTTTGTATAGATATCTTTCTAATTCTTGAATGTCAGAATTTAGTTTTTTTATTTTTTTTATATTATCATAAATAAATATATTTAATCTTTTTCAGGCCAGAACCAATGCTCGTTCACTTTAGGCCTGTGACCTTGGTGTCTATCACCATTCAACCGGTGCCACTCTTTACAAAAGCAAGGTAATAATTTAAAAAATTTATACATTTTGTTGTTGTTTAGTGTTTGATGTATGCCGTAGGGCTGTAGAGCCAACTTAGTGTTATATCATTGACTGTATTTTATAATATTTTTTAGAAAATTTTCTCTTTGCCTACCCCTGTGATAATTTGGTGTGAATGTGTAAATATTCTTCAAAAAAGATTATGGTTTCTTCAGGGTCTGTAACGCGCACATGACACCCCTAGTGTCGCATGCTTTCATAGTGACTGTTTACCATCTAACTGGCGTATGCTTGTTTTCCACCTTCGTGATATAAATAAAAAATATCGGTAATTTTCAGAGACGGATGTAGACCCTACATTGAAATTTACAACGAAGATAGACTGCTGTTGTCTACAATGCAGGATTACGATAGATTACATATGTATACAATGGCAGAAGGGAAGGTGAGTTGTTTCGTATGACGAATCGTATCATTTAAGTTTGTATGGTATATTAAAAATGAAAAAATCACAAACAGTTTTGCAACGTTATTAGATTATATTTATTGGTATTAATGGTACACGATTTCGAAATGCTTAGCATACTATATATTTACACTCTCTCGTTAGTCAATTATAAAATACACGACTATGAAATTGTCAAATTGTAAAAAATAAATAAATAGTTGTAGTGTTTTATTGAATTACGCGTATTTGGTCATATGTACATTATTTTACTGAACTAGGTACTTATTACTTTGCGGAAATTCATATCACAGGTTCGTTGATTAAGGGTGATTTTGTTTAATTCCGCTATCATTAGTATGCTTGCGACTGCATTAGGTTATTAGCGAGAAGATTTATGAAATTTGCTATAATCGTAACTCGTCTTAAGGCAGTTTGTTACATAAACACTTAGTCACGAAATGGAATAACTGTTATTTTTATTGATTTAGTATTTTCTACACTGATTTTTTATTTAATTGATTATTAGATGTTATTATAATAGCAAATATAATTCAAATCCAGTATACGCAAAAAGTAGCCAGCTTTCTACCATACTGACACGTAGAAAGAAATATAAAACTGAATTGTAAATTATAAATAAAAATTAAAAAAAAACTATTATATTAAAAAAAAAGTAAAAATAAAAAAAAAAAGTTCGATGAGTTGTATTTGTGACGAATTGCATTCGCGATGAGCTCTGTTTTTAACGAAATGCATTATTAGAATTGAACCGCATATAGTTTGTAATCCGTAAACTGATGTGTGGTGGCGATGGTGGCGGTGGTAGGTGACGCTGCCCCTGGACACGACGGTGTGCGGCGACGTGGTGGTGAGCGCGGTGCACGCGCGCATGCAGCTGGGCCGGTTGCACGCCGTGCCCATGCTCGCGCTGCACTTCCACACCGGCTTCCTGCCGCCCGACCACCACGCCATCAAATTTACCAGGTAAAACATTATTGAATTTGCTGTCTTCAACAGTATCTAATTGTTCCATCTTTAACCACTTAATGCAAGGGTTTTTTTGTGAAATGAGGTCAACTGGCGCACTGGCGCACGCACTAAATTCGAACGAGCTTATATTAAATATACTCTAAGCTCTATGAAATACAAACGGGCGAGAATGTATCGCTCCAGATAAAAATATAAATAATATTTATACGATTTATCGAGCAAGAATGAATGGAGATGGCGGTAGGGGCCGCCCTAGACGGACGTATGTCGACCAAATAGGCGACGTGCTGAAGAAGGGCTAAATTAAAAGTACCCGTAACCGGCGAGCGTGTATGAAAAGATTGATGAATGTGGAAGAAGCGAAAGAGGTTTGTTTGAATCGAAGCATTTGGCGTTCCATTGTTTCTGCCTACCCTAATGGGAGACAAGCGTGACAGATATGTATGTATGTATGTATTTATAAGTGACGAGAGGTACTCAGGATAGCGCAAATCGGAACACATTTAATACGCGAGAGGGTCTCGTTCGAGATGCTTAAGTGGTTTAACCACCTTTGCGAGGCATGGCAGCAAGAGATTGTTAGTAACAGAAGTAGCCTCAGTGCTGTTAGCTTATCAAGTTGACTATCGCGTGCTCCCCACTTAAAACCAATATTATTAATTCCTGCTAAATGATAACGAACCAATTGACGTGATTTCATCTTCACATATCGTCTGTCTCTGGTCTCCCACCAGCGTATACCGCTTAGACGAATTTATCTTTCCATTAGCATCCATTGAAAAACTCTGAATTTATTTTCTATATAGTGTATCAAAATAAAACATACACCAGATTTTAAGTTACACCTTCAAAAATACAAATGTAAAATCTCATTCATTTGGTGCAGTAATTTTTGCGGAACAAATATACAGACAAACAAAAATCTTAAAAATTATTGTATTTGATTGCATTAGTCTTATTAAGTCCCCTCATATTATTGTAATATTTTTAAATATCTTCTATGCACAGATATAATCTAGTTACAATTTTATTATATTAAGAAGTAATTTTATAATTTACATTTGTAATGCTTTACATAAATTTGATTATTATATTTTTATTTAATAGGAAATTTAAATGTTACTGTATTTATGATTGAATGTACTTATAAAAACTTTATTTTTGTAATAAAAAATATTTATAACAGATCAGAGATCGACGAAATTTAAATAAATATTTACATAAATTATAAATAATTATATATATACACACATCGACATATATCGTCTCCAGTACACATATATATACCACTTACTCGTCAACACACTGACCGCGGTGATAAGCCTCGTAGTACAGAACGGGGAGCGGCGGAAACCCCGCAGCGATCTCTGGGAGGAGGATCACTCGTTCCCGATACGAACACCGGATGTGCTGTTCTCTACCAATCTAGAACGGGATGAGACTATCGATAATTTTGGTAAGTTATGAATTTTTTATCACTTTAATAACTTAATGTACTTATTTTTTTTTTAAAATACTTAGAATGGCAAACAAGATGACGGCCCACCTGATGGAAAGTGGTGAACCGTCGCCTATAGACATGAGCAGTACCATGGACATAACAGAGTATACTGTTTCGCCCATGATACCCCCCATGCTGTTCTCTGCCATTACTGAGGACTCAGGTGTTTTTCCTCTGTACCCAGTAAATTCACGCATATATAAGTATATATAGCATATAAGGAGTAATCTACTATGGGTTTGTTATCTATAAGAGAAAGAGAATAAATTACTATTTTATCTATATAAAAAAATAAAAAAATAGTCTTATATCTGCCACAGTGATCATTTATTGATATGAGCCAGAAATGAAAATGAATGTACAATTTTAAGGCAAAAATTTATTAGTTTTAAAATGTCAGTCTATAGTTACCAAACTTTTAATTTTTTAATAGGCTATATATACTTTGTGATCTTACAAAGTATAACCAAAATCACTGAAAAAGACCGGCTTTTTCAAGCAGAAAAGCCTGTAACACTGTCATCATTCCATGATCTTTTGAGCTACCAAAATGATGCTTGATTTGTACCCTTATATCTAACGGTACTAACAGGTTAAAATACAAAAAAAATATATCTTGCTGGACCGTTTCAAAATTATTTTGTGAACAAAATGTGCCTAAATATATCAGAATCGGAAAATTTACTAAAATTTGTTTACATAACAATATCCTGGTTCAGATGTTCTGGTTTATGCACTCGACCATTCGTTGTCTAGCTTTTTATAATTATATATTATGAGAAACTAGACTTTATAATATAAAAACTATATAACTATTATAATTATTGCAAATTTAATTATTTATATATGTATTTATTTATTCATATACAGCTAATCTACGAGGAAACGCTGCAGCGATACCTCGGACAAGTATGTTCTGTAGTTATAGTATATAATCTTTACACATAGCATGGGTCGTGTGATGCATCAATAGAATATTGCAATACGTAATGATACCCTACTACTATTAAAATGTTATGATAATCGGGTTTGTACAAAAAGAAATCAATGTTTAAGGTCGGTTTGTTAAGATTTATATTCTAATGTCATAATGACCAACCTACTATGTGTTGAGATTATTAGTAGTGATTTTAGAACGCACCACTAATACATGTTGCACTTTGTTTACTTTTAATTTACTGTATATATTTACTGTATACATATTTCATATATATATGATTAGTCTACATTATTTATTTATCAACGAACTTAAAAAAGTAGTAGAGGTTCTTAATTCGGTTTTTTTCTTTTTAATGTTTGTTAATTCTTAACTCTGTCATTTGCAAACTGATTTGAAAAATTATTTTTTTATTGTTAAATCAAAATATTTATTTTATAATAAAGGAAAGTTTTTTTTTAAATCAAAATTTATATTTGTAATATACATGAATTCACTTTTTTTTTTCGTGTATATTTCATCTATTATTTATATTTTTTCATGTAATATACGTACAAGTTGATTTTTATATAAGAAAATCATTTTTTATTTTTAAATTTTTGAAAATAAAACATATAGCAGTTTTTAAATCAGTCAGTTTCAATCACACAACAGTGACAACCGCATCCAATTAAGTTTTTTAAATAGAACTTTTTTTTTAAATAGTGTATGAAAATAAAACATATACCAGTTTTTAAGTCAGTCAGTCGCTTTTCAAGAACATTACAGTGACAACCGCATCCAATATATGTTAGTCTTGTAGTTTTTGCATAACACCAGAACTTACAAAGAGACAGACAAAATTTAATAAAAAAAAAAATATTATTTTGACTTCTATCGCTTGTATTAAGTTCCTTCATATCAATTTGAATTTCTCCCATGTAAAGATATCGTCCAGTTACAATATTATTTTATTATTAAGATCTTTCACGTATATAATTAATTTACACTGTTTATTTATTATACATACATACATATATTTTCTAACTGTTTATATTTTGCCTATATTAATAAATGCCATGACATTTTATTCACTCATTATTTCCGATATTTATTTTAAATCACTATGTTTAATTAGATATATGTAATTTTGTGTGTGAATGTATTATTTATTTTTAACTAAATATGCTTTCCATCAATCAATCATTTATTTGCTAATACAGTTTTATATATAATTATATTTAGGTATTTAGTTAAAATACTTAATATAAAATAATTGCCTTGCATAACGTTTTCCAATTTAATTATTCTCGTAATGTTTATATATATGTTTGAAAGAGACAAAAATCGATTTTCATGTTCGTTCGTCTCAGCTTATTTTCAAATAATACGCTTGATCAGTAAAATATTTAAAAAAATTCGTAAATCGATAATAGTCTTTAATATACCAAAGAAAACATTGATTTTATTTGATAATAACAAATATATATTGTGATACAACAGTAACAGCTGATTATCCGGCCCGGGAAGCGGAGAAGCCAGCCCCTCCTCCGCAGCGGCCCCCGCCCCCGCGCCCCGCCGCTCCCGCCGCTCCCCAGCCAGCACCCGAAGTCGTCCCTCCTGTTTCCGACGCTGATTTCCTTAACCTGAGTTCCAGTCAAGTTCCCCAACCTGAGACGCAGAAACCACAAAAGAAGTTGACCAGTGACGATTCCTTCGACTTCTTCGGTATGATGGAGAAACAGACTGATGAAACCTTCGGAGACTTCTTAAGCAGCAGACCGGCCGCTGATAACCCACAGGTTTTTTTTTCCAATATGATTCGAATTTGAAACTTGATTCTCTAAACAATAGGAACGCATGCGCTAAAGTTTCGTTCTTCCTCAAGCGTGTCAAATATTTTATAACACTAAGTATCTATGAATAACCTAATGGAAAGTTTTCTTAAATATTCTGTCAAATTGTTATTAGTTTATATAAAATTTATGGGGTATATAAAAAATTTAATTACTCCAAAAACAGCTTTAAATTACGTGAAATAACAATTTAATATTAATGTACTTATAAATCTATACTAATATAATAAAGCAGAAAAGTTTGTTTAAACGTCATAATTATTGGATGTGTCAGTTTTATTAAAAAAAAATTGTATTTGATTGCTCATTTTTGTAAGAAGGTATCGGCAATGGGCGTAGCCTAGGAATACAGCTAGTAAAGAGCACCTCTATGTTAATTGAGAAATCAATTGACATAGAGGTTCTCGCTTTCCATGACTCGTCTGACTCGTCTTATATTATGTCTGTTGCAGCCATTCTCATCTCAGAGTATATTCGGCGACTTGCCAGCACCGCCGGAGACGACTGACAAGCCCGCTGCGAACTCCTGCGATCCGCTCAATTTCGATCCTTTCGGCCTCAATGATCCTCTTCCCAAACAAGAGCCGCTGTTAACTCCACAACAAATACAAGAAGATGGTAAGCGTTTTAAACTTTTTTTTATTACAATTATGTATTTATAACATCAATCAGGATCGATGGTTACGAGAAATAAAATGTGTAACATTTTTCAATTTTAACATCAGTAATAGAATATAAAATTTATAAAAAAAAAATATAAATATTTAAAAATTAATCTATAAATATATATATATATAAATTAATAAATATTGTGGAATGGAAATAGTACTAAGTTTTTTTTTTTATATAATTATTAAAAACTAATTATAATAGTTTTTAATTTTAATTCATTTTAAGACTATGTTATACGTGTATTCTGTAAGAGAAGAAAAAATAATGCCATTATTGGAATAATATAGTATAATTTCTGTTGTAATTATATAATATATTCAAGTCAATTATTTTAATTATGATTTTATTTAATTCGACTAGATGATAATATTACGATTTGTCACTGAAAAGCATTAACAATATATTGGTTAATGCGCACGGTGTATTGTTCGCAAAGGGCGATCGCAGAGCGTTCCACCTGAGCGGCAGACGAAGAAGGATCCGTTCGCGGAGCTGGGCGTGCTGGGCGCCGCCAGCGCCGCCGCCTCGCGCGCCGCCTCGCCGCGCGCCTCGCCCGCGCACACGCCCGCGCACGCGCCGCCCGCCACCCCCGCGCGCTCGCCAGCACACCAACCGGATTACAGGTGCACACGCTCTACTAGGCACACGCGGAGAGGGATTGTTAGTAACACGGTCTAACTCACCCATTGCTAGCGGGGGGAAAGGGGTTGTTAATTATGGAGTCTGACTGCCTAATTGCTAGCAATATACCCTATCAGGTATATACCCAACCAGGTCGACCTCCTCGCGGTTCCCCCCGGAAACTATTATGGTTAATTCCTGATGAATTCATCATGATGGGCGAACTGGCCTGTTTTCATTCTCGTCTATCACCCTTCACTGGTGCTCCGCCAGCGTATTCTGTCAGCGCAGGCGGGGTTACCATACCATTTTCAACTATCAAAAAAAAACCCTATCAGGTCGACCTCCAAGCGGTTCCCCCGAGAAACCATCATGGTTAATTATTGATAAATTCGTCATGATAGGGTAACTGATCTGCTTCATACTCATTGGTGCCCCGCCAGTGTATACCAATAGCACAGGCGAGGTTACCATTTCATTGTCATCCATTAAGGACCCGTTTCTAACAATTCACCTTATCAGGTCGTTCTGGAAAGCATCGTGGTTAGGTGAAATTCGTCATTATCACCTCTTTTCATCTTCGAATCATCTTTCAGTGGTATGCCAACATATATTGATATTATATAGATTAACCATGTCATCATCACCCATTAAAAAACTGTACTAGGCACGGACCTTAAAGCTCAACTTTTTCATACAATTTTGCATGATAAATAGTTGAATGATTCCTTTATAACTTCTATATTTGTTTTGTCTTATAAATTCTGCATCTTTTTTATGCGTAAACACTCATTTTATTTATTAAATAATATGTCAAGATACATTTTATTTGTAAATATAATACTGATAAAAAAAAAATGAATTAGCTAAATTGATAAATATCTGACAAAAAAATTACTCGTTTTTAAGGCTCAATGATCTATTTATATAATCCAAGACATAACCATTATTGTTGTATTAACCGTTAACTAGCCACTGCTGAACATAGCCCCATAAGGGGCCATGTTCAGCATGAAATTTGCCTGTATTTGTCGGGTTGGCAACCGCAGTGGTAGTTAGTCATTTGGTAATGTTTTAAGAGGGACACTGCTTCTCATCCCTCCACTACAAGCTCCTCTAATCGCCTCTTACGATAACCACGGGAAGGAAGGAATTCTATGCCGGGACCTTCACGACAGTGTATATTATTGCTATATTTAATTCATTATCATTCAGTGAAATTATTATTTTTATTTACTATGGTACCACCAGTGGCAAATCATAAAAAAATATTTTTGTGCGCAATAATATGATGTCGCACTGGCTATTGTTATTATCGTACACTGTTTGTTATTGAAAGTGAATTATGATTTTATGATAAGAATGAGCGAATAGACACTTTAACGCTGTGTGATAAGATCTCTATTTGTTCGTTCTGTATGGCCTAGTGGGCCGTATGATACGATTTCACTCTGCTAACCGAGCGCAGCCGACAACTCCTAAATATTAATGATTTTGATTTCGTCCTATACAGCCACCATACAGTATATTTGTTTGATTCACAGTCGGACTCATTTTGAAACTGCAAAAACACCGGCCGATGAGAAACCGAAGAAGTCTGGAGACGTATTCGGTGACCTTCTTGGCAGCCAGGGCTACGACTTCGCAACTAAACGAGACACCGGGCCCAAGACCATGAACGCAATGCGCAAAGAAGAAATGGTCAAGGAAATGGACCCAGAAAAATTAAAGATACATGAATGGGTTAGTAGTACTTAATGTTATTACATAGTACATGTTTGTTTTATTGTGAATTTAAGAGATGTTTTAAATTTTACGTTATTATATTATTTCCGATGCAAACGTATATAATCTGTTTTTCTATACTTGACGCAGTGAATTTACAGGACAAAAAACATCTTAAAATTCCTATTATTGATAGGAATTAGCAAAACTGTAAAAAAGGCGAGCACAAAAATCATGGAAAGTTCGCAGTGTTACAGGTTTTTTTTTGCCTGAAAAAGCCCCTCTTTCAATAATAATAATGTGCGACTATTGATAATCATATAATACAAAAACTTTGTTTTTTTTTCTAATTACATACTGATAGAAATTAATTTTTAAATTACAGACGGAGGGCAAGAAAGCAAATATTCGAGCGCTATTGTGCTCGTTACATTCAGTAGTGTGGGAGGACTGCCGCTGGGCACGCTGCGATATGTCGCAGCTCGTTTCCGCCGCCGACGTCAAGCGGAGCTACCGACGCGCCTGTCTCGCCGTTCACCCAGACAAGGTAGGTGTCTATCTACTGTATTGTTTCTGCAGGTGTTCTCTTACTATAACCTTGTCTATTTCACCGTTGATTCCGACAACACACCATGTCACGACTGGTGTGTCTATTTTGCCGACTACGCCGACGAGGTACTCAGTTGCACTACCATCGTACCTATTATACCGTTTACCTCGACGAGGTGTCTGATACACACACTACCACAGAGTCTACCCTCGTTTCCTCATCTACCTCAACGAGATATACCGCTTACACTATCGCTGCGTCTATTTCAACATCTATCCTGATCTCATCTTGACAAGGGGACCTCTATTAACTACTTAATTACTACTAGTAATGTAATGGTAGTAATACCATTACTACTGTTTTCCTGTGTTCTCGCTTCTCATCTTCCTTCTTTATTCTTTCTTTCGTATATGTACTATTAAGTATGCTTTATGTATCTGTATAATAGTGTGCCACGTGTTCTTTGTATTTTTTCTCTACCCAAAGATTGAAGTAATTGCTTAGCGATAAGGCTGCCTTTTGAATCACTTCACATTAAAACTTTGCATATTAATTTTATAAAAAGCGCAATAAAGAGTAAAAGAAAAGAGTAAAATAAAGAGAAAATTTTGAAGTATATAATTAAATATATATATAAATTAACACAATAAATAGTAATGGTACAAGTACAGTCTTTCCATGTGACACCACTATAACTATGGTTAAAACAATTGTCATTGACGATAAAATACCTCCTCTACATTTGCAGCAAATGGGCACTCCTAACGAGAATTTGGCCAAGATGATATTCATGGAGTTGAACAACGCATGGAGCGACTTCGAAAATGACGCCAAACAACAAAACTTATTCCAGTCCTAATGTAATTATAAACACGTTGTTATCCTTGTTAATAAATACAGTTATTATTATAAATTCTGTCACGATCTTATCCTTGCTGACAGTATAATCATAATGAATACATACGCATATAATGTAATGATAAATTAATAAATAATCTAATAAGTGTACCAGTTATCGATTAATGTCGTCTTGTAATTTATTTTATTGATTAAAATTTTAAGTCCACGTAATGAAGCAACATAGATTTCTGTTTTATTTAAAAATTTGAATGTTCCTTAGTAAATATATATTGACCTTAATTATGCGAATGGCACCCGCAAATTTATTTTGACATTTGTATATTTTTTCAATTTCTTTAACGGATGATCCAAAGTTTGTTGATAGTGCTATCGATGGAATTTGTAATTATTTTAGAGTAAAAAAAAGTACAAGTGTTCACTCTCTATAAAGAAGAATCATTAACTGAAATTACTATCATGGGGTTTCGGTGTATAATAAATCGGGTATGTAAAAGCATTGTGAAAGGCGAATATGTAAATTTAATATTTTAGTATTTATTTATTTAAGCATATAGCCAGTATTGGCAATGAGAAGATCGTGACCAACTGTTTCAATACAACTTAATGAAAATGTAAATAAAAGAACAATTGACTCGGCCTTAAGATGGTATGCTGATGTCCAATAGTAGTATAAATAGAAAATCAATTGATCGAGTATTTAATTTCATTCAAACAGTGTTTTGTCGTATGCTCCCGAAACTAATCGATCTTTTTCGACCAAATTACACATAAGTTAGACCGGTAGTTATTGCATTAAAATAAAATTAATGTATAAATTTTTAACAATGAAACATAGTTATCTTTTCATTAAGTTATATTGAGATATAATTATTATAGTTACTACTCGATACGATTCGATACTAATTCAAATTCTCAATCATGTATAATATAACTTAACAAATATAAACCTAACATAGATTTAGGTTAAGATAAACACAGAAAACAATAGGCAAATGTCAACGAAATAAAACGAAATTTAAATATAAAATGAAACAGTGTTTAATATCAAAAATATCTAATCGTATTGAGGCACATTTGTACTTGTTGTCATCATAACTGTAGTTTGACTGAGCAACTTAACTTAGAAATTTCATAACTTTTCTTGATATGTAAATTATTAGAATGTTTAAGGCAGTGGGCATTTATTATTACAATAGTAAAATTATGCTATGGCTTATGGAGAAAAAGCTTCTTTCAGCGATTATATTTAATTGTTACATACGAAATATGTTAAAGTGCACAATACACTAGCAAGAATATATTAATCTGCTTGTAAGTTATTATTGTTTTTAATTTTGACTTGACAGTAATAAACATGTAGCGTCATTGTATTACAGATATTTGGCTATAGTTATTTATCTCAACATTGTTTTAATTACGTACAAGGGGACTATTTCGTTTAGGGCTTAGTCAATTGTAATGCCTTTAAAAAAATGTAGACTAATATATTGGAAAAATAGGATAAAATTAATTTACAAATTATTAGTGAAAGTCAAGTAAATCATTGCATAAATTGTAAACTTAATATTACCAAATAAAATCGTGAAATATTTATTGATAATACTGAAGCTATTACCTTATTTCTCAGAAATATCTACGCGTGAAGGGAATCACGGGCGACACAGTATACTCTGTTATATCCATGGTACTCGGCGTGTCTGTAACCGACGGTTAACGGCCACTTTCCATCAGTCGGGCCGTCAGCTTGTTTGCCTTTCTAAGTTGCATAAAAAAACTAATATCAATGAAAGTAACATTGATGCGAATTAATATATATCATATATCGGTTTCACAAATATTTCGATGGATTAATCGGCTTAGACCTTTTAAAACATACTGGCTTCTCACTGCCCTGTCGTATTCCCTTTTATCAATTTTCTTTGTAAAGTATGTCTTCATTCTTTCTGGGAATTTGTGTGTGGGAACAGCTATTGTGCAATATGTATTGGTATGTTGTAGTATGGTTTGGAAGGAGTTTGCACCCGTAACATGCGTCACTATTTTTATTGTGTTGAATCTTCTATTTTGTGACAGTAAACAAAGCTAATTTATAAGAATAAAAATATTAAATTCGAACGTGCTTAGATTTTGCTTTATTTATATATAATATACATTGACTGGGCCCGTGCTGGTAAAAGATACTTCAAACATTAGAAATAACTCCTTTTTTAAATGTAATCATCATACCTTCAGTAAATAGTACTTATATTCGGGAGAAAACATACTGAGCTTACTACAGATTCCTTCTAATATAAAATTTCGTAGCTGTTACTACGTTTCGATTATAAATTGAACAATATAAACATATTCGTGATTGGACATTTCTGAATTTGCGAGTGGTGCACAATAATGATTAAGTCTCATAATCGTTTATTATATAGTTAACGTTTGGTGACTAGAATTAAATTCTTTCATGTTGAGCTTCTATAGCTTATATATATATTTTACCTATTATTCTATATATTATAAATATTTATTATATATAAAATAATTTCGCAAAAAATATACGTACCGGCAATTTTCAATGATACTCGAATTTAATAAAGAAATAATATAGATTTTACGAATAATAAATCATAACTGTATAAATATTGATCCGGTTTTCTGTGCTTATATATTGTTACGTTTATCCCATTACTGTAGCAATATTCAGTTAAGCGAATCAAATTTTTGTGTGGTACTCCCGACCAAGTATGCGAGACTCGAGCCGCAAGGTGCAGATAGTATAACAAGAAAAAAGCGATCTGTGTTCAATGTCAACTCTCCTCGTGCATAATATTCGTCCTGCTGGAGCGCCGCGCATGAAATAAACATGCTATAGTGGATATTACGTTGCATTATGGGCATCTATAATAGTTCCGGAAACTCAATAGTCAGTGAATAATATTTCGCTTTTGTATATAGATATTTATAGTAGGTATACACTTCTTTGCAAGAAAAGGGCACTTTTACAGTAAGCCGACCAATGTTATTTTAAAAATACTTGGATTTCTTTAATTAAAAAAATATTGTAGGTACTTATTTTGCAAAGAAGTTTGTAATGGAAGTAATATTATAGGTAAAATAATGCGATAGAGGAAATGTAATTATTGTTATAGATCATCGATCCGATTCTGAAAGTCAGTCTCTAAATTTATTTAAAAAAATATTTAATTTGATACATCTTATCTTTAATTCTTTATAAATAAATTTACATTTCAGAATTGGTACCTTTATACATTTATTTTTATCCTGTTATTTCATACAACAAGATGGTCCTAATTAATTAACTAATTTTATTACGCTTGGGATTGTTTTGTATAAAAATAGGTTTTGTCACTATTCGGTATATTAAAAAGGATAATACACTCCGCCTGTAATAAATGGCGTGACGATGCAGTTTACGTATTCTTAATTTAGGTAATTTAGCAATTTATTATGAGTTTATAAATATCAACTTCGCTTTGTATAAACGTATAAATAATATAGAATAGAACAAAAATACACATTATGACATACTAGTCACCCAAGACATGGTTTTAATGTGTACTAAGAAATACAATTATTATTTTTCCTATCGAAGTTGCATACAACAGATAAGCTTTGTCACGAAGTAGTAATAGTAGATCATTTGTGTAGCGATCAAGTTTGGTGTTTGGGTAATATGATTTCATATTAGATTATATAGGCAGAGCATCGAGCCTCAGAAACAGGTCTTTTTGTTAGCTAATTGTCAAATTAGTCGACTCTTTTTTTTTTTTCATTAATGAACTTGCACACAAAATGTATCTTGACGAATCTATATTTAATTATTTAATAAGTACAATGAGTTTTTACGCATTAAAAAGGTGCATAATTTATAAGACAAAATAAATATAGATGTTATAAAGGAATCACTCATAACTATTTATCACGCAAAATTGTATGAAAATACAATATTGCGTGATAAATAATGTTTTTTGTTTAGTTGACCCGCTTTTCTGGAAGCAATTTTATGGAGACACTCTATTTATATAATTTGAGTATTTTATATATTATCAATTTATGTTTATTTAGAATTCAGCTTGAAAATATATAGATATTCACATAGTATTTGTTGTATAGTTTCCATTGGCAGTGATTGTATGTTATGAAGATTTGTTAGGGCTTATAAATAGTAAATATTTAAGTTTGTACATTCCTAATTTAATTAGATGTTAATTCATGTTTTTACTTAATTTGTATGGTAAACTTTAGCAGTTATAAAAATATGCAATACGACATAAAAGTTAACTAGTGTATTTTTTTATGCAATTATTCCAGATTTTTTTTTTACATAGCACAAGGATGTTGTACCTAATTGTTTATCTAATAATTCAGTGTTAAAAAAAAATCACTTTAATATTAATTATGATCGGAAGTACTTAAATTCGTTAATTCACTAATGTGTATATTTTGCTTAGATGAAAAATGTCCGTAAAATATATAAAAAAATAAATAAATAAATAAATTGATGAGAATTAGTAATATTGTTTTAATGGTTCATATCCCTTAAACACTTAAAGTTTCTTGTTAGGATTACAGCAACAATGGCTTGGACAGACGACACACTAAGTCCGCAGAAGCAGACTCGTGTGGTATGCAAAGAAAATCTATTCTAATTTGACGAACAAAAAAGTATACCGATGTTTAGTGCACAGACTAGGTCCTAAAATTACTTTGTAGTTTTTTTTTTTTTTTATAAAAATAGTATAGTTATTAGGATCTCAAGCTTGGGCAAACCACAGATATAGAATGAGACAGACGACGTAAATGTTTCATTTTATATGAAAACTAATGCATGTTTTTAGTTACCGTAATATATTTCCCTACTTTCCACCATATGTCCTGTTAACTATACATCATCAACTTTCAACTGTCCTCTACTGAACATAAGTCTCACCCTAGGGGGGTATTGCCATTGCATTTAGGCTTTAGAGATGTTTTAAGAGCGACGCTGTTGTCCATCCCTCACCCTCCTTTAGTCGCCTCTTACGACATTCACGAAAAAGGAAGGGGTGGCCTATTCTATGCCGGAACCATACGGCCATTATTTTAATGTAGTAAATAAATATAAATAGTTTTATATTTATTTATACCAAAACAATAATGTGTACAGGTTTATTTAGGGTGTAAAAATTAAAGACTGTACATAGCTTATAAATTTGGTAAGCACACATTATATTTTAATTTATCAACTCATACATACCAAAGGGTACTATATATAAAAACAGTGCTTTTTCAATCTAATTAAGAGTAACTTAAACCGGTAGATATTAAATTAAAATATATATGTTTATCAGTTCTCTTCTATTTTGACATCTAAACATCCGTAACGTTCTAGTAGTTCCTGTTTCTTTCGCCTAAGTAAAGCTTCCTCGATGTCCTTTTGCGATGGTACCGCGACGTGTGACGTGGCTTTACTTGGTTCCTCTTCAACATCATCATCATCATCATCTATTCTCTTATCATCGGGCTGTAAAAAATATGGTGTTTTATAACTTTCAAAAATATTTAAAAATTTCAGGCTTTTTAAATTGGTTAACAATTGGGAAAGGTATCGGGTAAGACAGCAATATATACATAAAACTATCAAAATTAATCTAATCAAATGTAACCAAGTATCTCCATTTTTTAGTTAGTGTAAATGTATAATGAAAACATGTCTGTAAAGGTTTTGGTGAAAATCAAATCGTAAGATATATAAAAACCTCTTACGATGACGTTACGACGTTCATTTATGCTAATATCTGAAACTGTTAAACTGACTTTAATGAAATTTTGCTAATGTATATATAATCTTTATGCAGATGATGATCACGTGACTAAAAAGGTGATAACAATGGAAGAAGAAAAGAGATGCTGTGCTCGACCACCTGATTGCAAACAATAAAGAACGACATGAAATGTGCAAATGTGAGCGAACAGACAACCCATAACCGTATGGTGTGGTGCAGGACTACTAGGACAGATCTCAAATAAACTGGGATAACAGCCAGGACAGATGAAAAAGAAGAAGCTCTAAGCTTTAACTTGAAAGATAGAATTACTTTTTATCTCAACAAGAAAAAAATGAAGCCTTATATATATATTACTAGTCAGAATTTAAAATAGTGACTAGTTACATAAACTTACATCTTCTGGATAAATATTTTCCTCTTCAGGTAAGTCTTGTTCTTTATTTTGTTCCCTATTTATTTTCCATTCTTCAACAGCCTTGGCTATCGCTGAAATTAGAAATATTATATGTATTAGCTTTTTTTTTTATGTGCTACAGGTATATAAAATATCTATAGACAATAATCATCATCATCATTTCAGCCATTATATCTCCACTGATGGACATAGGCCTCCCCCATAGACAACCATAAGGAACGGTCCTCAGCCACCTACATCCACTGACTCCCTGTAATGCATTTGAGGTCGTCACATCATGTAGAGGAGAAGTCGTCCTACACTACGTTTGCCCGTACGGGATCGCCACTCAAGAATCTATCTTTAGGGCTATGTCTGTTACTTTGGTTCTTTTGCGGATATTCTCGTTTTGGATTCTATCTCGCAAAGAGACTCCGAGCATAGTCCTCTCCATAGCCCGCTGAGTAATTTGAAGCTTTTACACACGGGCAATCGTGTAGGATCATGTTTCGGTTCCATAAGTCATCACTAGCAACTCGCACTGATTAAAGACCTTTGTCTTCAAACTCTGAGGTATTTTGGATGAAAAGATGTGACGTAGTTTTCCGAACGCTGCCCAGCCGAGTTGGATTCTTGGTCGAGGTCTTTGGTCGACCTTTTGGTCGAAGTTAGAGTTACCTATTGGGACAATTTATTCCTGGTATACATACTCGTCGACAACTTCAAACGTAGTGTTCTCTATCGTAACCAGTATAGGTGTGACATGGACGTTAGACATTATTTTAGTCTTGTCCATGTTCATCTTAAGACCTACTTGTTGTGAAACACCATTGAGGCAATTGAGCATACTATTCAGATCCTCCAGGGATTCCGTCATGATAACTACGTCATAAGCAAATCGAAGGTAAATGACGTATTCGCCTTTGATGTTCTTTTTCAGTCCAAGAGCTCGTAAACATCTTCCAATACAGCTGTGAAGAGTTTCGGGGATATGACATCACCTTGTCTCATACTTTTCTGCACTGGCATGGATTTCGTACTCTGATTCTGTACTTGGATAGACATCGTAGCCTTACTGTACATACACTTCAACACTTCGATATACCTATATAGTCAATCTGGCATAGTTGGAAGGACTTTAGTACCGCCCATGTCACGACCGAATTAAAGGCTTTCTCATAGTCCACAAACGCCAGACATAATGGCAGATTATACTCTTCGGTCTTCTGTATAATCTGCAGTAATGTATGTATGTGGTCTATGGTGCTAAAACCTTTTCGGAAGCCAGCTTGTTCGGGTGGCTGGAAGTCGTCAAGTTTGCGCGTAAGACGATTGGTCAGGACTCTCGAAAACTGTACGTAGACGCGATAGACAATAGGCATCTAAAACATGCACGCTTACATGATATAAAACAGCTAGCAAAGCTGATTCTATACTTTCAATATTTTCGTACTATTCACTAATATTACCTTTTTTCTCAGCTTCTTGTTCTAATGGTAACAACAGACCATCATCATCGTCCCTGTATCCGTAATAGTCTGCATCCACATCTCTCATGAGGTCAGCCCTTGTGCGTCTCGGCGGTGGCGGTGGCTCTTGCTCAAACAGTTCTCTCACACCTGATAAAAATATCTCGTCATTATAGAAGTTTAAGGGGCAGACAGAAGCGGTATATTTTCTAGGCAAACTAGGCACGTACCTAGGGGTGCATTGTAACAAAGGGCGCAAACGTGAAATTTTTTAACAAAAAAAATAAAAAACCTAACTTATATACCTAAACATATTTACACAATTTACCCAAACATTGACATAGCCTTAATAATATGTATAGACGGCCGTTAATAATTGCAGTGGTGAGCGGAGTTTTACCTATATAAAGAGAATGAAAAATTATCTTCGCTTCACAACGACAGATGTTAACTACTATTAATGCTAATTTGATAATTTATATAAATTAATATTTATTAAGTATATGCCCCGCTAGAGGGGTGCCAATGAGGTGTTTACCTAGGGCACTCTCGACATTTAATCCATTTCTAGGGACAGACACATTTTAATTGTTAATCATTACTAAAACTATTTTTTTTTTCAATATTTTAATATTTTTAATATTTATTGTCCCACTAAAGGGATGCTGATGAGTGTATCCGTCCATCTTTGGGGACAGATACATTTTAATTTTAAATCATTGCTAAATTGATATTCTATTTTAATATTTTAAAGGTAATATGTATATAGATAATTTTCAGCGTAGATTATGCCTTGTGGTCCTTCGAACCGGATAGTTACTCATACAAGTATTAAATTCCTTAATTACATAGTACTAATTACATATTAAAAAATCTAACCTGGTAAATCTTTAGCTGCTCCAAAGTATTTGTATCCTCTGTTTCCAGGGACTTCTTTTCCGTCTTGATCTAGCATCTTTGGACCGACTCGAGCATGATCTGGTCCGCCGAGAGCTTTAATCTGCACTTCCCAATGTCGCTTTTCTCGCATTAGTTTGTTGATCTCATCATTCAAGTCACGAATGCGAAATTCACCAAGACCAGCTGTATATAAATAAAAATATTAAATAAAAAAATTATAAGCGTCGTATTAGGTATGTACTACTTGTAATTTATAATTACCTTCACTTTCCATGGGTATCTCTGTTGGATAACATGGGCAATTTGTTTTAAATCATACTATTTTGATTAGAATAGAATATGGCAGTGAAATTATAAGGTACCTCAAAATCCATATCAGAAAGGGTAGAAAACGTACAAAAAATATCTCTACAGCGTTACATACGTTTAGTTTACATTACGTTACTTGATGTTAGGTTTCACATTAGCCGCGAACCGTCAACCGTTGAATATAGGCTTCCCCCATATGTGGGGGTTTGCCAGCAGTTGCCATGCTTGACAGGATGTTGACCACCGCAGTTAGACCTTTGGATGATGTTTTAAAAAAGACGCTATTGCCTTGTGCTGAAGTTAAGTTTATAAAGTTCTTAAGAATTGCATATAACTTTATAATACCTATTGCAAATAACATTGTTAGCTTTAAATAATCGTCCCTTTATTTTATTTAATAATAACTGAATAACTATTTTTTATTTCAATCTTGTTACATAATTTGCTGATTTAGTTAAAACATTTTATTATGTATTGTAACTATGAATTAAAAATAGTAATGTGACATAATTATACAGATCGATTTTTGTTTTACTTAGCAATTTCTAAAATAAAAACTATTCTGTAAAATTTTATCCATTTCATGTTACAAAAAATAAATTTTAAAGAGACTAATGAAATTCGAAGGAAAATATAACGTGATATTAAAAATATACTCGATATTAGAACTGAACAACTGAGTTCTAGTTCTTCTTAGATTTCCCTGCCTTCTTTTTGTGTTTGATTTTATCCTTTATTTTCTTCTTTTTTGTTTTTGGTTTTTTCTTTGCAATATCACTAGAACTACATTGTTGTGAAATATGATTATTTTCTATAGGCTTTGCTGATGGGTCTTTTGGTGTAACAAGTTCTATTTCTAGATCAGTCTTTTTATCCTGTGTTTCTAACTTCTTGCCAATTTTTAAAATGAAAACATCTTTTTGGGGATGTATTATTTTCTCCATTTCAACGGGGACTGCACAATTCGTAGGTGTAACATTTATAATCTTATTATCTTTGTTTCCACAAGTCTTGTCGCAACTCCTATATGAATATTTCAGATTGGAAGAATATGTGTTATGTGTTTTGTCACGACTGCAAAGGTCACGTGGTAATTCAAATTGTATTTGTTCACCAGTATTGTATGGTGTACTTTCACATGAGCATAACTCTTGTATTTTATCATACTTGCCCATTCTTTCTATTCTATTACTTTTAGGTACTCTAATTTTCAATTCATTTGCATTTACTTTTGTGAAAATTTCGTCATATTTTCTTGATGGTCCCTCTAAAAATGTACAAAACAATGATAACTTTATATAGCAGCTCTTAAAATTAAGAGAGCATTTATATTTACGTTTCCAATAAACCGTATATATGTACAAGGTGTAACAAAAACAGTAGGTATCATAATATTTAAATTATTTTAACACTATTCATAAAATTGAATTACTTTCATCTTTGTAATCGAGTGAACTTGTAGTATTTTTATAGAATACAAAATTGAATGACTATCAAGATTGACAACTATGCTGATATACCTACGGTTTTATATATAAAACTTAAATTATTAAATGATACCTGGACAATTAGTATATATACAAGGAGGATCCATATAGCGTTTTGAAGATATACTGGACATCTGAGAGATTGGGCTTTCACTTCTTTTAGTTGGTGGATGAGGAGGTTTTTTTCTATTTAGAACTTCTTCGTCCAATATTATTTTGCCATGATCATCCATTTCCACCTTATGACAAGAGTACATTGTCATGCCTTTACCTTCTTTTAGCAGAAAAGAAGCGTCCTGTGGTTTTGGAGAAACGCAAAATGCGGTAGTAATTTCTTTGCCGAGAAATGACATTCGGATTGTCACTTCAATAACACCTATACATTCTAAATTATCTTCATTACCGCAAGATAAATAATATAAATTGTTTGACAATGGTGTAGATGTGGTACATAATATGTTGTCATTTGGCTGTTCTTGTATCCATTTCTTGCATAATTCTTCCCGAAGTGTAATAAATTCAGCTGTAAAGTCCATATGTGTTTCTCCTATTTTAGTTACGCAACTTGAACACGGCGGTTGTTTCGTTAATTGTAAGACTATTTCAAACTCTCTTATACTACATATCTTGTCATAAGTTATTGCGAATAAAGTAGACTTTCCTACATTCATTTTGTTGAAATTGTCTATTTTTCCATATGACGCATCATATAATATTATTGGTTGTTTGCCAAGAAAGCTTGCTGCAATCACGAGATTGTTGTAATCTATTTCGAAACAATCGCATTTCATTTGAATTTTGTTTACAATTATCTCAATTAAGAATAAATGATATGGAAAATTTACATCTTCCTCTTTCGTCACACATAAATCCTGTTTGGTCTTAGCAATGTCTTCTGACAAACTCTTTATTGACTCTCTTAAAGCATTAGCTTCTTTTGTAAGAATTTCTCCCATAACAGCAATTTTATCGACGTTAGTGCCTAATACAGGTGACAAAGGTGGATCAATATTATTAGAAAGTGATTTTACTGATTCTTTGAATTCTTTCAAATGATCACTAATTAATTTTCCTTGCGGTTCAAGATTTGTAACTATATCTCTAATGATATCTCCAGTATTCTCAGTTTTACGATTCACGCTACCTGGACTTGTCTGATATGATTCTAAAGACTGTTTAATACTTTTGTCACTTTTCAATGATATTTTATCGGGAGTTGAAATTTTCGGACTAATTAAAGGTAGTACCTGTGGCGCTGATAAAGACGGTGCGTTGGGCTTTTCATTTTTAACAAATAATGAATCTTGAGCTTGAAGCGTAGTTTCATTTTGAGTATGAATACTTGGTTCTTTTTGGGTTTGCAAAATGGGCACTTTTATTTCACTTCTGACTGAAGAGGATTTCATTATCTTAATATTCGTTTGTAACTTTAAAAACTGTGATTTAACTTACATTTTATCAGAAGTAATGTACAATAACAAATTGATACATGGCCAAATAGATTAAAATGAAAGTGTTTTAAATTAGGTAAAATGTCATATTTACATATAAAATTTAAAAGCATACCAAAGATAGAACAAGATATAATGCACGGAATGTAATGGTGGCGAATTTAAATTAAAATAAGATTTACCTAATAATTTCATATATCTATTAATTCTTTTTTTTTTTTTTTACAAAATTCCTTAAATACTAATAACAATTAAAAGTAATCTCCCAACGCACCACACCGAGGCAGCGTACCCAAGATACTGGCAGCATTACCTCTTTGGATTGCCAAACTTATCTTTTGGGCAAAGTAGCTACCAGCTCTTGGGTCACCAGTAACCTCGATGAGGCGCGCTGCGATCGTCCGATATTAATTATTAATACTACTTATTTCTAATTTTTTTACGATGGACATTAAGAATAGTTTATTAAACAAGAATGCCTAATATTTCATCCTAATAGTATTTGCAGAATGATATTTATAAGATACCATATAAAAACCATAATTAAATTTTCATTACAAAAAAGGAAGAATTTCTCAATTAATTTGATTTGTTTTATGTTACCGATTTTGATAATTCTTTTAGTTTACTCTTCTAGTAGTTTAATGAACTAAAAATTTAAATTATTCACTATAATAAATTATTATGTACCATTTTGTATCTGGGCAACTTTTTTGGCAATTTCTCTAACAATCTGCAGCCGCCACTTTTCAGCTTGCTGTAGATCATTACACTCTGATGCAAGATATGGTCGTCGTTCTCGCTGTCCACCTGCTTCCTGGACTTGTGCTGCTCGCCACCGAGCAAGAGTGGTCCTGAAAAAAATTATAGTTTATAATATGGGAAACTCACAATCATTGACAACCTCAGCAATGTAATGATAGGTTAGATGCTTATCCCATATCAGATCCTGAGTATTATCTATAGGGCAATTTATTAAATAAATTATTCAAAATTGGCTTACTATGAGTGTTCTATTAATTAAACTACAGTATAACTATACAATGTGCATTTTGAAATAAAATATTTATTATGATAATTTCTGTGAAAAGTATTTTTTTTTATGCAACTTAGAATGGCAAACAAGCTGACGGCGCACCTGATGGAAAGTGCTAACCGTCACCTATAGACATGAGCAGTACCATGGATATAATATACTGTTTCGCCCATGATACTCTTCATCTCTTGCACAAAAAAATAAAAAAACGTAGATGACAAATGGTTGAAACTATAATAATGACAGAAATTGGGGTATTGTTATAATTATATTTAGATTAAGTTTGACCATTCTTTATAAGTCTGTAAAGAATACGTTGAAATGTAAATGGAAAATGGTTGAAATAATGACAGAACTGAGAGTACTGTTATAATTGTTTTTATTTAGTATACTTGCAAACACTTACATTGCTTTTTCTGCATTTCTGGCCTGTAATATAAAATATAAAAAAGAAATTAATGATTACTGACCTAATTTATATTTATAAGCAGTATTTGTACTGGGGACACACTAGTCAATAGCCCCTATTACAATAAGGTTGTAGGACTATTGTTAGCAAGACACTGTTGATTTCCAAGTAGTTCACCTGGAAACTAGCATGATTAATTATTTGTGAATTCGTCACGATGGTTCAATTACGGAATAGTCTACTTTTTCTATATCTTCTATCAAACATATTATTTCATTATTATTATATTATTTCAAGTTTTTATATTATTTTAAGTAGCTGTCTGGATTTTAAATGTTATTGTATAATTTAAGATTATTTGATCGTTTTTGTTATTAAAATTTACTTACCATGTTTTCAAAGTATTAAATTTTCGTGTATATACAACAAAATAAATTGTTGTCACTCACAACAAACAATATTAGTATTTTTTAAAATTTAGCTGAAGAATATTTAGAATACCTATAGAAAGTTTTGAATATCTATAGAGACAGAATAATTATTTAAGTAAATTAAATTATAAGGGCGGTTAATAAATTAGTTTAATGTTGTTGTTGTTATGTTTATAACATGGATAGGTTAAGTAAACTTTTTTCTATCTGTTACATGAGGGAACTCAAACTATCAAGACAAATGTCACTGACTGTCAATGCCACAAAACCAGTAACAGCTACGTTATTAAAGAGTTGGCATTCTCTTCAATATAGGTTAAGGCAATGAAATCCTAGCAACCTATTCATTAAATTTTAAATATTTTTTTTTATATAAAGTACATAGGTCTTTTATGATGTAATACCCTTCGATATCAATATTTTGAACAAACGCATATTATAAATAGTTTTTTTTTAATGGGTGAAAATGACACCGATAGCGCAGGCGGTAACCCCGCCTGCGCTATCGGTGTACACTGGGAGATACCAGTGAGGGGTGATAGGTGAGAATGAAAAGGCAGGTCAGTTAGCCCGTCGTGATAAATTTAGCGATGAATTTGTCACGATATTTTCCAGAGGAAACCGCGTGGAGATCGACTTGATAGAGTATACTGATAGCAATGAGGACTAACCTCCCCGTTACTAACAATCCCTTCCTCCCTATTATAAATAGTACCTACCTACCTACGCAGTAATATTGTAATATTATGAATATTAATGTCTTTTATTATATTTAAATTTCTAATGATTGCATAGAGCGTTTTCTAATATTGTCACTGTATAAATAATGCTCACTCTTAAATAATGTAGCGAATTGACGATTACGAATTGGTGACACTGTACGTATAGTTGTTTGTACAGTTCTAACTTTGGCTACTGTCAATCTTGAGCAATTTCCATACTAATTTTTAATGTATGGTTTTGGTCAGGAAATATCATGCCAATGTTTAGTTAAATGATGAAATTATAATAGTGCCAACTTAACTAACAAAAATATTGTCTAATATGATGCAAATGGTTGCCGTCTAAACTATTTGTGGAATTGTTATAGCTTTGTATTTTATATATTTTTTTTTTTATTTTGACATAGGAATTAAAACTATATATAATTAATATTGACTCTTTTACGAAGTCTACTCTAGAAATTGACCAATTTTTGTCATGAAAACTTGTGTTTACTATCAATAATATTACGAAATTGAAATATCAAGGTAATATTGAATAAATAATAAATACATTTAAGAACGTTATCTTTTATTTTATTTTTTAAATTAAAATGTTCATCAGAACATGGAATTTGACATAAAAATTTTATATTTCTTTTATCATCTGATCTGGTTTGCGATTCTACTATCAGACTATAATATAATTATAATTTATTCGTTTACATCTTGGATATCAGGGTGGCTAACATAACGAGAAAAAGAGATTTTTTTGTGTACATTGGTTAGATATTTCTGACCGAGTCGTTTTTTGTAGCTTGTATGAAGTGTGTTCTCTTATCCCTTGGTTACGTACTCTTTGACTATTGTTATATGTTGTTATTACTTGAATTAAAGAAGAAAAATTACATCGAAGTCCAGTAACTTAGTATTTTAATTATGTAGTTTGGAGTTATAAGAATAGTAAGTAGTTTACAGTTTGGCTTTTAAGCTTTTATAAATCTTTAATTGGAATTTACCTGCAAGCATTGGCTTCATTTCAAATATTGAATCATCAAGTAAGAGATTTGCTTTATCAACAAGTAAGAGATCATCGCGATTATATTTGCAAAATAGCTTGTGTTGCTTTAGTATATTAAAGAAAGAAAATTAGGTAAGTTACTCACTTCCACAGATTTTTATAAACTACCTTATCTATGTAAAATATTTGGCCGAACTAGGGTTGCCATCCGTCCGGGTTTTCCCGGATTTATTCTAGTTTGGAAGACGTCCAGGAAGCGTCGGGGCGGGGTTTTAATTGTAGTGGGATGAAACCCGTGTACTATAATTTATGGATCCGTTCCCATAATTTATGTAAATAAAAACTATGGATTAGTTACTACTAATATTGGGTTTGTTTATTTTTTATTTAATATCTTTAAAGGTATTAAATAAAAAATAAACGAAGGTTGTAAAATAAAGCAAAATTACTCACTTGTCGTCACGATAACGATTAAACACACTATTTCATGCAACAAAAGAGGCTTAAAGTTAATGTTTTCTTTTATCAAGTACGGAGTAAAATATATTTTAATCAAGAAGTAAGTAAGTGAAAAAAGTATTGAAATGTCCGGGGTGAATGCTCCAAAATCTGGGGAACTTATGCTTCCTGTCCTGGTCCTAGGGGGTAGATTTTAGAGATGGCGGCCCTAGACCGAACTAGTATCACGGACTTTCACCATCTTTTTAATGGGTGGAAATGAAATATCAATTATGCCTACCCTATCAGTACATATTGGCGGGACACCGCTCTGTTTGAAGATTGGCTCATCGTGACGAATTCCACTAGAATTAACCACTATGGTTTCCAAGACAACCGCATCTATTAGGTAAACCGTCTGTTTGTATGTCCCTCTAACGGTAAAAATACTGGCAATAGGGGGGGGGGGGGGAAAGATTTGAAAATGGGATGGAAGAGGGATTACACAATTTCACACATTAAAAAACATAAGTGGAGATAACAAGATAAAGGAGGAGAAAAATTATGTTTTTAATCCCTCCCCTTCCCAATCAGATATATATTAAGAATTTACTTGTAACTGTTTATTTAATTATAGGTTTGAAAAGATTTTAACATATACTCTGATTACGTACAATAAAGTCTTTTCATCTGAAGAAGAATAAATAAATTTAATGTAATAACCAAATGTCTATGTGTCATTTGATGACTGTGGTAGCGCAATGGTAGTGCGCACAAATATATTTTGTACAGGAAAAATTTAACCTACAACCTTTTTTCCAATTTCAAGTACTACGTGTATGAGTAACAAACAAACTCTCTTTCACATTTATATAACAGCAGGGATTCATGTGTAACTCAACTTACAAGCTCTGCTTAGACTTAGACTTGATGGTGTTTGATTTGCCTAGATCTATTTATTTATTTATAAAATCCTGTGGTAATATTACAAATATTGTCATTTATAGAAAATATTATTTTCATAATTAATTTTAAGCATTTCGCGTATTTGACATGTATTTTAAATATACTATCGGGACTTAACGTGACCTAGTTGTGAGGCAAAATCATTAAACATTTACCTACAATTTCATCGCATTAAATACCGATAGTGTATTCAAAATATAAAATTGAAACTACCAAGTGTCAATAATCCACTGCATTAATAGTCTATTTATACTATTTTGAAAAAGGTGTGTTTGAATCGGTGTATTGATTTGGAAGATACTAACTTCTGCCCGCAACTTAGTATGCTTGAATTTTAAAAGTAGATAACCACTTAATTAGACCTTCAAAAATATAACTGTATTCATTTTGGTGCATTGATGCCAGAACAACCATACAGACAGACAAAAATTCCAAAAATAACACCTATTGCTCTTATTAAGACTCCTGATATAAATTTTTCTTAAATATTTTTTCTGTACAGTTGTCGTCTAGTTACAATTTTTTTTATAATAGTAAGATTCCATTGTATCTGCCTATCCTGATGGGAAACGGGCATGACGCATAATGTACGTACACATAATATTTTGTAAACGTATTATTTCAGGATTAATGATTCTTGAAAGTCTCGTGTATTGGGTGGATGTTTTTATACAAGTAGTGATTATGAAATTTTATAGTAATAAATATAAAACAACAATATGGAAAACAATATTGACTTAATATGCCCTCCAGAACTGCTATTAAAAATTTTTGAATATTTGGATTATAATTCTCTAATTAATTGTTTATTAGTAAACAGAAAATGGATGGCACTCTCAAAACATATAATAAAGGTAAGGTTGTAATATACTTGGCTTTATTTTAGGTCCTATGCAGACACGATACTTTTAGTATGGGTGAGCGACCATTTTTTACATCGCTTTGTGGGAACTCTGTAGTACATATATAATTATTTGGAGTATGGACAAAAAATATTTATTTAACCACCTGTACATATATAAATAAGATATTATTATTTTATTTGATTAAAAATGTTATTGTCTGCGATATGACAAAATATAACGATTGTTCAATGATATTTACGGTTCATGTATTTGTTTGGACTTATTCAATTTATAAAAAACAAAAAACATTCTGAAATATGATTCTTAAGTGTAAAGCATTTTATTAGTAGAATATGTTGCCGTCAATTTCCATTATAATTATTATATAAATAAAGATATGTAACATTGATACGGCCACTATAATTGTTAATAGGATTAGATAAGAATTTATAACAGTTGTTGAATAATTGCCACCATAGACGCTACTAAAATAATTGACTAGGTTTTAAATTAAATGTCGAAACTTTTAATAGTAGAAAAACTACGTTGCGAGACATGGCATGTTTTTACATTTTATGTTTTTGATGGTATCTCGCTTCTTTTTGTATGTAATCCTCCTTTTTTTTCTATAGTAATATATCTTGTCCATTAGCTACAAACGCAATGCATCACTTGAATGAATGAACGTAATTTTTTAAAATAATATTTTTTTATTTAGTAAAAATAAATAAGAAATTTTTGTATTATGAGATTTTTCATTTTTTCCTTCTTTTATGTGCTAAACGCTAGCTAAAATTCAAAATTTAAAGATCGTTAGAAGTGCCTTAGAATTTCGATGATCGGTGATTGTGTCAGTGACAAAATTAAGTAGAAGCTGATATGGTACAATTATTAGATATATTAGCAATATAACTAGTTATAGCACTGTGGTTATATGGTACACAATGAAATTACAGAGAGATGATCAAAATAATAGTACTACTGTACTCTACTGGACGGGAGTACGGTAGCACTTCAACTTTCTTGAAACTATCATTGAGAATATAGTGTATTCACAAAACAAGTGGCATTTTCTTTTAAATTTTGTTTATAATTTTGCTGTAATAAATAATATTAGAAAATTAAACATATCGTCGGTGTAATATAATGTTCTTTTTTTTTTAATTACTGCTAAAATAGGTTTATCTCTAAACATAGGTTACAATCACAATTGCATTTATTTAATTTTTACAGTGTATTGGATATAATGAAGTTGCAAAGAAAGGTATATACAAATATGACAAATTTAAAATGAAGTTTAATCAGAACACTGAGCCGTGGCAACTGATCATTAACTGCTTGTGGTGGTTTAATGTGCAACGTTGCAATGTACAAAAGATTTATGAATATGATGTGAATGATATTGAACAAATATGTATATGCAATGGTAATGAATTTAGATATCTACCTATTTAATGTTACTGGTTTTTATTTCGTATTTAAAATTAACGGCAACTATGAGCTACACCATGGTATTTTTTATGGATGAAAATAACATGATAATCTTGCCTTGCACTATCGGTATACGCTGGCGAGGCACCAGTGATAGATAATAGGTAATGTTTTCAATAGAAACAGATATTTAATCGATTTTTGATCAGTACTACTATTGGCATGAATCGCTAATGACCGATTTTGCCTTGTTGTTAAGTTTTATTGTTGCAGAGCTTATGTTGTGTTGTTATAGGCAGATTCAAAACATGTAGATTTATAAGATTTTTATAAGGTTATGGCTAAGTTAATGTTATGGTTATATTAAGTTAATGTAATGGTTATGGTTAAGGTTAAGGCTAAGTACATCTGTATAATATTATTATATTATAAAAACAATATAGATAATTTAAAATAGCCACCTAAATGAATGGAAACTAACTTGCTAATCTATTTTTCGTTGTTTATTTCAGAAAATATAATAGTTCGTACAAGTACATCTGTAGAGTATTTTTCAATAGTACGCCACGTATGCATACGAGCACTTTCGAAAACATGTAAGTTTTAAATCTATACATCTATATTATGAACTTTATATGGAATATGACTATGTAAGAATAGAAGAAATAAATGGCATATATATACTGGGCAAGTCTCAGTATAACTTAAGAAATACTGGGCGCATGTCAATAATCGCAGTATGGGGCTCTTTAAAAGGTGTATTAAAGTTGCTTCAGGGTACTGTGCTCCACGCGACGCGGGATATCTACACGTCGCGGGCATCGGCGCTTCTTCGTAGGTAGTTTTTGTACGCTTGGTGTGTTGATCTTACATAGTTGATTCCTCGCTTCGTAGTAGGATTTTAATATTGCTTTTTTTATATTTAATATTGCTGTAAAATATTATGATTTCTATGTATTATGACATAATATCATAGATTGCATGATTTTAAATGAATAATACAGAAAGTTTTTTTTTTAATTTCCAGAATAAATTTCCATTGACTTTCAAAATAATGGTCTAAATTCACCGTTTCAGTTTTTGCCAACCTGTATAATATAAATTCTTGTTGAATTAGTCCCGATGGGTAAACTGACCTGTTTCCATCTTTACATTTCATTCTTCATTAATGCCCTGCCAGTGTATACTGATAGCGCGGGCAGGGTTACCATTCCATTTACACCTATTAGAAAGAAAGAAGAAGAAAAAGAAACTTTATTCTACAGAAATATGCGACTACACCCACACAGGGGTTAAAAAAATATATTAAGAATTATAACAACGAAACTACACACAATATTTATATATAAAAAAGAATATAAAATAAAAAAGACAGAATGGTTTCTATTTTCGTTGATGGGGTGGTTGGTGGGGAACCGTATGGAGGTTGACCTAATAAGATATATTGTTAGCAATGGGGCTGTTAGATCCCATTACTAACAATTCCGTTGCCCCTGTGGTAACACACTTGCCCCAATTCAATGTATATTATTTGCGGGTAGTGACTAAAGAAGTAAAGTAGTAACGTGACTAAAGCTGATATGGTTTGACGCGTATGATAATAAATTGCTTGTGACGTATTTTACCGTTTTTTATTATTATAATATCTTGTTTGTAAATGTATTTGTTTTGTTTAAGGTATTCATTATGAAGCAACTGAATATTTGGTTGTAATAATTTATTATGAAGATGACGTAAACAAAATTATTTTACATCGTAAAAATGTTAACAGTGGCTTTAAAACATTATACTTAAATAACCTCGCCATAAATTGTTTTCTGTAAATATCAACTGTTTTTATTAAATATTATCATAGAATCCTAAGCATATTTTCTTATGACACTTACAACGAATGCTGAAATATTTTATTGAAATTGGGTACTGGGACTCAAGATTATCATATCACCTTTGTCTCTGTCTGTCGTCTGCTTTGAGACCTTTGTTCCACTCCTGTCTCTGAAGTAGCAGCGCTTGCATGATTGTGTTTCGTTTTGAAGGGTGGGATATTACAGTAAAATTACAGGGTATGGTGTTAGTCGCATCATAGAATGGGTCACCCCTTCCTTTCCCGTGGGTATCTTAAGAGGCAACTAAGGGAACTTATTGTCGAGGGATGGGCAGCAGCCCATCTTAAATTATCCCATCTTAATTAAAATATCTCTAAAGACTTAACTGTGGTTGCCAACCCGCTTGCCAAGCGTGGCAACAAATGGCATAACCCCCCCAGCGCCCGGCAGTTCCGCTATTCCTCATCACGGTAGCAGTTACGGTAACAGCGGAGCAGGGGTGCAAAGAATCTTCGGTAGAGATTCCGGTACTAACCAAAGTATAATGTACAATCCTTAAGGACCAATGAAAAGATTTTGGAGCTGGAAGATAAGGTGAACAAGTTACACTGGGATATCATAGGATTTTCTGAAATCCGAAGACAGGGGAAGGATACGATGATTCTTGACTCCGGTAACTTGTTCTGTCGCCGGGAAAGTGACCATCCGTCCTACGGTAATGTCGGGTTCATCATCCGCAAGTCCCTCGTTAATAATGTTCTAAAGATCGAGAGTGTGACCGCAAGGGTAGTATACCTAATAATCAGAATTGGGGGAAAGGGATTGTTAATAATGGAGACTGAGAATCCCATTGCTAGCAATATACCCAACCAGGCCGACCTCCTCGCGGTTCTCCCTGGAAACTATCATGGTTAATTCCTAATGAATTCATTATGATGGGCTAACTGGCCTGTTTTCTCATTCTCATCTATCACCTTTCACTGATGCTACGCCAGCGTATCCCGTTAGCGCAGGCGGGGTTACCACACCATTTTCACCTATCAAAAAAAAAATACTTAGAATTACCAAAAGGTATTCGCTGAAGGTTATACAGGTATCTGCGCAGACTATAACACATACCGATGATGAGGTAGAAGCAATGTATGAGGCCATACATTTCTCTAATACTCAATATACAATATTAATGGGGGACTTCAACGCTAAACTGGGCACAAGGAAAGATGATAAGACAAAAATGGGGAACTACGGTATCGGACAGTGAAATCTTAGGGGACAGCAGTGGGCTGACTTTATGGAGAAGAAGGGACACTTTATGATGAACTCCTTTTTCCAAAAGTGGTCACACAGGAAATGGACCTAGGCTAGTCTCGACGAATACACAAAAAAATTAGATAAACTTCATTATAATAACAAATCGTCATTTATTCAATGATGTCTTAGTGATCGACAGGTTTAAAATCGGAAGTGATCACCGAATTGTAAGAGGCACATTGAGCCTGAATATTATTCTAAAAAAGTGTCGTCTGATGAAGTCTACGCTCCAACCTTCGTATGCTCTTATCGAAAACCCCGAGAGTGAACTTTGAAACAGCGGACGACATCAAATATAAGCTAGTGGAAACTGTTCAAGTAGTGTGAGCAAAATTTTGCAAGACTATGCTCAAAAAGGACCCAAAAACTCTGTGATCGCATTCTAGATCTTATGAGGAAATGGTGTGAATTATGGTCCTAGTCTTCAACGTCAGAATATAAACAGCAATAGACAAATCTCCAAATGTACACGGTGTGATATACGCCAGTTCAATACTATATGTATTGAACAGGCAATAGAGCGGAACCAAGGCTCCGAAGTGTCCAGAGATTTTTTGATTTGGCTATTGGGTGAAGCCAACTGACAAAGTAGAAGACCGTTACCGGGGGTATAATTTCCGCCACATTTGAAATTTTAATTGATATTGAGAAGTTCTACAATGGCCGCTGTACACAACGTCATTTACACTGCATACCAATGCGAATAATGATTAAAGCGCTAAAGTTAACCAACACTATTGTGATGATATCCCGGACATCAGTTTGCAGGAGATTGAAATGGCTCTCAAACAGCTTAAAAACGGTAAGGCACCAGGGGAGGATGGAATTATAGCAGAGCTTCTGAGAGCGGGTGGAAAACTGGTACTTGCAGTCCTTCAGAGGCTATTTAATTTCGTCATCTATAACAGTGTTTCGCCAGAGGTGTGGAGCAGAAGTGCGGTAGTCCATTTCTTCAAGAAGGGTTACAATACCCTATTGAAGAACTATAGACCGTTATTCCTTCTGAATCACATCTACATACTGTTTTCTAGAGTCCTGACCAATCATCTTACGTGCAAACTCGACGACTTCCAGTCACCCGAGCAAGCTGGTTTCTGAAAGGGTTTTAGCACCATAGACCATATACATACGCTACGGCAGATTATACAAAAAAGCGAAGAGTGCGTATAATCTACCATTATGTTTGGCATTTGTGGACTATGAGAAAGCCTTTGATTCGGTCGTGACATGGGCGGTCCCTCCAGCGGTGCTAGATTGACTATTGGTATATCAAAGTGTTGAAATGTATGTACAGTTAGGCTACGATGTCTATCCAAGTACAGAACCAGAGTACAAAACGCATTCTAGTGCAGAAAGATGTAAGACAGGGTAACGTTATGACGTCATATGTCCCCGAAACTCTTGCATTTGAGTTGCACTAGAGGATGTTTTCAAACTCTTGGAGTGAAAAAGATATGGTATAAACATTAATGGCGAATACATCATTCACTTTCGATATGCCGATAACATAGTAATCGTGGCGGAATCCCTGGAAGATCTGAATACTGTGCTCAATGAACTTAATGATGTTTCTCAACAAGTAAGTCTTAAGATGAACATGAATAAAATTAAAATTATGTCTAACGTCCATGTCACACCTATATCGGTTATTATTGCGAACGCTAAAACACTAGCTCGAAGAACTGATAACCGATGACGAAAAAAGGTTCTTGAATCCTCTGACGACCCCCCCCTAGATGGAGTAACATGTTTTTTTTTATACAACTTTCACGGCCCACATGATGGAAAATCCCGTCGCCTATAGACATGAGCAGTACCATGAACATAACACAGTTTCGCTCATGATATCCCCCATGCGTTACTATTCTTGAGGACTCGGATGTTATTCTTCTGTACCCAGTAAATTCACGCCATATCCCGCCCTTCAAATCGAAAGCCATGCAAACACAACTGCTTCGCGGTTGAAACACGAATGGGGCAGAGGTACCCAAGCAATCGACTTTTGTATCTGAAATGCATTACAGGGAGTCAATGGATGCAGGTGGCTCAGGACTGTTTTTTATGGCAGTCTATGAGGGAGACTTATGTCCAGCAGTGGACAAATAATAGCTGAAATGATGATGATGATACAGGGTACGGAGGTATAACAGTTTAGTATTCAGGAAAGGGAACGTATGAAAAGTATCATGGGCGTCACAGAATATCCTATGATGTTAATGACTACAACTACTTTTCATCTGGTGAGCCGTCTACTTGATTGCCATTCTAGGCTGCTTACCAAAAATTCCAAATATTGTTAACTAATTCAATTTCATCTGGTTCTATAACACTAGTACCAGACGGAGACTTTGTACAAAAGTCGTTTGTTTGGACTCTGTCCCATTTGTTTTATGTTTAGGTGACATATGGCGAAACAGTATACTCTGTTATGTCCATGGTACTGTTCATGTTTATAGATGACGGTTAGCAGTTTCCATCAGGTGGGCCGTCAGTTTGTTTGCAATTCTAAGTTGCCTAAAAAAAACTATAATTAATATTTTTATTTTAGGGTTGAGGAGCAATATTTGTTGGTTTTATTAGATGACGGCAGCCTTTGGTACATTTCCTGGAATGAAATAAACTGGGAGTCTAAATTAATAGCTATATATTATGAGAACAGGGGAACAATAGTTACGTTACATTTACATCAAGACTGGATTTACGGCATTTGCCAATGGGGTAGCTTATACTCTGTAAACATGAATGGGGGATTGAATTTCGAGAAAGTCTGTGACTTCAATATACCAGATTATGCATCACAGAATATGGATCCATTTTTCTTTGACAAATGTAGTATAGTCGTTTCAGGTAAACTATCTTTATCTTAAATACAAAACAATTTAAAATTTATGTTTGTAAATAAACTATAATGTTAAATAATTGTACCTAACAATAACGTTGCACTATTGTGTGTGCGCTCTGATCTCTAAGACTTTTATAAAAAAAACTTTTTTTCTTAGTGCCGAGTAATATGGAGGTCAAATATACTGTTTTAATGATTAATGACACCAAATACATAATGCTTGAGAGGCCTGGGTTGACATGTGCTACGACCCACGGAGAAATGTTGCTGCTCGGCTACAAAAATGGAAAGGTATAAAAAACAGTAAATAAAAATCTAGATCTATATGACACACCCCTTCCTTTCCAGAGGGTGTCGTAAGAGGCAACTTCGGGAAACTTATTAATTGGACAGCAGCCTTCCTTTTAAAATGTCACGATGCCAACGCACTTGCCTAGAGTAGCAACTACTGGCAAGACTCCCTCAAGGAGGAGGTCTATGTTCAACAGTGGACAGTTAACTGCTAATATGATGATGATATGACGCTTGCGACGTTGTCCACCTGAAATTTCTTTCTTAAAATTTATAAGATTTACAAGATTTTTCCATAGGGTTGTCACGTTGCCGACGAGCAGTCAACCGTCGCATTAGCAGGCATACAGTGCCTCTGTAAACTAGCGGAATTTTTTCTTAAGAATTTTCTTACAATTCCCGGGTTCTATAAAAAAATATACCTTTCGTCTTTCAGAAAATCTTACCCTTAACCGTTTTTTAATCGTGTTAGCCATTAAAAATTGTTTTTCGGTGCTATCCTTCTAAAATATTTACGGTGTATATCATATTTCAAATGATGTTTTGTTCTAGGTGGAATTTTATGAACAAAAATCAATAATAAGGAATTATCCACCAAATGCAACATTATATCTAACAAATTTTGTTACACCTAGTCACGATGACTTAGCAATTATTGGGCTGGATGTATACGAGTCGAACGCTTCTCACCATCTATTTATAGCCACTCGACATAAAATCTATGAAATATTGCTTAGCCATTAATCTCCGTAATCATTCAACGGACAAGATCTCATTAAGTTATTTAATGACAACGCGCGCGTGGCAGCCCTGCTGTTGCAAGCGTTTAAATACTAGGTACTAGGCGGGCCGATGCTTGATTGCCACTATAATAGTGTATGAAAGTACTTACCTTATCTAATTTACATATGTGGTATGACTGTAGGTATACATTTATATTTATATTAATTTAAATTTTATAATGTCAGTTTGTTGTAAAAAATATTATAATGATGGGGACTACTTATAAAACCAAAGTTAATATAGGTAACACGGTGAAGTGAGTATTTATCGTACGTACATATATCTACGTAGCACGAAGAAGTATGCTTAGATAGTCAATCTAATAACTAAGGATAATTTTCCTCCTTTCATTTTCATTCCTTATATAAATTAGACAGGCTTATAAAATAACGAGCAAACTCGATTCTAATAAAAAAAAAAATGCAATAGTTACATTTTTTTTATAATTTTTTTTCTAGCTGGACAACGGGAATTTAATGAACTTTACCGTTTTCTATATATCTGTTTCTTTCGTTTTTCTTTTTCTTCAGTCTCGCCTCGTACATTCAATTCCCGTTGTCCAGTTAAATTCAAATATTTTAAAATTGATGATCATTTTAAAATAGTTGTTATAATATATTATTTTTATTGTTTTTATACGGAATAGAATCGAAATCATTAACTACTCGTACGAACATAAAGTTTTTATTTTAGAAATTTTTAGAAAATGTTACTGTTCGAACACTAAAAACTGACAGTAACTTAGGATTTATTCCATTTATCAGTGCCTTTTCTATCTAAAAGATCTACTCAATTGTTGAATGCTATCCGTATTTTATAATATATGAAATTTTGTAAGGTTGAATGGATGTTTGTTACGCTTAAACGTAAAAACTACTGAACAGATTTGGATAAAATTTAGTACAAGGGTAGGTTATATCTCAGCACATGTTATGCGCGCAATAACTAGTAAGCCAATGCTTAAACCGTCTGGTATTTTTTATATCACTTTATACACCGTGGTTTTATAGATAATAATAATATATATATATATATATATATATATATATATATATATATATATATATATATATATATATACAAAGGTTTTATGTACGAAATAAAAGTAAAATCATAATTAGTTTTTTACTTGCCATAAATTTTTGACAAACAATGTACAACCAAATAAATTATTATTAATTAGATATTAGGTATGATATGCAATGTATAACATGAATCCTGCATAAACTAGATTCATTTAAGTAACGAATCTGAATACATTCATATTTAGGTACTAGAATGTGATACAATATTGTGATGTAATGTAAATTTTTCTATTATGCATTCTAATATTTTTATATAAAATTAATTGAATAAATTTATATTCATATAAAACAGTATCTCTTTTATTTTCTTAGATTTATAGTTTGCCTACCTAATTAGGTATCTATATTAAAAACTTTTACAAAAAAAAAAAAACTAAATTTGTGTACCAAACACTTTAGAAGTACATAATTAATAACTTAAAATAAAAATAATTAACAGTTATATCTATTTTAATTACAAGTAATTATAATTACTCTATAATGATTTTATGAACACCCTCCTACTGCCGCTACTCTCGGCGGTAAAACATTACCATAAGCCAAACTGCGGTTGCCAATCAGCCTGCCAAGCATGGCAGCTACAGGCAAAATCTCCAAATAATTACTATTAATCAATTGCCATAAGAAACGCTTCCGTTCCTTATATATGGGCTATGGGATAGGCCTATATTCAGCAATGGTCAGATAACGGCTGAAATGGTCCTTTTACCCGAACTAAATATTTGTGTATCTATTTTCAAATAGACTCAATGTGACGCACAAACTGATGGGTCGTTCACATCGTATATATAGATGATAAATGAATGAAATGTATAGTTTTGGCGATTGCTGGAAAAAAGTTAATTAGGGAATTTTACCAACAGTTAAATGAAATCCTTAAGTGCATTGGCAGAAATGCAGTATCTATAGTACAGTATTTACTTACTTATAGCACAGTACTTACAATTATCAATTAGAATTAAATTATTAAAAACTAGCCGTATCCCGTAGTTTTACTCGTATTAATTAACATACAAATATCCTTGATAATTTAGGATATGGCGTATTTGTGTATCCTACTTTCAAATTCATATAGTTATTTGAGTATGATTGAATAATATAAGTACAAAAACCAACTTTAAAACTGACTTTAAGCTGATAATCGTTTTTTTTTTATACAACTTAGAACGGCAAACAAGCTGACGGTCCCCCTGATAGAAAGTGGTAACCGTCGCCTATAGACATGAGCAGTACCATGGACATAACAGAGTATACTATTTCGCTCATGATACCCCTCATGCGTTGCCATTCCTGAGGACTCAGGTATTATTCCTCTGTACCCAGTAAATTCACGCTCTATCCCACCCTTCAAACCGAAACACAGCCATGCAAACACAACTGCTTCACGGTTGAAACACGAATGGGACAGAGGTACCCAAGCAATTGACATTTGTACAAAGTCTCCCTCAAAACTGCCAAAATGATAACTTCCAAAACCAAGATGTAAGTTAGCCCTATTGATTGAAATAGAATTATCGAAAATGGTAAGGAATTCGTGAATTAATTATCGTTCAATATATTTAAAAAAAGGCAAAGTGACTCCTCTTTTTGAGGTGAACTGAAAATATAAAAAAATTATTACAATCAGACAAAATTTCTTAATTACCTACCTTTCTAATAATCGCTTATATTTATTAAAATATTATAATAACAAAGTTCTAGAAACAATAGTACAAGCTGCGCTTAATGGGTGATCTTAAAAAGTGAAGGACTTATTTAAAAACTATCACTTTTTTGCAAAATTCGAAATATTTTAAAAGTACACACATATGATAGTACATTATGCGCTTTTTTAAGAAGCCAGGGGCCTTGCTCCTTAAAAAAGCGCTCTCTAGAAAATAACAATAATTTTTATTTCGGATAATTTAATATTCTTTCTTAAAAGTAATATTAGTAAATTTATATATATATATATAAATATATATATATTTGCTGCGTATTATATATATATATATATATATATATATATATATATATATATATATATAAATACGCAGCAGTGATTTAAGTACTCTGCGAACATCCCCGAGGCGTTACAGAATCGTGACAGCCTCATCAACACTCTGAACACGTTATTATATTGGATACGGAAGTATCCAATATAATAGAATTGTAGCTGCTGTAGAATTTTTTAGTATATACCGCCAACAGATTGCTAGCGTAGAAAAATGTGCAATATGATCTAAATAATGTAGTTAACTTCTTTAGAGGCTCGCTCTTTATTTAACACAATTAAGCAATTGCATAACAGAGTTAAGCTCGCCTGTTGTACATCTTTATTTTATATATATCATGTTGTAATTTTTTGTATACAATAAAGAATAAATAATAATAAATAATGATTTACCGCTAAATTATCGTTAGTCAAAGCAAAAAAATACTTATTAATTTTAACAATCAATAACTGGAAATAATGATTGTATAGGAAATCGAAGGAGGGCTTAATTATTTTTGTCTGTTATATCAATAGTTTTGTTCTCAACTGCAGGTATCACCACTGTTCAAATCATATACTCCGGCATGTGACTGACTGATACTAAAGTTAAAAAGCATTGCCTTCAGTTTCGCCAAATGTGGTCTCTCATGTTTTATCAATACTGAGACTGTCGTGTCCTGGAGATTTACCTCTAGTCATAGATTTTATAATTTAAGCTAATTCACTAGCAAGTATATCTAATTTCCACCACACGTCCAGTATCAACATTCAACTCCGCACGCGACGGTCCCAAAGGAGAAAAATAAATAATCTCACTAATATGATTTTAACTATATGATGTCTGTACATAGCAAATATTTAAGGAAAATTATTTTGTAGGGTTTTAATAAGGTCAACAGAAGTTAAAACAATATTTTTTAGGAACTTTGTTGGTCTATTTCATTTCGCATCACCCAAAGATACTACACCGAATGGGAATTTTTACATTTTCGGAAGGTCTAACTTTATATCTGTCGTATGTTTCATCTTTGTACTCCAAGTGGATAAGGTTATTAGTTTTCCTATTTCTGAAATTCACACTTATGAAGTCTCATAACTCTAAATATATTTGGATTAAGTTTGACCATTCTTTATAAGTCTGTAAAGAATATGTTGAAATGTAAATGAAAAATGGTTAAAATAATAACAGAACTGAGAGTACTGTTATAATAGTTTTTATTTAGTAAACTTGCAAACACATTGCTTTCTCTGCATTTCGGGCCTGATATAAAATAGAAAATTAATGATTACTGACCTAATTTATTAATTTATATTTATAAGCAATATCTGTACTGAGGACACACTAGTCGATAGACCCTATTATTTATTTATTTATTTATTTATTTATTTAAGGAACACCAACAGCATATTGCATTATAACATATAGGTATAACAACATTAAATACAATACAATATTAATGCACATGCCTATTATAGGTATTCACAGCATTCACTTTAACGTAATTATACAGTGTAAGAAATTTAAGTAAATAACAGAAATAAACATGTAATCTAAGTTGTGAGCAAAATCAGAAAATAAGATTATGAGTAAATTAAATTAAAAAAAATATTAAAAAATATATATATTATGACAATTAGAGTTAATGTTCATAAGATTGTTGTACAAAGTGCTTCAGCAATTTATTCCTGTAGGAATTCGAATTATCGTACACTATATCAATTTCTGGTAATTTGGCATTAATTTCATTGTATGACGCACTAATCCTGGCCAGAGGTTGATGCAGTCCTAGGTTTGTTCTATTACAATAGGGTTGTAGGACTATTGTTAGCAAGACACACTGTTGACTTCCAAGTAGTTCACCTGGAAACCAGCATGATTAATTATCTGTGAATTCGTCACGATGGTTCAAGTACGGAATAGTCTACTTTTTTATATCTTGTATTAAACATATATTAAGGATATTATTTCAAGTTTTTATATTATTTTAACTAGCCGTCTGGATTTTAAATGTTATTGTATAACTTAAGATTATTTGATCGTTTTTGTTATTAAAATTTACTTACCATGTCTTCAAAGTATTCAATTTTTGTATATATACAACAAAATAAATTTTTGTCACCCACCATACCAAACAATATTAGTATTTTTTTATAATTTAGCTATAGAAAGTTTTAAATATCTATAGAGACAAAATAACTAGTTAAGTAAATTAAATTATAATGACGGTTAATAAATTAGTTTAAAGTTGTTGGTCAAAGAATACATAACCATGGCAAAAGGGACCGCACTTCATACAAGCCACGTAAAACGACTTAGTCAGAAATATTTGACCAATCTACACAAAAAATAATCACTTTTTCTTATTATGTTGGCTAGCCTGATGATCAAAATGGAAACAAATAAGGTTATAATTGTATTATGGTTTGATAGTAGAAAAGCGAATCATATGACAAAAGAATATATAAATGTTAGGTCAAATTGCATGTTCCGACTAACATTTTTGTAGCAAAAATAAAACAAAAGATAACATTCCTAAATATTATTAATATTTTATACAATATTACTTTATATAGGTAATTTTTATAGGTAAAGGCAATGAAACGCTAGCAACATATTCATTAAATTTTAAATATTTTTCTGTATAAAGTACATAGATCCGTTATAATAATATATAATACCCGTCGGTATTGATATTTTGGACAAAGGCATATTATAAATAGTACCTATACGCAGTAATAATAATAATAACACTATGAATATTAATTTCTTTTATTGTATTTATATTTCTAATGGTTGCATAGTTTTTTTTCAATATCGTCATTGTAAAGGTATTGCTAACTCTTAAATAACGTGGCGAAATGGCAATTACGTATGGTTATGTTTGTACGATTCCACCTGTGATATTTTTTTATATTACTTGAATTGAAGAAGAAAAATTGCACGAAAATCCAATACCTAAGTATTTTAATTATGTTGTTTGAAGTTATAAGAATAGTGAGTAGTATTATTATCCTTGTAGTTTGGCTTTATAGCTTTTATAAATCTGTAACGAAGTTTACTTACCAGCATTGGCTTGATTTTACATATTGAATCACACAAAACTAAGCTACCGAGCTTTTAAATTTTCATTGCTATTTGCTATATATTTTTTTTAATGGATGATAATGGAATGGCTCGTGCGCTATCGGTATACGCTTGCGAGGCACCAGTAAGGGATGATAGGTGAGGATGAAGCAGATCATAAGCCTTCCGTAACGAAACTAACAATAAATCAATTATGATGGTTTCTAGGGGAACCACGAGGTGGTCGACTTGACAGGGTATATCGCAAGCAATGGGGCTACTAATCCCCATTACTAACAATCTCTTCTCCCCCCCTCCCACCATTTGTTATGTTCAACAAATAAGTAAGAGATCATCGCGATTTTATTTGCAAAATGGCTTGTGTAGCTTTAGTATAATATATCAAAAAAAGAAAATTAGGTAGGTACTCACTTCCACAGATTTTTATTAACTACCTTATCTATGTAAAATATTTGGCCGAACTAGTATTATGGAGTTTCACCGTCTTTTTAATAGGTGGAAATGAACGCTATCGGTACATTTTAGCGGGACACCGCTCTGTTTGAAGATTGGCTCATCGTGACGAATTCCACTAGAATTAACCACTATGGTTTCCAGGACAACCGCTTGGAGATCGACCTGATAATATATAATACTCCCTTCTTCACTTTTCGCCTTATAATATAATATGAAGCATTTAAAAAAATGTTCCTACAAACATTTAAAAGTCCAGCAATGCACAATAAACTATTAAATGACAATGGGCGACCGTAACCGTTTTCTATAAGGTAGACTGTCTGTTTGTATGTTTATCTAACAATAAAAAATACTGGCAATGAGAGGGGAAGGGATTATTAGTAATAAGGTCTAACTGCTCCATTGCTAGCAATTTATCCTATCAAGTCGGCCTCCACGTAATTCATTTTAGAAACCATTCTAATCATTTATTGATGAATTCGTTATAATGGGCTAATTGAACTGCTTCATTCTCACCTATCATCTCTCACTGGTGTATAGCCAGTGTATTCCGGTAGCGCAGGCGGGGTAACGGTTTCATATACACACATTAAAAAAAAGTTTAGATAAGATAAAGGAGGAGAAAAATTGTTTTTAATCCCTCTGTTTATTTATCTAATTATAGGTTTGAAAAGATTTTAATATATACTTTTATTATGTACGGTAAAGTATTTTTATTCGAAGAAGAATAAATAAATTTGATGTATGAAAAATAACCAAATAGTCATTTGATGACTGTGCTAACGCAATGGTAGTGCGCACAAATATATTTTGTATAGGAAAAATTTAACCTACAACTTTTTTTCCAATTTCAAGTACTACGTGTATGGGTAACAAACAAACTCTCTTTCACTTTTATAACAGCAGGGATTCATGTGTAACTCAACTTACAAGCTCTGCTTAAGACTGAGACTTGATGGTGCTTGATTTGCCTAGATCTGTTTATTTATTAATAAAATCCTGTGGTAATATTACAAGTATTGTCATTTATAGAAAAGATTATTTCGAAAATTAATTTTAAGCATTCGCGTATTTGACCTACAATTTCATCGCATTTAATACCGATAGTGTATTTAAAATATAAAATTAAAACTACGAAGTGTCAATAATCCGCTGCATTAGTAGTCAATTTGTACTATTTTAAAAGAAGAATGTTTGAATTGTTATATTTGGAAGAATTATTATATTGTATTGATATACTTGAAAGATACTAACCTCTGCCTGCAACTTCGTACGCTTAAATTATGGAAGTAGATATCCACTTAGTTAGACCTTCAAAAATATAACTGAATTCATTTTGATTCAGTAATTTTTGCTTGATGCCAGAGCAAACACAGATAGACAAAAAAATCTAAAACTAACTATTTAGTCTTTATTGCATTAAGACTCCTGATATTCATTTTTCTTAAATATTTTTTCTGTACAAACATCGTCTAGTTACAATTTTTTTTTTGTAATAATTGATTCCATTGTATCTGTCTATCCTGATGGGATACGGGCATGACGCATAATGTACGTTCACATAATATTTTGTAAACGTATTATTTCAGAGTTCATGATTCTTGAAAGTCTTGTATATTGGGAGGATGTTTCTATACAAGTACTGATTAAGAAATTTTATAATAATAAATATAAAACAACAATATGGCAAATAATATTGATTCAATATGGCATGATTGCCCTTCAGATATACTATTAAAAATTTTTGCATATTTGGATTATAATTCTCTAATTAATTGTTTAGTTGTAAATAAAAAATGGATGGCACTCTCAAAATATCTAGTAAAGGTAAGTTGTAATATACTTGGCTTTATTTTAGGTCTTAAACAGACACCGTACTTTTAATATCGGCAAGCGACGATTTTTTTTTGCTGCATCGATGTTACATCACCTTATGGCAACTCTGTGATATATAATCTTTTGGAGGATGGACAATAAACATTTATTGATCCACCTGTACATATATAATTAAAATATTATTTCTCAAACATGCTTGGAAATGTGAGCATTATTTTGACAATCCTCTTAGAAATAAATCAAAATTGCCGTACTGGCCAGATACTTACAAGCTGGGCAGCGGCCTTGGCAAAAGTTTATTTATTGAAAATCCATATCTGTCGTGATAAATTACTATGTAAACTCATATCTGTCCTGTAATTTAAAAATGGAATGACCTTTTACTTCAAAACATGGCTACCAGGGAGGTAACTAATTACTAGGTAAGGTAACTAAAGATTTTATTTAAATTTCGAACTGGCTTGCAAATAGAAAGCTGTTTATTGAAAAAAAAAAACAAAGGAACATTATGGCGCATGAAAAATTATTATTGTTCGTTATTCGTCATTGAACTTACTTTCATCTTCTTTAGATAGATAGATAGATAGATAGATAAACACTTTATTTGAGCCATTTAACACACGTAAATTAATGAATAAAATGATACAATTTCATTATTTACATTTTTCAAATATAAAACAACATATAAAACATAAAATTAATATTGGAGATATGTTTTCACCATGTGTGTAAAAAATGGAGGACTCTCAAAAATCTAAAGCTCAGTGATACTTTTGCTTAAAAGCAAAGCACTGATTTTCAGCTGCAACCTGATGCAAGGCTACACGGACGCGTGCAACAAACCCAGAGTACATATATGTGTAAAATTTAATAGCAAAAGGTAAAATTATATTATATAGATACATACTTATATAGATGATGCATAAATAATATATTTCATTAATTAATTAAACATAATATTTAACATATATAAATAATAATTCGCCACAGTAATTATGCTAAATTACTGTGGCGAATTATTATTTATATATGTTAAATATTAAATAATAATTCGCCACAGTAATTTAAGATTCTTCAATTTATAAAAAACATAAAACATTCTGAAGTTCATGATTCTTAAGTGTAAAGCATTTTATTAGTAAAATATGTTGCCGTCAATTGCTATTATAAATAAAGATATGTAATATTGATACAGACACTATAATTGTTAATAGGATTAGATAAGAATTTATAACAGTTATTGAATAATTGCCACCATAGAAGCTAACTAAAATAATTGACTGGGTTTTAAATTAAATGTCGAAACTTTTAATAGTAGAAAAACTACGTTGCGAGACATGGCATGTTTTTACATTTTATGTTTTTGATAGCATAAAATATTCTAATATTCTAATAATTCTCCAGTAATGTATCTTGTCCATTAGCTATAAGCGCGATGCATTATTTGTGTGAATGAACGTCATTTTTAATAATTATTATTTTTCATTTAGTAAATTTAGTGAAACTGGATTTCTGATTGCTTAAACCTTCTTGGAACTCTCATAGAGAATATAGTGTATTTTCAAAACAAGTAGTATTTTCTTTTGAATTTTATCCAAAGTTTTGTTGTAATAATGTTAGAAAATTAAACATATCATCAGTGTCATATAATGTATTTTTAATTACTATTAAAATAGGTTTATCTCTAAACATAGGTTACAATTACAATTGCATTTATTTAATTTTACAGTGTATTGGATATAATGAAATTACAAAAAAAGGTATATACAAATATGACAAATATAAAATGAAGTTTAAAGAGAACACTGAACCGTGGCAACTGATTATTAACTGCTTGTTATGGTTTAATCTGCAACGTTCCAATGTACAAAAAATTTACGAATATGAAATGGATGATATAAAACACATATGTATATGCAAAGGTAATGATTTAAGATATCTACCTATTTAATGTTACTGGTTTTTATTTCGTATTTAAAATTAACGGCAACTAGAAGCTACACCATGGTATTTTTTTATGGATGAGAATAACATGGTAATCTTGCCTTGCACTATCGATATACGCTGGCAAGGTGAGGATGAAAGTAGATCAGTTAACCTATCGTAAACAATCCACAAAAATTAATCATTGGTTTCCAGGGGAAACCGCGTGGAGGTCGACCTGATAGGATAGCTGACAATGGGACTGTTGGACTCCATTACTAATAATCCCTTCCCCCTCGTACCATGGTATTTGCATTGGAATGTAATTCATTCGATGAAATCAATCGAAACGTTCAATCAAATAATAGATTTTTGATTAGTATTACTATTGGCATGAACCGCTAATGATCGATTTTGCCTTTTCGTTAAGTTTTATTGAAGCAGAGCTTGTGTTGTATTGTTATAGGCAAATTCAAAATATGGATTTATGTTTTACATTTGACAATTTTTACAAAAAATTTAAGTATATTTGTATAATGTTATAGTATTATTATGGATAATTTAAAATAACTGCCTAAATAACTGGAAACTAACTTGCTAATGTATTTTTCGTTATTTGTTTCAGATAAAATTGTGGTACGTACAAGTACATCTATCGGTTCTTTTTCAATAGTGAGCCACGTATGGACACAAATTCATTGGGAAACATGTAAGTTTTAAATCTATGCACCTATATTATGAACTTAATATGGTTTATGACCATGTAAGAATAGAAGAAATAACAGGCATATCTACTTGCCCAGTACAATTGAAGAAATACTGGGCGCATGCCAATAGTCGTGGTATGGGGTTCTTTAAAAAGAGTATTAAAGTTGTTTCAGGGTCGCCAATATACACGTGACATTCTTGTAGACGTCCATAGGTTATAATAACCGTATCGTTACCATCACACGACCTGTTTTTTGTATTTGCCATTTCGTGGCAAAAAAGGACAGTTTTTTTTCTCTTTATTTATTTTCTTTTTATATACTAAACACTGTATTTCATTTAGAGCGTCAGTTTCAGTCTACGCTCTCTCTTCGTACTGTGTCGTCATTAGTTTTTTATTTCATTTAAAATGGCGCAATACGGCTCATTATGAGTGCAATTTACAATGAGATAAAAGAAGTTAAAGTTTTATAATTATAAGTATTTTTAATACCAGCTTTACTTACCTACTAGCTGTTTTTCTTTTTTTCGCCTTCGCTCACGTGAATCGGTATGTGATAATAATCCTATATATTAAGTTAGGATAGAACCTAGCCGTGTATTAAACATTCAAATTTATTCGGCCGTTTAAGAGTGATTAAGAAAACAAACACAAACATCTTTACAAACTTTTACATAAGTATAATAATGTAATTAATAGTATTATAAGCATAGATTACTGATTCCGAAACTAGTCGATCTTTTTCAATCTAATTACACGTAAGTTAAACCGGTAGTTATTACATTAAAACAACTATACTATTTTGTAAAGTTTCACACTTCGCTTTGCTGCTTACTTTCACTTCAGTTAAATTTTCACTTCACCTAATTTTCATATTCTGTGACCTTTGGGAATAAATAACAAGTGAAGTGTAATTAAGTTGGAAAACTTAAGTAAGCTCCTAAGGATGCCAGCATACTTTTATAATAGATGAATTTGAGTGAAATTGGAATGGTAACTCCAGCTGCACTCTCTGTATCTGCTGGCGGGGCACCAGTGAGAGATGATAGATGAGGATAAAAGCAGCACAGTTAACCCATTATGATGAATTTAAAAACAAATAACCGAAAGGTATTGTTAGTAATAGGGTTGAACAACCTCATTACTAGCAATATATGTTAAATATAATACTATACAAGGTGGAAGGGACAAATTGGCCAGAACGAAAACAGCTGATTCAGATGAATGCTCTGAATCAGAAGGCATATTATACACCAATAGCCTAAATACACCACAGCCATATAATTAATGATTCTTAGTTTTGAAGCCGCGCAATGTATTTGAAAATTTACGACGTACTGTGCTCCACGTGCCGCGGGATATCTACACCGCGCAGACAACAGCACTTCTTCGTAGGTAGTTTTCTAGTTTTCGTACTCTTGGGGCGTTGACTTTACATAGCTGATTCCTCGCTACGCAGTAAGATTTTAATATGAATTATTTTAATATTATTGCTTTTGATATTTCATAGTATTTCATTGTAAAATATTATTATTTCTTTATATATTATGACATAATATCATAGATTGCATGATTTTAAATGAAAGATACGATAAAAAAAAAAAAAATTTCCGGAATGAATTTCCATTGACTTTTAGAATAATGTTTTGAATTCACCGTTTCAGTTTTTGCCATCCTATCCTTTACATCTGTATAATATAAATTCTTGTTGAATTAGTCCCGATGGGTAAACTGACCTGGTAATCCTCACCTTTCATCCTTCATCAATGCCCTGCCAGTGTATACCGATAGCGCAGGCAGGGTTACCATTTCATTTACACCTATTAAATAAATTAGAATGGTTTCCATGGAGAACCATATGGAGGCTGACCTGATAGGGTATATTGTTAGTAATATGGATGTTAGATCCCATTACTAACAATCCCTTTACTCCCGTGGTAGCACACTTGCTCCAATCACTGTTCCGCCATTAAAAATAAATGGTGCTATAATGGATATTAATTATTTACAGAATATCCAATGTAAATCACTTGCGGATAATGAAATTCCCGTTTGACTTTACAGAATAGCGCTATTGCTTGCTAGTCGCGCAGTGCTGCTCGCGACATAACCCTGGTCTGTACGCATAAATAGAAATAAGCAATCCCGAAGTTATAATAATACGTGACTAAAGCTAATACAGTTTGATGCGTATGATAATAAATTGCTTGTAACCTATTATTATTCTGTTTAAGGTGTTCATTATGAAGCAACTAAATATTTGACTGTAATAATTTATTATGAATATGACGGAAACAAAATGGTTTTACACGGTAAAAGTCGTAACACTACTGAGATTGAACCATTATTGTTTGATGACCTCGCCATAAGATGTATTCTGTAATTATCAACTGATTTTATTAAGTTTTGTCATAAAATCCTGAGCGTATTTTCTTATGACACTTACAATTAATGCCGAAATAAATTACTGAAATTGGATACTGTGACTCAAGATTAGCATATCACCCGAGGGAAACTTTGTACAAAAGTCATCTGCTTTCAGACCCATCCCTGTTTCTGAAGTAGCTGCGCTTACATGATTGCGTTTCGGTTTGAAGCGTGGGATATTACAGTGAATTTACAGGGTATGGAGGTATACACAATGGTAATACAAATACAGGTAACAATTTAATATTCAGGAATAGGAACATATGAGGGTTATCATAGGCGTCACAGAATATACTGTGATGTTAATGACTATAGGCGACAGTTACCACTTTTCATCCGATGAGACGTCAGCTTGATTGCCATTCTAGGTTGTTTAACAAAAATTTCTACAGACTAGTGTTAACTATTTCAATTTCACCTGGTTCTATAACACTGATACCAGAGGGAGACTGTACAATAGTCGTTTGTTTGGATACGTTTGTCCCATTCATGTTTCTGCCGTGAAGCAGTTGTTTGCATAGCTTTGAAGGGTGGCATATGGCAGAATAATATACTCTGTTATGTCCATGGTACTGTTCATGTCTATAGACGTCGATTAGCACTTTCTATTAGGTAGGCCGTTGGCTTGTCTGCCATTCTAAGTTGCATAAAAAAAACTAGAAGTATTTTTTTTTATTTTAGGGTTGAGGAGAAATATTTGTTGGTTTTATTGGATGACGGCGACCTTTGGCGCATGTCGTGGAACGAAATAAAATGGGAGTCTAAATTAATAGCGAAGAATTGTGGGAACGGAGGAACAATAGTTACGTTACATTTACACCAAGGCTGGATTTACGGTCTTTGTCACTGGGGTAGTTTATACTCTGTAAACATGAACGGGGGATCGAATTTCGAGAAACTCTGTGACTTCAATATACCAGATTATGCATCAAAGAATATGAATCCTGTTTTCTTTGACAAATGTAGCATAGTCGTTTCAGGTAAAGTATCTTTATCTATAAATACAAAAAAATATAATAATGTTTGTAAATAAACTATAATGTTAAATAATTGTACCTAACAATCACGTTACTCTATTATGTGTGCGCTCTGATCTCTAAGACCTTACAATAATATGCTTGTTTCTTAAAATAAAATAAATGCAAACAATAAAATCCTATGTAATAAATTATACTAATAACTGCTACATGGTTGTGTGGCCCCGCTATAGAATGGGCCACCCCTTCCTAAGAGGTGACTAAGGGAACTTAATAGTCGAGGGATGGACAGCACCATTTATTTTTAAATGATCACCAATCTTTAACCGCAGCTGCCGACCCGCCTGCCAAGCATGGAACTACTGGAAAAAACCCCCTTTACTAGAAAAAAAATGTTTAGTAGTGGATAGTTAATGGCTGATATCATCAAGTCATACTTATATTTGCATGAGGGGTGAAAGGGATTAGTAGTTGGGTTTAATAGCCCAATTTCTAGCAATATACTGTATCAGGTCGACCTCAACGCGGTTCTGCCTGTAAACCATCCTGATTAACTACTGTTGAATTCGTTACGGTGGAGCTGCTGACCTCCTTTCATCTATCATTGGTGATACCCTGCCAACGTATACACGTAGCGGAGGAGAGGTTCCCACGCCATTCTCGTTCATTAAAAAAAAATACTTTCATGAAAAATGCAATTGAAAATATTTTCATATTACTCGTCTAATTTATTTTACTAAATTTATGCATCTACATACAACAAATTTTTTTTTATAAAAAAAATCTTTTTTTCTTAGTGCCGAGTAATATGCGGGCTAAATATACTGTTGTGATGATTAATGACGCCAAATACATAATGCTTGAGAGACCTGGGTTGACTTGTGCTACGACCCACGGAGAAATGTTGCTGCTCGGCTACGAAAATGGAAAGGTATAAAAAAACAGTAACTAAAAATCTAGATCTATATGACGCATTTCTTTCCAGTGAGTGTCGTAAGAGGCGACTAATCAGCAGCGTCCCTTTTAAAACGTTACCAAAGCCTAACTGCGATTGCCAACACGCCTGCCAAGGGCGGCAACTACTGGCAAAACTCTCCCAAGGGGGAGGTCTATGTTCGACATTGGACGATTAGCTGTTGATACGATGATGATATAACGCTTTCGATATTATCCTCCTAAAAGTTCTTGAACTTAAAATTTATAAGATTCTCAAGATTTCTCCATAGGGTTGTCATGTTGCAGACGAGCAGTCAACCGTCGCATCAGCAGCATACAGTGTCTCTATAAACTAGCGGAATTTTTTCATAATGATTTTCTTACAATTCCCGGGCTCTATAAAAAATATACCTATCGTCTTTCAGAAAATCTTGCCCTTAACCGTTCTTTAATCGTGTTATCCATTCAAAATTGTTTTTCAGCACTATCCCTCTAAAATATTTATGACGTATGTCATATTTCAAATAATGTTTTGTTCTAGGTGGAATTTTATGCACAGAAGTCAATAATAAGGAATGATCCACCAAATGCAACATTATATCTGACAAATGTTGTTACACCTAGTCACGATGACTTAGCAATTATTGGGCTGGATGTATACGAGTCGAACGCTTCTCACCATCTATTTATAGCCACTCGACATAATATCTATGAAATATTGCTTAGTCATTAATCTCCGTAAACATTCAACGAACAAGATCTCATTAAATTATTTAATGACAACGAGCGAGTAGGAGCCCTGCTGTTGCAAGCGTTTAAATACTAGGTACTAGGCGGGCCGATGCTTGATTTTCACTATAATAGTGTATGAAAGTACTTACCTTATCTAATTTATATGGCATGACTGCATACATTTATATTTATTTTAATTTAAACTACTTATAAGACCAAAGTTAAAAACTTAGGTATGTTTATCCAGCTTCAGGAAATATGCTAACTATCTAATGGCTAAAGATTATTTTCCGTCTTTCATTTTCATTCCTCGTATAAATTATACAGGCTTATAAAATAACGAGCAATACTCGATTCTAATAAAAAAAAATGCAATCGTTACATTTTTTCGATTTGGGGATTTAATGGGTTCATTCGAAAAACTAATAATATTGCTTATAGGTCAAATTCTGTATGTACTACCTAATATCAAACGAAAAATGAGGAAAGAGTTTTCTCACCTAACTGGACAATGAGAATTTAATGAACTTACTACCTTTGTTGTTTTCTATATTTGTTTTTTTTTTCGTTTTTCTTTTTCTTCAGTCTCGCCTAGTACTTTCAATTCCCGTTGTCCAGTTAAATTCAAATATTTTAAAATGAACACCAGTAGTTGTAATAATATATTACTTTATCGTTTTTATACGGAATAAAATCGAAATCATTGACTACGAATACGAAGTTTGTTGTTTCTGACTTTAAGAAACATGTTACTAATAGAACACAAAAAGAACTAAAAATTGACAATAACTTAGGATTTATCCCATTTATTAGTGCCTTTTCTATCTAAAAGATTTACCTCAATTACTGAACTCTATCCCTATTTTATAATATGTGAAAGTTTGTAAAGTTGAATGGACGTTTGTTGCTCTTTCACGCAAAAACTACTGAATAGATTCGGATAAAATTTAGTATAATAATAGGTTATATTTCAGCACATGTACATAATATTCTACGCGGGCGATAACTAATAAGCCATTGCTTAGTCTGGTATTTTTATATCACTTTATACATTGTGGTTTTATGTATGAAAGGGAGCAGGTACGAAATAAAAGTAAAATCATAATTAGTTTTTTACTTGCTATAAATTTTTAACAAACAATGTACAACCAAATATATTATTATTAATTAGATATTAGGTATGATATGCAATGTATAACATGAATCCTGCATAAACTTGATTCATTTAAATTAACTAACGAATCTGAATACATTCATATTTAGGTACTAGAATGTGATACAATATTGTGATGTAATGTAAATTTTTCTATTATGCATTCTAATATTTTTATATAAAATTAATTGAATAAATTGATAATGAAATAAAACAGTATCGCTTTTTTATTATCTTAGATTTTAAAGTTTGGCTACCTAATTAGGTACCTAAATTAAAAAAAAAAAAACTTTATACAAGAAAACTTAATTTGTGTACCAGACACTTTAGAAGTACGTAATTAATAACTTATAACGGAACTAATTAACAGTTATATCTATTTTAATTACAAGTAATTATAATTACTGTATAATGACTTTAAGAACACCCTCCTACTGCCGCTACTCTCGGCGGCTGCCATTGAGCTAAATGGCCTCGAATTGTAATTGAACTCTACACGTCTTTTATACAATGCAATACGTGTTACTCTATCGACTCAAATATGAGTATTATTTAAGAGATACAACGGTAGATACTAACAGACCTACTTAGTTCTCCATCGTCAGCCTGACATCACTGAATTGGGTGTGACGTCTGTCAATATATTTTCAATATCCACATCCTTGTTACAAATCCGGATACTATTAGCGGTCTGTCGCATTCGGATTGGTGTAAGAGAATCCTCTGAAGGGCCCTTGGTCCATAGAGCGCAGCACGTGCGGTTCCACGGCCGTCAGGCGTGGACGTTCGCCGGTGAACGCGCGGTCAAAGTATTGCGTATCAAGCGGATGGCGCTGTAAAGAATCTTATTTTACTAATAACGAAGACTGTCGACTACCTACAATAAAATCTACCGATGAAAGCAGAACTAATCAAGAACTGAATGTTAAAAAAAATAGGGGATCAAATGTCAAAATGGTTCAACTTTAATCGTTCGAAGAATTTACGTTAGGATTTATGATGTAGAGGATTAATGTCGGGCATATATTATTCTTTTCAAATATTAGTAGTTCAGTCTGTGTTGAAGTTGTAAAGTTTTGATAAAAGGGTGGGTATTATAACTAACGTGTGGTCCCGTTATAGAATACTATAGAAAGGGCTACCCCTTTCATTCCCGTGGGTGTCGTAAGAGGCGATTAAGACAACTTAATTGCCGAGAGATGTGCAGCAGCGTTCCTCTTAAAACACCACCATAAGCCAAACTGTGGTTGCCAATCAGCCTGCCAAGCATGGCAGCTACAGGCAAAATCCCCAAATAATTATCAATAATGAATTGCCATAAAAAACGCTTCCGTTCCTTATATATGGGCTATGGGATAGGCCTATATTCAGCAATGGGCAGACAACGGCTGAAATAATCCTTTTACCCGAACTAAATGTTCGTGTGTCTATTTTCAAATATACTCAATGTGACGCACAAACTGTTGGGTCGTTCACATCGTATATATAGATGATAAATGTATGTTGAGGCCAAATGGTTTTGGCGATTGCTGGAAAAAAAAGATAAATAGGAAACTCTGCCAACAGTTAAATGAAATCCTTAAGTGCATTGGCAGAAATATAGGAACTATGGTATAGTAGCATAGTTACTTTAACATATTATCAATCATCATTAAATTATTAAACTAGCCGTATTTTGTGGTTTTATTTGCGTTAATTAACATAAAAGTATCGTAGGTAATTTAGGATATGGTGTATTTGTGTATCCTACTTTCAAATTCATCTAGTTTTTTGAGCATGATTGAGTAATTTACAAAATCCAAATCGAAAATCTCCGACTTTGAGCTAATAATCGTTAAACATTCATCTGCCAAAACAATAATTTTAATTATGATAAAATTGATATGAAACCAAAATGTGAGTTAGCCCTATTGATTGCAAAAACAACTATCGAAAATGGTGAGGAGTTCGCGAAATAGTTATTGTTCAATATATTAAAAAAAGGCAAAGAGACTCCTCTTTTTTAGGTGAACTGAAAATATAGGAAATTATTATATTCCGACAAAATTTCTTAATTACCTACCTTTATGATAATTATTATAATATCACGCTCATATTTATTATAATATACTGACCACACGTGGTTTGAAGGGTGCTTCCAGTTCCCTCCGCTCTAGTTTGTCCCAATGAATAGGACTGAAAAACTCCTGGTCCCTGATATCTCCGTGCATACATTCAGCTCCACCCAATCGCGATTTGGCATCTTTATCCAACAGCTGTAATAATAAATCAATATAATAAATAATTAAAACGTCAAATTATATTAATCTAGATATTCCGATTAAATTATATTAATACAGTGACTACTCGCAAGTAGCTAAATATTGAATACGATTCAATCACAGTCTAAAAAGTCCAACATTGATATAATTAGATATATGTCCTGCGGATTTACCCGCATGAATCACTATAAAATTTATTTTATGTATTAATTACATATTAGGTAATATATGTGTACCAAATTTAATTTAAATTCATTCAGCCGTTTATGCGTAAATAATAAATATCAAAACTTCTTAAATACTCGTAGGATACGAGTACTAGAATTATGACTAAACTTTCACGTGACTTAGTTTTTAGCCCTCGACGAGGAAAGGGATTGTTAGTAATGGAGACTAAGAATCCCATTGCTAGCAATATACCCAACCAGGTCGACCTCCACGCGGTTCTCTCTGGAAACTATCATGGTTAATTCCTGATGAATTCATCATGATGGGCTAACTGGCCTGTTTTCATTCTCATCTATCACCCTTCACTGGTGCTCCGCCAGCGTATTCCGTTAGCGCAGGCCGGGTTACCATACCATTTTCACCCATAAAAAAAACCCTCGACGAGGAAAAAAAAGAGATATTATAAGTTTGAGTGTTTGTGTGTCTGTCTACGGCATCGTAGCTCTTAAACAAACGGATTATGATTTTTGTTTAAAAGCTGACGTAATGGAGATGGTTTTTAGATACTATTATGAAGATCGTTCAGGCGTTTCAAGGTCACCAGCTCTTTTTATAGGTTTGTTTGTGTCGGGGTTTTTTATATTTTATAATATATTTATAACTATGTAAACGTGTTTCTTACCCTTGTCAGTATGGTAAGTGCTTGTTGCGAAAGGAAGCGTGGATACGAAGGCATTTCATTACAGATGGACCAGAAGAGCTCATCTTCGTCACAACCACTGAATGGACTTTGCCCTATTAGCATCTCGTACAGAAGAACGCCGAATGACCACCAATCTACAGTTTGATTGTATTTTAAACCCTTGATTATCTGAAAAGAATCCGTTCAAGTTGCTATAAATGATATAGATTCATGTTGATATAGATGCAGTAGTAAAATCATAAATAAATTAAGATTTACAAGAACTTGTAAGTAAAATCTAATTGAATAAAATTATTTCTTCTTTTCTAATCTTCTAAAATCTTATATAATATATTATAGATAGAAAATAATAGAAACTATATGAAAAATAAACATTTAATGCAGGTAGCATGTACATACATGCTTATGCAAATAAATTTATCTTTACCTTTCATATCTATAATTCACTCATACACAACAAGTAGTAGTAGGTACGTAAGTGTCTTTATATTTGAATTTACAAAATATTTCAAAACTAAATCACTCATTCTCTCTTCTGAAATATCAAGGTGGATACTTTGCTCCCCTTATACTAAGTTTCATAACCAGCTCAAACATTCAGTAGTAAATAAAAATCATATAGAAAATCTATAATGTTCATGTAATTACGTGCTCTGTAATGTACACTTACTTCAAATAAGTAGGTATGTACGGATGTAATCTTGAAAGTTGATTTAATATACATTAACTTTGATTTAAATCAATTACGGTTAATCGTACTCTTATAAGGTCCTCGATTTTTTTTTATTGTTAGGGTAGCAAACTAGCTGATGAAGGCCCGTCTGATGGGAAGAAGCTATCATCGCTCATAAACACTTAATGACACTAGGGAGGTTAGTGCTTTATTGGATTTTTAAGAAATTAAGAGCGTTTTTTAAATAGTTCCATGTTATAGTACGGAGGGAAATCTTTAGAAAGTTCATATCACAGTCCACACATACACTAGGAAGAAACGTACAGTGGACAAGCAATCAAAAAAGAGATGAAAAGAACGATAACAGCATGAACAATTGAGATAGATATCTAAGTATAAGTAATCCAACTTACTTCAGGTGCCATGTAATCCGGTGTACCACAGAACGTGTCCGCCGTTTTCTCCAGGTATATCTGCAGCTTGCACATTCCGAAGTCCGCTATACGTACGTGTCCGTCGAAATCCAAAAGAATATTATCCAATTTCAAATCTCTGAAAAGTAAGTAATAAGTTATTTGTTTAATTTCTTGATGAAGTTAGGTTTTTTAATCGATTATAAAAAGGAAATATGAACTTTTTCATGTAACATGAATGGCCAAATAAGCTAAAGGCCCACCTGATGGAGAGTGGTAAACGTCGCCTATAAACGTGAACAGCATGCCATACAGCCTTATATACTCGTGTTTTGTTCTCGCTTTTTTATTTTTCACATTTCTATGTGTTTATATGGTCTACTTCTAAGGGTATGTTACACGATATCTTCATTAATTCTGTTCATGAACTTTAGGAATTTATACTTTAATAAGATTTTAAATTTATTTTATTGTCTACAAATATTTATTTGCTATATATGTTATTTTAAGAAATTATATATTAATATATATAATTTATTAAATAACCTATAATTGGGTAGAATAAAATTTATTACGTATTTACCTATAAACAATGCCTCTTTTATGTAGGAACTTCAAGCCTGAAACAATTTCTGCTGCATAAAATCGCGCTCGCGTCTCCGGAAACCGTCCACTTTGTTGAATGTGAAACATCAGGTCACCACCATTTAAATACTCCATCACAAAGAAGAGGTGAGACTGAAAAGGGTAATAAATATTCCTATATATATACCTTCATTGAACACCAAAAATTTATGGTGTATTATACCAATATTTACAAAATTCCTATACATGTATAAAAAGCACATATAAATTAAATATACTTGATGTTTAACAATTTTAGCTAAATTTGATGATTTCAAAGATGTTCAATTTTGGTACAAATCTTGTTAAACGACATAATGTAGCTACGGCGTTTAGAAGTTTTAAATAATTAGTTTTTGTTTATAAATATTAAAACCTTATAATACATTAAACTCTTCTAGCCATGCGTCAACCAAATGTAGTTCCTGGTTCAATCTTTATACACTTTAATACAAATGAAAATCACTGCTTTTGGCGGCGTGCCATCTAACTGCTTCTGTTTATCGCTAAAACATTAAATTACAGTTTCTACAATACACCTGAAAGTTAATACTTACATCAGTCTGGAAGGTAGCAAAGAGATGACAAAGGTACGGATGATTGGTGCCAAGCGCTAAAACCTTCCTTTCTATCAAAGTACATTCCACATCGTCGTCCTCCAAAACTACATCTTTCTTTAGACATTTTACCGCGTAGTAGTATTCTGTATCCTTCAGTTCTGCTAACAAAACCTGGAAAGTGAAAAACATTAAACATTATGTTGTTCATTAAAATAATCGTTATGACATTATAGTTCCAATGTAGGTACATATTCTGACAACGAATTAATTGTTGCGTAGGTACCTACAAGAGTGCCAACTACGCAGGTATTATGTATATATGTCTACTATATACAGCCATAATTAATAATTTGTTTATCACATTAGTTGTGTCTGTTTCATTCACGAGTAATTTTATTACGTAAAATATGATTTTGGAAATGTCTATATAACGTACTATATACTGTACTTATATACAAAGCAATGTTATATGATTTTTTATTGTAACACCTATTCGTTGGCGACGACACATAAATTATACGTTTTTAATAAATATAAATGAGAGAATTTGTTTGAAATGTTTGTTTATATTATACGATATGTGTATGAATTCTGAAACATTTTAGTTACAAACTGATTTAAAAAAGAAGGAGATTCTCATTTCGATCGTATTTTTTATTTTTTATTATTTACATATTATTTATATTTGTTACCTATAAGTCCGTGGGAGGAAGAAGGGATTGTAATGTAATTGTAATTGGGTAATGAGGACTATCAGTTCCCATTGCTAGTAATATATCCAGTCAAGTGGACCCCCGCAGTGTCTGAATTCCCGGTGTATTCAGCACAATGGGCTAACTGACCTGTTTTTTATTCTCACCTATCATCGCTCACTGGTACCTCGCCAATGTATATTGTTAATGAAAGTGGGGTTACTATTCCATTATCATCCAATAAAAAAAACTTATTACACCGTTACTTATAAACTAATAATACTCGTAATGTTAGTTCCATAGAAATTTTATTAAATCGATTTAATATTTTAGTTTACACAATTGTAGCAAACAATTAGAAGACGGTTTTTTATGAAACATAATCTTAAATTACTTTTTTCTACAATCGATAAAGCGATAAGGTTTACCCTCATATTGGTTCTATATCAATTTTATTAAGATTGTAATAGTTGCTGTTTTTATATATATATACATATATATATATATATATATATATATATATATATATATATATATATATATATATATATATATATAGCTATATCCGTTCGACTTAAATATAAACATCACTAAATACGATTCCTAATAACTATTTGTAAAATAATAGTTATATCTTGTACCACCAAGCACCTACCTAACCAAACCTAAACCTAGCCCAATGTCAGAGTTAATAAAAAGTTTATTGAAACTAAATACATAATATAATATATTATGTGTCTATTTGTTAGTGCGCTGGTATCGATTAAAATTTAGAAAAAGAAAAATAGCAATAATTAGTAAACTCGACACTGCTTTCATGACATTCAGCTAACGGTCAATTTTCATTTGTGTTCTTTTTATTTCTGGTCGAGTCTCAAAGGCTGTTAGGGCAAACATAAATCTCTAACTTCAAGATATATTAATCAACAGTTGATTCGCAAAAATGCTAGTTAATCGTATAAAAATATGTAGTATATATAATTTTATTTATATACAACTTAGGTACTAGAGGGTAAAAATTCTACGTGGCCGAATTACATTCTGACAATACCTCTTTTGGTTCCAAATTATCTCTAAGTACCAATTTTCATTAATATCAGCTCAGTACTTTAATAACGAAAAATTTGTATTGATCATAATTTTTTTATACTACTGAGGTGGCAAATAAGCATACGGCCCTCCTGATTGTAAGCGGTTACCGTAGCCTATGATATGCCTGCGATACCAGAAGTATTACGTGTGCGTTGCCGACCCTGAAAAAATCTCTTTATTACTTTTTTAAAGAACCTCATGCTGTAGTCTCTTGGAAAATCCTCGACGAAGAATTCATTCTATAACCTGAGCATTTGTGAGAGGAAACATCTCTGAAACCGCGCTGTACGCGACCATCTAAGCTTTAAGATATATGGGGTTAACTCCCTGTCGATGGCAAGCTGTACGATGGCAGAAAGGTGTATAGGTAAATATATATATTTATCAAAGTATCAGTTAACTTAACTTATATCTAATTCATTACTTTCATTGTAACTTAGGCATCAATCAAATACAGAATAATATGATTACGTACAACATTAAAAATAAATTAAATTAACGCATTGTTTTAATTTTACATTGAGTTTCATAATCTCAGGAATGGCAACTCGTGAGAGAAATCGTAGGTATAAGGTCGTGTAATAAGAATAAATAATGTCTAGGTCTATTGTGTTGCTCATGTTTATAGGTGACTATTACTTCTTTCCATTGGGTGGGCTTTCAACTTGTTTTCCATTTAAAATTTTATAAAAAAAGACAAATAGTATTGTTTTTCAAGCAACCCACACATGAGATGCTAAATTCCTACAAATTGTAATTTGTAGTGACATTTGTGATGACAAATCATAATTTATATTCGATCACAGCGTAAATGGCCACGATGCCTATAGCCACCTTTCACCATTACTCTAGTCGCCATCAGCAGGGAATCCATCCTCATATCCTAAAACCAGAATGATCACGCACAGTGCGGTTTCAAGGAGCACCCGAGGTTTTCTCTAGAAATTACGGTATGGAGTTTTTCAAATAAAGCGTATTAAGATTTCTTAAGAATCAGCAATGCACGCGTGACATCCCTGGTGTTACAGGCTACGGCAACCTTATTTACCATCAGACAGGCCATATGCTTTTTTGTTACCATAATTTGTCACCATTTTATAGTATAAAAACATTTTTGCTGTTAAAAATAGAACGCGTATAGAGAAGATTTCACCAAAGAGCTTGTAGTGAGCTCCATGCATTTGTGAAAGAAATAAGATTATAAATACGATTAATATAAATAATTAGAAAGTACTATTAGATAGATTTGGTACTCATAATTTAATATAAAAAATAATAAATAAAATTATTTTGGCACATGGTAAATTATTGCCACAATCTTGCCAGACTGTTAGTTACCTAGGAAATACATATCTATGTGGGTGGTTAATATCGTTCCTATTCCGAATTAAATAACATATGTACACCGCAGTATTATTAATCTTACATAAAATATGAACCTGAGTAATAATGTTTAAAATATGAAAATGTACAAATAAACTTAGTTACTTTACCAGATTTTATATATCGAAAATGATGCCTTATACACGTTTAGATAATTATTTCGAATTAAATCTAAAATTATCTATATATAGGAATACTTAATTCTACTATTTAGTAAAATTGAAAAAGTTATTTATAAGTTTTGTTTGGATATACGAGTACAATAACGATTAAGGTTGAACTGATTTGAATGAAATTAGGTACACAAATGGATTAGCTATATCTCAAACTAAAACATGACATTTTGTTTGATCACAATAGATATGGGTAAAATCGCGAGTTACAGAAATTCAAATCAATGTTCATCGTAATCGTAGTTATGTATGTTTAGCATTATTTCAGTATAAACCACTTATTTATGGCGTTAATTAACGTATAAAGTAATATAAACGCCACCAACTACATCTAAAATATTTTACGGTGTAATCAAATTATAACATCTGACGCTCTATTCTGACGCAGTATTTCGATTTAATCCAGCATACTGTAATGCTTTGTATCGGTCAAAGATAAGCCGAAGATGAAAGCAGTGGGTTGGTGGTTTGTGGTGTAACGTACCAAATAATCGAATAATAATTAATCGATAGTGATTATTTACAATAATCTAAATATTGATAGACCTGACTGAATATAGATTAATTTACAGTATTTATTTCATCGCTATAATATCGATACGAGCTTTTGCATGATTTAATCTGTTATAATTAAAATTTTTGTTTCAGTATTGACTTTCGATGCTATCAATTATATCAATGTATCTATTGTATTGTATTTTAGTCAATTATAATCAGTTAATTGTTAATAATAATATATACAGCATTGATTTATTACCAATTTGTGGCACCAATCGAATTACCGATTAATAATCGATGCAAAACGACTATAGGCAACACTAGTGTGACGATGTAGTGTGATGTTGGTGACTAGAATAGAATGCTACAAACGATAGAGCATCGAGTGGGCACTATTTTATCTATAGAGCGGTGCAGGTGAACCGAGTATTTGTGGTTACTAGTGGCATGATGCCATGATGCATGGTCTTTGACATCATTATTTATACCAGATCATGTAAGACTAATCTTAATGCACTATGCATCAGCAAATAACCATATAGTCTGGTTTATAAATAGGTTCTCTATTTAAAGGATAAACGTATAATTTATTCGATGACGTAAAATAACAAGTTTTTTATAATCTGTGCCATTAATACCCATCTACTAGCGTGTGTCAGGAAATCCTTATGACTCTCCAATGTTGGTCTTCCGTAAACAGCTAATTTCACTAGGGATTTACTATTATCAAATAAATACATTAGCATAAGTAAATATAATACAAAAATAAGGATCACAACTGAATTTATACAGAATTCAGGATTAAATCTTGTTTATTAAAATTTTACTTTGAGTTATAAAATTGCAGTATTCTGGGAAGTTATAATGGGAAATAAATGTTTTTAGATCAAAAACCACTATATTTTTATTGTTGAGACAAAACATGACAAAATAAAATTTATTAGCCTTTATGTTTGTTAGATCAAAAATGAAGAAATATAAAGCGAAGTTTATGACATGACGCAAAGTTCTGAGTGACTCGGTCATGTAAGTACCACCCGGAATGTAGGTACTACCTATCCTATATATACCAATCTATGATACTATTTATTATCACTAATAGTAATCGTAATAAACCGCCAATTAGGAGAGACCTATGTTCAGCAGTGGATACTTAACGGCTGATATGGTATGTTAAATAGTAATAGTCTTATACAATATACCTAAATAATAATTAAAAATTCTAAACCATTTATTCATTTATAACAATACTAATTTATAACTGTACTTATGTTTATTCAAATAAATAATTGTTTAATTGATTGAGTGCATTTTTTCTTTTTTTTTTGGGATGAGCAGTAGTAATTTAATACGGTTAATTAAGAACATCTGGAAAGTGGGAGCAGACGCGACAGATATGTATTTAAAAAATGTAGTATTTTTCTTTTTGTTCAAATTAAAATGGCTAATAATCTGACGGACCACCTGATAGAACATGGTAACCGTCGCCTATAGATAGTACCATGGGCATCACAGAGTATACGGTGTCACCCAGGATACCCCTTCATGCGTGGTCATTCCTAAAAACTAAGATGTTATGTCTCTGTACTCTGTAATTTCATTACCATATCCCACCCTTCAAACCGAAACACAGCCATGCAAACACAAATGCATCACAGTAAAAACACGAACGAGACAGAGGTACTAAAGCAGACGACTTTTTTACAAAGTCTCACTTTTTTGGTAGGTTCGAGCAATAGTGGGAGTAAGTAATTTGCTTGAGTATTTGGGGACGGCGTAATATTGCACTCAGAGAACCACTAATAATAATTATTAAAAGTAACGTGAGCAGAGAAGAAATTATTTCTGAAATCAATCTCTTTCAGTCAACCCAACACAGTAGTTAAGAAAGTCTTGAGTGGGCATCATTAGTGCAAAAGAGTATTGAAACATATTTAAATACTACTACATACTATACAACTGATGGCAAGCTTAATCATGCGACGGTAGAAAGGTAAGGAAATTTTAATTATTTTTTTAAAAGAACCGAAGAACCAATGAATACGAGTATTTATTTTTTTACTTTATCTCTACTTGTATTTTTAATTTTTCTGGTCATTTCTTTCATACAGTCCATTCCATCCACAATAATACTAATCACAATCTGTCGTAATAATTATTAATTCTTTTCAAATGAACACTTATTGGTTGTCTATAAAATAATAAGCTTCGACGAGCTTACATTAAAATACTACTGGAATTTTCTGGAATTTTGTAAACTGATATTTCCTCCAAGTGTTTGAGGTTTCAAATGCGTCACTAAATCTCTACTGCGCGTATGTAAAATAAATTAGATTTATTTTAATCGCTGCCCTGTCAAAATAAACACACACTGTTCTTTAGATAAATTATTAACCGACTACATATACATAGATATAATTATTTAAATACATTAAGCACTATGCGCACATGATGAGCTGAATGAAAAAAAGTATAGGTAATAAATACTTAACTGGATTCAAAAATTACTTAATTAATGTCATAAATTGATATTTAAAAGTCAGTCTGTTAAATTTTCTCAAATTTTTTTTAGTCTTCTAAGATTTTGACATTACTGTTACTACGCACTGCTTGCGCAGAGACAACTAGATATGAAATAAAAAATGTGCTTTAGCGTTCCACAGTTAGGATGAATCTCTTCACAATTGAACTCTTACCATACGCGGGTTTGTTAATTTTTTCGAGCCTTTTTTCTTGTCTTTGTTCCCTTAGTCGGTTCCTTAGGATAAAAAGTAGTTAAAAATGTGCAGTATTCGAACTCAGCTAATACGCGAAGATCAGTCTAGCTAATAGCACCCACCCACCTTCCTATTTATGTCTACCAGCTTATATTGTTATAGGTATACGAGTATTTTGTATGCGTAGAAATGTCACTGAGAGTCGAATACTCCAGCGACCCACTTTCGTTTGGTCTATTCTCGAGCACAGGTAGTTAGCTCTATTTTCATTTGATTTCCTAACTGTTTTAACACAGTTTTCACAACAAGACGATAAACCTGTGAACATCCGGGAATAGTGATAAAATGTTGGTATTTTTGGATTCGAGCATTAAATTAAACCTATTTTAATGTAACATTAATTCAGGATATCTTGAGTCAGTTGTATGGATTTATAGTACAATCCAATGTATACTATGTGATATACAAAGGACATGCGTAAGTCAGAAGTCACCAAAGGTAGTTAGTTGTTGAAAATTCAAGAAGATACTGTAGAAATCCATACTTTCAATCAATTTTATTATAATTTTATGATGTTAAGTTATCATTGTTATATTAATAATGACCTATAGATAACTTTTTATGACTGTACATTCTCCCCATTAGGCGATAATACACACGCTTTTAAATTTTCCTTAACATTTATAGATATTCTGTATACTGTTCTTTGTTCCGCTAGTGGTCTCTTTCGACAATGCGGGAAAGAAAAGAAGTTGTAATTATCACGCATTATATTCTTGTTCTGTCACCACCCGGAAAAATTACTGTGTAATCATTCGTATTTATAAATATACCTTTGTTATTGAAATATTATCTATGTAGGTATATACATACTAGTTTTTTTTTTTTTTTATATACCAGAGATCCCTTGTTATTGTTATATATTCTTTTATAAACATATTTGAACTACAAAACAGTCATCTCCTATGCTCGCAGCGTCACCTACCTAAATTATGTTTATGATTTTTTTTTTGCGAACACTATTTTTTTCTTGGCAATGTCCCTTGTTTCGTTCCTCGTACGTTTATTTTGGGACGACGAGTACTTTTGCACTTTGAATAATTGCTAGAGCTGCTTAACCACACGGGAGATTCTTTATCAAGATAAGGCACGTTCGAGCATTACAAATTTAATAATCCGTTTTAATAATTACTGTAATTATGTAATAATAAAATATATACAGTCACAGCAACCCTTTAATATGTCTCTTCTATGCACGGATAGAGTCCTACAGAGAAGAATATTCTTCTTCTTCAGTTGCTTCCCCATTACTAAATATTGGTTGTAATACGTCACGATTTTTTTGTTTACTAAAAAACATAGGAGGATATTAAGCTAATATTATCACGCTGGCATAACGACTTAGCATAGGGCTTCTTGCTTAACTCGTTAAAAATACTCTCTATATTTGCGTAGGAAATAAATATCGATAGTTCAGAATAGTATATAATTTGAAATTAAATCATGCAGAGTTTTATTCTTATGTTATCTTATCTTACTCTGGTATAACGATATTATACATTGTTTCTTTAACCGCCTTCCGCATCATGGAAATCAAAAAGAGCATACAATATACATACATATATATGTATATTTATTTTTATTCACTATCACATGTATGAATCCTGTACCAGATTGTCTTAAGAAGCGACTAAAGAACAAATCATAATACACCAGTACAAGAAAAAGGGAACTGGAAAAATTCTTCGAATTTGGCTATATTCTTCCATTGCGATGAAGAGCGTGTGCCTAAAAGTAGGAAGTTAACCAGTCCAAAACTTATGAAAAATTAATACTTGTTTACACAAGTTTACAAGTGATAATCTTTTATTGTGATCTAGATCATATCTCTTTATGATTCATTACTCTCTCTACACGAACATGTGTTTTTTGTGATAAAGCTCATTAAAGTCATAAAGAAGAATATTGATTGGTCAATTCATTGTGCCATTTTTAGAGTACACCATTGTGATGCCGACTGTCTGGCAACCAGCTGCACAGTCGTGCACATTTGGGTCATGCTAAAGAAAACAGCGCTATCAGAAAGCGCTTTTTGCAATATAATATAGTACGTAATGTACGAACGTATACTTTAACATAATATGTACTGCACAATCAAAATTCTTGATATGAGTAGGTACATGGTTTATGATTATGGTTAGTAGATTTTGTACACCTGTACACACCATGCAAATTAATAGTGTTGTATTTTATATAAAAAAAGATGCCTAAATAAAAGATCCATCAAAGAAAATAACTACGAATCAGGCAAATAAAATCATTCGTTTTGAAACTAAAAAATATTTTATATTTCAATCATCGTCCTGACAAAATGTCTTAAAACAGGCACCTGTACATCTTCAGGTATCATATCAATCTGAAGATGTACAGGTATACAAACCTGTATCAAATTGCGTCTAAAGTGGGTAGTGTACTATGAGCATCCTTTGTCTGTAATGTCTCCTACATTAAAAATTAGGAGATATCAAAAAGAATAAAATTCACACAGATCTCACAAACAGCTAGTGATAATGTATTAATAACACTCACCTTTCCGAAACTTCCTTTTCCCAATACTTTAATAAAGTGGAAGTCTTCAATGGTATACTTCCGGAATCGAGGTATGGAGCGGGCGGGTGGTGTGAAACGGCCAGTTTTTCGGAATAACCCGTAGGCTGTTGATTGTTCTGCAATAGTTTGTAAAAAACTGTTGTAATAAATCGAAGGTTTTTGGTACCGTTAAAATACATATATATAAATCTAAAAGATGCCCTGTGAGAGAGGGCCTGCCTGCTATGACTAGTGACAAATGAATCTTTATATTAACACGTTTTAATTATAACAAGCATGTGAATGAAAAAAAGAGCGAACGCCTATATCTCATTGTATTTTTATATAACTAAACGGTAACGAAAAGGTATCTATGGATAGAATTCATTGCCACTTGCCTAGGGGAACAAATTTTACGGTAGTAATGAAGTGAACTAATGTAATGTATGTTATTTTATATTATAGTCCGCGGTTTTAAACAATATTTATCTGAATATAGAAACATATAATTGTATATATTTTTCTCCTGTTATTCTATTAGATATTATATAGACTTACATATATATTAATTGTATATGTATTATAATTTCTATTTCTATCTACCTAGTTACATAATAATACGATAAAACTGGGAACGTACATGCCGCAATTTACATAAAAATGAATGAATTGCCTACCTAGAAACTATAAAAATGATGAATTACCTGTACACACATTTGTCTTACACATATTTGTTTATAAAAATTTTATATTCACTCCGCGTTGATGGATATATGTACTACGTATTTTATCTATGCTAATAAAGCGTTCCCGTTGACCGTATAAACCATGTGCAATGCAAGTTTACACCATATTTTATACAATATATTAGTTTTTTTTTTACATATCACGACCATTCTGTTACCAATAATCAGGTAGTGATACATGTTTTTGTATGGTATAAAATGGTACTCGTACGAAAATATATATTTTGGTAAAATATTGTTTACAATATTTTCTATTATAGTGTATCTCCTTGTCTTTGTATATTCTAAAACTTGAAAGTTAGACACGTCGTTTCAATAAAAGAATATCTCATTCATATATTAAAACGACGTGTCTAGTTTTCACGTCGTAGCAAAAGGAAGGCTAATATTTCGATTTAACCTGCACATTCGGTAAGTCCATTTATAAAAAAAAATGATTTTTATCTCTGCTATAATGGCTGAAAATTGTTGTAATGAACAATTACACCGATTTGTTTTTTACTGACGTGTGCCGGGTTTACTTCTCTATTCCGCGTAGGTATAATGAATTATTGGCGCATGTGTGTTGGCATTTAACATTTCTCATCATAGTTACAAGATCTAGATCATCCTTTCTTTTGATATCACTGAGATACTCACAGTAGATATATTAGCTGCTGACGTGTGCTACTAATATCATGGTATTTACTAACAAATGTTATGATTATAATAATATGTGTGTCGCATTTTTATAAAATTTATTTATATAATTTATTAAAAATATTGTTATCTAATATAAAGTAATTATATTTATTTATTTTTTCGTTTTTCTTCGTTTACGTTAATATATGGGGCTTTGTTCCTTTAATCGATTCTTACTTCTGGAGATAAAAAGGAATAGATACCTAACTACATTGTATGCCTCCGTCGCCATTCATATAATATTATTTTTCTATTTTATGTCAAACCTTTACCTTGGTGTTTATGTTTTATGAATCGAATATTTATAAAATAAAACTGGTGTTTTCAATCCGCATTTTCATTCATTTCATTACACTTATAATTAATTAATTAATATATATTAAGGATATTGAACTTGTGCGAATTCTTTTTAAGATTATTCAAAATATAAAGGTATTAATTTACCAGAGAGAGACTTTGTACAAAAGGCGTTTGTTTGGGCACCTCTGTCTCATTCGTGTTTCTACCATGAAGTAGTTGTGTTTGCATGGCTGTGTTTCGGTTTGAAGGGTGGAATATGGCAGTGAATTTACAGGGTATAGAGGAATAGCACCTGAGTTCTTTGGAATGGCAACACATGAGGGTGTCATGGGCGAAATAGTATCTCTGTCTCTTTGTTATTTCCATGGTACTGCTCATGTCTATAGTCGATAGTTACCACATTCCATCAGGTGGGCCGTCAGCGTGTTTGCCATTTTAAGTTTCATAAAAAAAGCGAATATATTACAAAAAGTAAATACAATAGAGATCTTGGCATTGAATATATTTTATATTGTCAAATTTAAAGTGTTACCAAATACAGCGCTACAATTCAATACAAGAAATACGCTTTATATGAGTGTATAATGGTGCTGTTACAATTAAATTCTCGTAGCAATAAAAATTGAAACAAATTATTTACATACGCTGCATTGTCACAAAGAGGGTAATTTGGATTTCCCAGTATTATTTACTAAGATGTATAGTGTTATCTCGAAACAAAATGTCAATCTGTTCTTTAGTCGTTTGAAAGTGAGCCAATTCCTGTCTATGAACAAGAAGCTTTCGAGAAAATTTTAATGTTTTTAAATATTTTAACCTTCACGAAATCACTTTCGGTAATTTTGATTCAAAATTGATACCATTTTGTTCGGTATTTGCGCGTCTAAGTAGTAAAATGTCCATATCATCCATGTTACGCACTAAAAGTGCTGGCAGACTACTCAGGCGTTTCTATAAACGATATGCTAAGAGAGCCTCCGCCTGAATTCGGGTGCCCTATGACCAGATGACATGACGCTCATTCTTTGGAAACGAAGCAAGCTCTTCCTTATTTAGCATGTCATTTATTTTTACATCATGGTATTCTTGTACATTATGAAAGCAGCTAGTGACGCAAATATGAGAATCTAGTACCCTCTGCAGTACCAAATGAAAAGTAGCGTGGAAGATTTGCGCCTCAGCTGGTGACGATAGAGCTATAGATAGCTTTTTCCGCATACAAAAAATCGCTATTCAACGAGTAAATACAACCAACGTTCTTATCACCATCCTTGTAGGAAATGATCTCTTATACGCCTCGAAGAATGTGTGCGTGGTTTTTATTTATTGCAAAATAATTTTAGGCATTTTTGTAAATGATTCTTAATTAAAATTATGTTCATATTATAAAACATTCATGTTAAAAATTCAAATTAATTGATTTCTAAACAATATGAATAGATGGAATATAAGGTTTTTAAAAAATCCACATCAGGCGAATTTTACATTTTCTCTGGAAAAAACTACATTCTTAAAAACATAGGTCAGTTATATTTGAGCGAGTTACAAGGATCAGTGATCTGTGAAGAGTAGAGACTAAAATAATATTGTCATCATTCTTAAGACTTAAGGGCGCTGACTTGTCATCACATACGTATAATACAAATGACGTACTTATGTAAACAAATTTCTTTTGTTTAGCACGAATAAATTTTCTCTATACTGTTTTTTCATGAGTTCATGTAGCGTTCACATATAATGGGTTTCTTCTCAGGCTACCGTCCCCAGTGAGGTCATCGGCTGCATAATTCAAGATCAAGTATATTTACGTTCTGCCATAGTACTATGACATAATATGCGTACAGCATGTGTGACATATTAATTCTCTTTCACCTCGGTGGAGATCGCGAACGACGCCGCTAAATATATTAGTTGACACGAGCAATATCAAGGTCGCAATGGATAATTCGGGACTTTCATATTACGAAAGTAGTGATATATGTATAAAATTCCATAAACAGCACGTGATACCAGAAGTAATCTAAATAAGAACAGTCAATTTATCGATCTATGTACGAATTTCTATAAGATTTATATTGAATGTGATGGTATAAATTATCTTTTTTAAGTTTTTAAATTGCAGGTGTACTGCTATAGACATTATTTGTCTTTTTTATCTACTTTTTTTCTTTCGTATAAATAATATAAATTTCATATATGTAAAGAAAAATGTTGTAGATTTTGAAGCTTTGGGACACATAATAATGGCATATAAAAATATAATTAAAGAAAATCTGATTTGAAAGTTAATTGAGACTTGAATCGAAGAAAGTGTCCTTACTAAAATTGTAAATGTAAACATGAGTTTGTTTGCTTGTTACTTCTTAGCACATTAATGGCTTAACTAGTCGTCATGAAATTATATCTACATACAGTATTTGCAATGAAAAATGTTGACGATGTCATAAGTAATCATAAATATATTATATGAAAAAGAAATAATACTAGATAATCACAAAATCATAAAAATACATTTCCATGGAAGGCAAGGTAAATTTTCGTATTGCTACTAGTCCTCCCGAATTATAATTACAGCACTAATAGTTTAAGTCTGTAATAGAAATAGTCTATGAAATATATTATTTGCTTAGTATTATTTTATTTTTAAACAAACCCATACGTATACATAAATAATGATTTATGGATGACTCAATATCTTGATCGTATATATGACCATTACCCGTCTAGATAAATTACGGTTATTCGTTATTGCCAGAGGTCAACTCACATAAATAAATAAAGAATTAGATAATATTAATTTGCATTTTATTCATCATGATGATAATAAACGATGATGACATAATTTAATTAGTAATTAATAACAAATTAATATTATTCTACCTATTTGCCAAGAGTGTTGTAGTGGTAACTTCCAAAGGTTGAAAGTTCTAATATGATCTACAGCAAAAACACTGTGTCATTTAACATTTCCGAAGAGATCTCTAGTAATGGAAAATAATGTTGACAAAGTAAATTAAACTAAAAGAACGAGTATATTGACAGAAGTAGCAGAATCACGCCTAGCTGAGTTTAAATTACTTTTACTGTAACAAGATACCATCATTGAATCTGGGGCTACAGTTGTAAGCATGTTATTTTACATAATTCATTTGAAAGGTAAAAGATTTTGTTGAATTAATTTGCATTTAGTGAAGGACACTATCCTTCTACTTAAAAATCAGTATTTTACAGTAATGCAATAGGAAAACCTGTTCGTGAACTCTTGAAGAGTATACCAGAAGATTACAACAATTCGTATTATTGTAATAATTTGGTTCCAGGAAAGAGCAAACGATCGTAGATGTGGTGATGGAGTAACAGTTATCATAATTTCTTGAAATTCCCAAGAATATCTTGAATGACGAGTAAAGGAACAAAGCACAATACGCTAATGCAAGAAAAAGAAAATCAAGTCGTATACCAAACCACCTGAGCAGCGTGGTAATCGTATAATAAAGCCTATATTCTTCTCTTCTCTTGAGTCCAATTATAGTGAGACATTAATAGATCGTTAAAGATCAGCTAATAGAAAGCAACTTTAGCTGTTCCCATTTTTGAAATCGTACCTAGCCTAGGTATATCATAGTCCGTACCGCCTTTTTTATTCCCTGTTTGTAGTTGCGCTTGTTTATATATGGTCAGCTAATGTTTTTACATGATCTTACTCAACACATTCTGCTGAGTGCCATTCTCTATCTAATAACACAAACAGTAGTGTTTATAAATAAAGTAATAATTTGTCTAGTGGCTATTATATCACACCGGCTCCGAGAATGCGGAACCCTTCGCGAATTAGAACGTGAGCCGTGTACCGTGTAGCACACGAGCGCTTTCAGCGAAAGTCCTGACCAGCAACGTTATTTATAAACGCTTTCGAAATACAATTCGCTTTTTGCCAATTGTGTCAAGAAGTTAGTTTATTATTGCGAACTAAAAATGTTTCTTCAAATAGAATTTATTGAGTAGCTTGTTTATTATTCATACTGATCGGTTATAAAATACACACACCTTTTTAATTTCTAGAAAACATACCAATTTACATAAATATATACTTATTACTTAAGCACTATTTTAGTAGTTGTAAAAGGTAAACCAAACTGAATTCCAATAAGAATATTCAAGAAACTAAATAATTTCCCACTAGGTACAGTCCTCGGAGAAAGTTGTTTAGTTTTCAAAATGAGCCATATAACCGCGAGGTTTACTACAAAAATTTTCATATTTTGGCTACGTTTACGGAGGAGTTTTTCTTATTTAAATTTTATATCGTTTACGACAAAAAATGTTTCTTCAAATAGAATTTATTTAGCTTGTTTATTATTCATACTGATTTTACACACACCTTTTTAATTTCTAGAAAACATACCAATTTACATAAATATATACTTATTATCCTATTTTCAGTTGTGGTAAACCTGAATTTCAATATTGTAATTTCTACAGTCCTCGGAGAGTTGTTTAGTTTTCCCAAGAAAAGCCGATATTTACTAAATGTAGAAGGAAAAATTTTATAACATACTTTCTAGGGACATTATCTTTACTAAAGACTCGAAACTAAAAAAGTTCACTGAAACTAAATAGAAATCACACTTAATGAAAATCACGCGTTTATATATTTTTTGAAGAAAATGTAACAGATATTTTTTTTTAGATACATATGATAAATGATTGATGTAATGATAAATGTGAAGATATGCAATATCAATCTGTGAGTTAGTAGCAGCAAGCAGTAATTTACATCAAATTGTTTACTATAAAGCATATCTATTATTCTAAAACATTGTTTAACAAAATATAAAAGATACCAAACAAGTGCAAGTAATGACTATAAACAAAAAATGGATTTGATATACGTAAAACGTCTCTGAGAAATTACGTATTATGTACAAGTAAATGACAGGCATATAATAATATTAAAACTTTATTATTATTTTACTATTTCTAAAGAAAATTATTAATTTAAAAAACAGAATTTCTAATTTTTGAATATGATACAATGGGATAGAATATATTGTAGGATTGAATATTTTACAAGCATACTGGTATCAACTGTCTCAGACTTGCTCTTTCTTACCGAGCTCTTGTTCCAATAAATCGTGGGTGTCGCCTTGTGCAGGCACACCGGTTGATGTCCCAGGACTGTCTCCACCTGCATACATAACATAAAGTAATCTGCTCTTCCAAAGGAAACGTAAAATGCATTAAAGTTTATCAAAAAATATTCTTCATCGTAATCAATGACTTACTATATATAAATTCAATAAATGTCTTTGTGATTTTCTAACATTTGTCCTTAGATTGTATGGATAAAATATCGAGCCTCAAAAACGGGTCAACTTTTTGTCAGCTAATCGTCAAATTAGCTGTCTCCTTTATTTTATTAATGTTCTATATACTTACACACATAATGTACCTTGGCGTATCTATATTTATTTATTAAATAATTAAAATGATTTTTTACGTATTTAAAGGTGCAAAAATTAATAAATAAACTAAATATATTGTTATAAAGAAAACATCCATACTATTTGTTACGCAACATTGTATGAAAAAATTGACCCGCTTTTCTCGCATCATTTGTATAGAGACAGTTTATCTATATAATCTAAGCATTTGTCATTATCTACATAATTAGAATAAGTTTCAATAAAAGTTTATTTTGAATTTCCAACATCTTTTAATTAGCAGTAATGTTTGTGTTTAGATTACAATCAATGTTGTTTAATGAGGGTGTATAACTTTCAATTTAATTTTCAAATCACTTTTATTTTTTATGTCTTATTTACATCTACAAAAATTGTCATAAAAAAACTATTTAATACTTTTGTTTTTAATATTATTTACTGATGAATTTACTTTGACGTCTAGATAGAAATATTTAAAATTTGCACTGTGAGTCATTAATTGATATTGGTAGTGATTGAAGCGGAAATAAAAATATACGTGTTACGTTTGAAATATAGCCAAGTGTCTACTCGATTATAATAACAAGTGCCTATTATCGATTAATCACGGGATGGTTGGCATCGATTTCTTAAAATATCTTCTACATTAATATAGAATAAAATCAAGGATAGGTCATTATACGTGGTTGTCGAAGAATGGAAAGCCAATGCTCAGTTACAATTGTATAATATGTTTTGCAACTGTATTTATTATTTAGCCATTAACTGTCCACTGCTGGACTTATGTCCAGTTTTATTTGCCTTCTCCATAAGGGGAGTTTTGCCAGTAGTTGCCATGCTTGGCTGGTGAGTTGGCAACTGCAGTTAGGCTTTTAGAGATATTTTAAGAGAGTCGCTACTGTCCATTCCTTGACCATTAAATTCCTTTAGTTGCCTTTTACGACACCTACGAGAAAGGAAGGGGAGAGCCATTCTATGCTATTTGCAACTTTACAAAAATAGAAAAAAACACAGTGCGGTAATAAACCGATCTTCAAATTAAGACCATGTGCTATAAAAAACCAAATAGCAGTAATATTATGTACAAACATTAGGAAAAAGATAATTTAACAAGCCAAATAAAAAAAATCTCGGGACGTAAACTAAACTAGATTACAAAACCTTGCATATTTATCTGCATAAAGTAACGAAAAAACTGAAATTTTGTGGTGTTGTTCACTAAACAACTAAGGCTTTGATATACATTTTGAATTGTACAGAAGGATTTCTTATTTTAAAGACAACGTTTTAAAAATTATTACTTTGCTCATAATAATTATGTACATAATAATGTACGAAATTCTTTCTAATTTACAAAGCTATTTATTAAAAAAACACTAATACGTAAAAGTTTGGTGTCGTCGTTCATGAATAAAATAATATAAAGTTAGTATAGTATCATTATTATAATTTAATAAATATTCTTTAAATGAAAATTGCTTTTTTTTAATTTGCAATCAAATACTTAAGTAAATTGATGTTCATTCAACCCCACTTTTTATCAAATTTTGCCGAAATAATTACAATTTTTTTTTATAAATACTACAAGATTTTTGCATAAAAATATACAATAATAAAGTTAATACATTTGTAAACCAATATAGAAAAATAAGTATTACTAATGTATAATGTATAAATTTTGTTGCGCAACTCATTGCGTGTGACCTAAGCTTGAAATCTTTATTGTCATCTGACTTTAAAAGAAAGATGTGCTCAATTGAGTTTGATTTTATGTTTGTTAACTCACAACTCCGTCAGTTATAAACCGATTTAAAATATTCTTTTTTTATCTGAAAGTATATACTTACAGATTGTCCCATAGCAATTTTATCAAAATTGGTTCACAGCTTTATTTTTTAAACATAATTGAAGTCTTTTTTTTTCATAGAACACAATCTTAAATTCTATAATAGCCCTTTTTTATATTTAAGTTTAGAACTAAGTATCATTACAAGTGAATATTTTTAAGAGTAAGTTGAAAAGCTCCCTTCTTTACATGTCTGTCTGAATGTCTGAGGCAATTGTATCATTTTTCCTATTAATACAGTACAGGTGAGAGACAAGTGATTGGCTTGTATCCAAACAGCAGCAACCGCATCGCACTCCCACATAGTCGTGTACCCTTAGACATAAACAAATAGGTACATATAATTCGTGATTACGAGTGTCTTCTATTATAGGCAGTGAACTTTTTAGATGCTGCTTCAATGTCTATTTATGATTTAATTGTTGAACCATTGTCATCAATAGTCGAATATATAAATACAGTATTTTGCCTGATTACCTAAGTACATGAATCATATAATTATTAAATTTATTTAGAAGCTTATTAATTCATTTAAATAATTCCATTTTCAGCATTATAAATACAAATTTATAGAAGTAATTTTTTTTAGAGAACCATATATAGTTGTGAAATGTATTTTTTCCTATTCTTTTATTGACGAATACGTCGTTTTTTATTTTAAATATTTTTACACGTGCATCTAATAATAACCGTACAAACGATAGCTAGCCAATAAAACATTGCTTTATTTTGAGCGGGACGACTGACGTAGCCAGTGACGCTCGTCTTTAATAGCAAAATCGTTGAATATGAACTTCAATGATTTAGAAACTTTCAACTAATCCGTATTACGCTCGTACCTACCTCGTTTAGATGCAGTGCGAGAAGCTAACGCTTCTACAAGAAGTCGCTGGTTCACTCCACATAAGTTAGCGGTCAATTTTTCACACTTGCGATGACAGTTTACATCACAATCTAAAACAAAGTAACAACATGTCGCCTGGCTAAGGGTAGACAAAACAAACATTGGTCGTCTATATTTGCTGTTAAAGCCGTGCAAAAGCAAGCGTGCATCCAAAATTTGTTCTAATTACATATTTACAAATACATACCTAATAATTTTTTTACGTAAAATGTAATGTGTGATGTGTCATTTTGTGTTACAAAGATTCGTAATATATAAAATATTTTATTACCTTTTTTAATTTGAACAAATCCTGCGGGTGAGGTTGGTGCAGAAGAATCGAACCCAGAGTCATTAGAACCAGTAGATGTCCTGCCGTCTGGATTATTTTCACATTCAAAAAATTCCGTCGATCCTTCACTTGTATCTGATTCATCTTCGTCGTCTTCGTTATCTTCATCTGATGAATCTTCATCCGAAGAACTTTCAGAAGAACTAGAAGAATGAATAACTTGCGGCGATTTCTTTTGAAGAGGTCGTGGGGTAGCTATTAATGGTCTTAAGGCTGGTTCATCCTTAACAGGTTTTTTAGAAATCGGATTTTGTGGCAATTTTATTATATCTTTTGGGGTTGGTTCTTTAGTTTTCGTTAGTTGTACTATCTCATCATGGCGATTTTCAGTCTCATTGTCGTCTTGTTTATTTTTCAATTCATTTTCTTTTGGAATGTTTTCTGATACTTTGACTTCTGGTACATTATGAATAGTTTTTAAATCTTTAAGATTTACATCATCTGATGGTTGAGCAAGTGAAATTTCTTCTGTGTTTCTATTGATTTTAAGACTTGATAGAGGCTTACTATTATCCATATTATTTTCAGAAGCTTTATTTGGAGATGGTGAAACTATGTTACTAAACATAACATCAACATCTTTTATATCATTAGGACATGATGTGCTTAAAGAATTATTTGTACATTCTATTGTTTTGTTTTCATGTTTGCTGCATATTTTATGTGTAAAATTATCGTTCACTCTATTCTTTGCTACATCTATTTTGTTTGCTTCTGGGAGTCGTACATTTTTTTCTGGTTGAATTGTTGTGTTACTTTTTTTAATATTTCTTGTATCTTTTACTTTTTCTTTACTCTTTTCATTTTCTTTAACCGCCGTAAGTTGCGTTTTATTTTTTACACATTTTTGATCTGTAGGTGCAATCGTATTACTGTTTTTCAGGGTCTTATCAGGTATATCTTTTTCTATATTCTGTTCTAGTTTTCTTTCTTCCAAATTATCACTTAATAATTTTAAGGTATCCGCTTTCATTTTTTCTGATTTTACTGATTCATTTGGAATTATTGCGTTATTACATTTGTTGCTATTCCCTTTAAATATTTTTGGTTTATTTTTATCTGTAGTCATATCATCTATTTTCTGTTGTATACTACGATTTCTCGAATACAATGTATTATCACTAGCTTCATTAGTATTGTCTAATATACTTTTTTCTAAAATTTGTGTGTTTGGCATTATTTCTACTATCGTATCATCAGATTTTGAAATTTCGGCTACATTTTGCAATTCTTTCTCAGAATACAATTTTTCTTTAATATCACCTGTGTCCATTTTAGTAGTATCTAGAATAATTTGGTTATGATTTATATTCTTAATTTCGTTACATGAGTTATTATTTGTGTCATATTTAACATCCTTGTTAATTATATTAACGTCTTTATTTTTTATTGTATTATTAAAAGTGAGAATCGTGGGATCGTTAATCAATGTATTATTGTCTTTTTTTGCAATTTCCTTATCGAGGGATTCTTTTATAATTAGATCACCAGTGTTTCTTAGTTTATTTGGTTCTAAACTTTTTAATTTATACTGTGTCTCTTCAGTCTTACCTTTTAAATCAGTTTTATTTTGATTTGATATTTCTGTAGATCCCATTATTTCCTGATTATTTGACTGCAAATTTAATAAAAGAGATTTATTTGTCAACATGAGGGAATCACTTTGAGTCTCATGAAAACTTGATTGAACATCTGATATTTCTTTATTATCAACACATATTTCATTCTGGTCTTTATTAATATACGTATCATCCTCAACATCCTCTTCTTCAGGATACCAGAATAATGCCCTTCGGTTCTTTTCTTTATTTTGTTCTATGTTTTGTTTCCTTTTTAATAAATAAATAGTTTCTCTCTTTCCAATTTTATCCCAAAAATTACCATCTTCAGGTTCTGGTGATTCTGAAATACTATTACCAGATTTTATTTTTTCACTGACAGAAGGTATATTTTTATTGTTTTCTGTTGTAAGTTCCATATCTATAACACTACTAAATGATATTTCCTTTTTAGGAGAACGGGGTTTTTCTTCAATAGTTACATTTTCCACTTTAAATTTTAAGGGGCTAGTTGGGGCCGAAACTTCCACAGTTGACGTAATTTTTGTTTTTAGCTTTGGTTTTGGCTTTGTTTTAATAGTATCACGCTTTATTGATATCCTTTTACTTTCTTTGATTGCTTGTAAATCTGCACGTATTGGTTCTCTAGGAAACTCAGTAATAGAATCTAACCTACAAATGCTACTACTAGAAGAAGATTTTTTTATACTTCGTCGCTTTGCCAACGGTTTTAGTATCTCTGTGATCTTGTAAAGAGTTCAAATTGTTATGTAATGAGTGATCTGATTTCGTTGTTTTTAATGGGTTTTTTGAATCATTAGAGTTTTTTCTTTTCATAGACTGAATCGCATCTAACCTATTTTTTGGCTCTTCTTCGATACCTACTTTTGTTAAATCCAACGTAGCAGTACTGAGATTTTCTCCTCTAATCAATGTGTCAAATAGATCTGCCTGCTCAGCTAATAGTTCCATTGAACATCTTCTATCCGCTGAATATTTAGTTGTGCAACTGCCTACATTTGGAGATGGCACATCAGATGGACTCGGTATTATGTCTTTTTCCTTTAAAATTAAATTGTCACTGTTATCTTTATCCTTCAACTGAAATTTTTCTACCAACTTCGTTCCTAATGTTTTCTTTTCAATAACTTTCCCTTTGTATACAAGATCTTCAGAGAGCTTTTCCCTCCATTTTAAGCTATCACTGGAATCTTCGTTTGTAATATTTTTTCCATCATTCGTATTCACCGACTCCTGTGGATTCACAGGCTTGCGCGGTGAATCCCTCTCCTTTCTCTTCACAGTATGAAGTCTCACAACTGTTCTTCCACGTTTTATTGTACTTCTTTTTGTCCCTGGCGATGAATCAATGCCAGTTTCAGGTTTTCCATCAACTCGTGGCATAAATGGACTACTATCCTTATCATCATTCGGGACCTCTCTTACTGGAGATGGTGTCGGACTCTTTTTTTTATTGCGATATTTATCTCTAGAAACATCGATATCAGCCGTGTTTATGTTTATTGGTCGTGAGGCGTAGCTAGTATTACCATAAGACCTTTTCATTATGGGTATCCGTCTCGGACTATTGATTCGAACAGGACTGGATGTTCCTCTTTCTGATATAGTGCTAAGCATAGGCGAGTAACTTCTGCCAGAGGATGTAATCCATCTGGTAGTGAGTGGTGGTATTCGAGAGTAACCGCCAAGTGAGGAATGAGTACTATAACTCGATCCCGGGTTGAGATAAGGTGCACTGTACGACGATCCAAGTGAAGAAATTGATGCACTATAGCCGTAAGGCGAGCTAGTGTAGGAAGGTGAACCACCATAATACATGTTCGTAATGTGCTCGGAATATAGAGGCATGGTAACGTATATATGCGCGGGCGTCGCGACAACCACCGTATCCCGCACGGGTTCGCGCGCAGACTGACAAGAGCCGCCGTCGGTCGACGCGACCGCTCCGCACCAGGTGCGCCCCGCCCACCGCGGCCGCCCAACACCGCCCGTCGTCTCACCACACGCCAGGTGATTGATTGATGATGTTATTTAGACAATAATAACCCCTTGTGACTATTACTATGTTTTCGGAAGGAAGTTTTTAGCTGTATTTAATTTTGTTCAATATTTGGGTCCATACTTAGGTTTTCATAAATCTATTTAGGTTTAAATTGACAGAGCTTTAAACGGATAAAGAAAGCAAGAATCAATGTGGATAATAAATAATATTATTTAAAAAAAATATATAAATATAGTATAGTTATTTAAGACGTTGTTATAAATATAACCGTAATTACGTATCAATGACATTTTTATTTACCGTTCACCTGTAACATTTTTATTCTTTAAAAATAGTGAACTCGTGCAATGGTCGAACGTTTTTACATAAAACAAATAACCTCAATACCACAAACGATATCTTTTTGCAGGAATAATGAGTATCCCAATAACATTACATATGTAAGAAATTCCTATTATTAAAAATGAACCAAACTGATAAAAGAGCATAATCCTAAGTTTCATTTTTACAATTTATCTTTAAAATTGGACCTTACAATAATGGAAAACAATTCATTTCAAATAAGTAATGTTTATAATTTTAGTTTATAATTTGTATACTAAATGTTGATAGTTTTACTCGTACTTATCCCGTAAAATCTAGGGCAAGTAAAACAAAACAATAATCTGATTTTATTTGATATTTTTATCGACAAACCTGTGGCTAATTTCAAAGGAAGTATTACACTTACCTTATTTGAACTTTTATATCAATTTATATATCATAGTTGTATCATTAAGTATATATTACTAGTTTATGTTTTTATATAAGCAAAATATATTTAATATTCCCTATTGTTTTTGACATATTCCTAGTTTAATGCTCCGCCTTTTTTTCTCTCTCTTCAGAGCAACGGCCAACTGGTGCAGAATGCCATTATGCAGTATAGGATTTTTAGAATATGCAAAAAATAATAACATAGGTAAAATTAAAAAAGGCAAAATGATCTTAAATTTTTGACATCCTTTTGCCTTAAGTAAGGTTAGTAAGGAGAATGGATGTATAGTAATACGGAATAATAATTGTACCCTTTTACGTATTTTGGATTTAAATTTTACATTCACCACGAATATTTAAGTTTACTAATATTATAAATATGGAAATAAAGTTTGTTTGTTACTTCGGGCACCGTTATGGGATGAATAAAGACATAGGCTACTTTTCAACTGACCTCAAAAAGAAGGAAGTATTAATTTTTTTTAAATTTTGTTACCTCTCATCGACCTAACTCCATCAGTTGTAAACCGATTTGGAAAATTCTATTTTTTAACTGAAAAGATATACTTACAGATTGATCCCATATAAAATTTATTAAAATGAGTTCACAAGTTTAATTTTTAGACCAAAATAACTGGTTTTGTCACAATTGAATTCGGTTTTTTGTGAGACACAAACTTTATTGTCCATGGCAATAAGCGTATTACGCGAATATAGTCGCGGGTAATAGCTAGTAAATATTAAATAGCATCTAGATAGGTTTTAAATTGTGATTAAACGACGAGTAGTTCAGGAATAAATTATGCTATGGAGACAGTTGCTCTGACGTCAGACCATGAAGCGTGATACAGCTGTTTATTTATATATCATACAATAAAATATTATTGTTTATAATGATTCCAATATGGTAAGATTAATTACTTTATTACAAAGTAATTTTGTGTACGATATAACATACCTACTTCCATTTTTAGTTTTATTAATAACTAACTTTTTACCTACGTTTTTTTATATCATAAGTAGGAAAACCAATTAAATAAACCACTTGTAGATCGCGTGTCTGGATAAAACATACACCAAATTTTAAGTTATACCTTCACATACATAACTTTGGAAATCGCAAATTTGGTGCAATACTTTTGTGTGTGTTTTTGTCTCACATCCATACAAAGCTATATTCCGGATATAAGTCTTGTATGGATGTGAAATGTGGACACTAACTCAGTAAGAAACAGACAAACTTAGCCTTTAAAATGTGGTGTTAGAAAAGGATGGAGAAAATTAGCTGGAAAGATCGAATAAGTTATGAGAAGGTTCTACTTAGGGTTAAGGAAAAAGAGACAAATTATATAAACTATTGAGGTCAGAAGGAAAAAAATGTTAGAAGTCATATTATCTCTACCTCTATTATTATAGAAGGAAGGAGGGGAAAGGGTAGAGCAATACATAATTACATCAGGCTGTTCAAGGAAAAAGTTGGTGTCATGTCGTATTTGAAGAGTGTGTCAAGATGTGAAGAGACCCGCTGAAAATCGAATTTAGTGGCAAGAACTTTACAGTGAAGAGAGCAGCTGTTAAATAGGGCATAAATAGAGTAAAATTTGTTTCGTGATGCCGAAACAAAAATACAGGTAGACTGACAAAATTTTTATACAGACTTTTATTAAGTATAAATTACATGTACAGACATCGCCTAGATATTATTTTATTATATTAATAAGATTAATAGATACAAAAATTTAATTAAAAGATCAGATTGTTATTGTCTGATAAAAAACTGATCTTTTAATTTTGATATTCTTTTAAAATTGGTTTTGTAACCAACTTTACATTCTTGAATGATGCAAATTTCATTTTAGGTCGGTATTTTGGTACCTAAGTAAAGCATCACTTGACTATTGCGGTTTATTTTATAATAATATATGGTAAAGCGAACAGGTAGCATTTGAAAAAATCATGATTTCACGAAGCTACGTAGCATCTAATTCAAAATACTCGTATTACTAAATCAAAAGTTGTAAATCTTTACCTAATTAGATTTTATTGCCGGTTCTCTCTGAATATCTGAAAGATTCTTAGCTTGAATATAGATAAATAATATTATACTGTATACATATATGTCTTACCATGATACATCTAGCTTTTATCTGCGAGTTCGTCCGCGTAACCGGGATATGTTTACTGACTGGGATAAAAAGTAGCTTATATACTTCGCCAACGCATACAGTACGCATATATCAAATTTCATAGTGATTGATTAAGTTGTTAAGACGCTACAAGATAATCCAACAAACTTACTTTCACATTTATAATATTACTATTAAGGATTACAATGTAAAGTATCAGTTAGCCGACATAGCTCAGAAATCTATTATTACACGATGGGAAAGAAAAGTTCTCGAATGACGATCCAACTACATGCATTGAACAATGACCGTGAATGCAGATGCAGGTGACTCAGGGCCGTTTCTTATTTCAGTACATGTAGGACGCCTAGTTTAAACAACGGAAAATGAACTGCTGAAATGAAATCAGAGAATACAGAATCTTTTAAAGATAAAACACTTGAGTGCAATAATAATAGTAATGAATAGTAATAAAGACACAAAAGAATAATGGATATTATTTAACAATGTTCGTTATTCCTTTGTGTTTGAGCTCTTTGACGACGACGAAGATGCAAATCATCGTTTTTTACAAAACAATGAGGGCTTACTATTGGGGCATTGTTTTGATGTTATTTTATATATATATATATATATATATATATATATATATATATATATATATATATATATATATATATATATATATATATATATATATATATATGTTGTGTGTGTGTGTATATGTATATGTATATATATATAAATCAATAACTGTTCATTATTCTCGGTAAAACTCAAAAACGGCTTCACTAAGTTCACCAACCAGGTCATCAAGTTTTATTATAAATGCTTAAGTATACATATTTACATAATAGAAAAAAAGAGTCGATGTCGCATTTTTTTGTTAGAACATTTTTTTCCTTCATCATTCGAATACCTCTATATTGTCTATAGATACTCCTTTAATAAACCTTTTTGGAAATGTAAAGAACTCTACCAATTTCTCTTGTAATCGCAGCGCCTAGGTGTACGACGGGTCTAAAATATGTCGAATGGACATTTTAATCACGAATATTGGTATTTGTATACTTTAACAATTAATAAAGTTAAAAAAAAAAACCTTACCATACGAATATATTATTATCAAAATAACAATCTAATTAAATAAAAAATAGCTAAAATAGAAATGTTTTGTTATAAATCAATAAAACATATAATTTATTTTTAACATATTTAAATTACTAAATTTAATAAAAAGGCATGCAAATATTTTTTTGCTAATTGTGATAATTATAGAAAAAAAATACATACGACCGTACAATTTACGTACTACATTTGCTATGACGTACTTAAACTCGTAGTCTATTATAAAACTTAAAAATATAAATATTTTGCAGTTTTTCAATAACGAATTGGTAACATTGCTATTTGTAATGTTGATTTAATTGTAATATATTGATTATATATGCGCATTGATAGTCAATCAGTCATAGGAGCAAATATCATACAATTAATACACACGGAATTTAAAATAAAGTAGACATGCTTATAAAAAGTCATTCAGGTAATTTTCCTTGTATCAAACAAAAGCGTCTAGTTTTAAAGTAAGAAAAATGTATCATGCATTCAAAGAAAATGACACACCAGGAAAATAGCATTCAGCAATATGTTCAACAACATACAATACGACGTAAACTACGTGTAAATTATCAGAAATATCTGTACATATTTAATTTAGAACGTTTCTTGGTATAAATACTAAGAAAATGAAATGAAATGAAAATGTTTGGACTTATAATTGTAATATAATGATACTTAAAACCATTTGAAACATACCTCTAGGGCTGCATGTTATGTGCCTGTATATGTATGTAACTTCTTATTGTACCATGTAGCAAGCGAATAAATATGAATTGTTTTTATTTTAATGGACACAAATATATATATAACACTTATAAAAGTTTGTGAACATTTGTCCATTAATTTGAAATAAACTTAGCAGGTAACCGTTTTGATAAATATGTAGATACTATGTAGATCTTTATTTTTCATGCGTCGTAAAA